CCCTCCCTCCCCCCCTCCCCCCTTCTCCCCCCCCTCCTCCCCCCTCCCTCTCCTCGCCCCCTCCCCCCCTTCCCCCCCTTCCCCCCTCTCCCCCTCCCCTCCCCCTCCCCCCCTCTCTCCTCCTCCCCCTCCCCCTCCCCCCCCCCCCCCCCCCCCCCCCACCCCCCCCACCTCATTCTCCTCCCCCCCCCCCCCCCCCCCCCCCGCGCCCCTCCCCCCCCCCCCCCCCCCCCCTCCTCATGCTTTTCTTTTCGACCGTTTTCTCGACAATGCCCAAGGAATTTCTTTTGGGGCGGTTGGGGGCGTACAGAAAGGATCAGATCGTGGGAATGTGGGAAGGTGGGAAGGTGCGGGAGGGTCACATGAACCAGGCCGGGGAAAGGAAGGAAGGAAGGAAGGAATGGGATGATGATGGTTGGGGAGGTGAGATGGGGCTATTGGTGGCCTTGTCGATAGCGGTAAGTAGAACGTGGTAGTGTACCTACAGGAGGATTTGGGATGGGTGGACCAGTACTTTGAATTGTGCGAATGGATTTGGGGTCACAACCGCTGGAGGAGAAATGGGAGATGCTGCACACGTACGGATACGACAGTACGCGCTTGGAGGCTGACAGACGAGGTAGACAGAGATGAGCGCTTGAGTGCAAACGTGGTGATAATAATGTTGCGGGGAAATTCAAATGCGAGTCAACCAACTCGATCTTTCATGAATTGAAACTCCAGCCAGTCAAAGGGAGGTGAGAGTTGCCACTCAAGCACGGTTGATCAGAGCCTTTCTTTTCGGTGACGAGTGACATGTTCAAAAACAGTGACGACGTCAAACTCACGCACTCCCGTCTTTCAAAAATTGAAACACCCGACCGAACATTCCCGTGCCACAAACAGACATTACCGCCCGTAGCAGCCCTGAGACCAAAAACAAAAAAAGGACCACGCAGCAGAAGATTCCTTCCTTCAGGCTTCCATGCAGGATTCCATGCAAGCCAATATCTTATGAGTGAGAGAGTCCCTGGGTACATGAGGCTAATGCATGCAGTGAGAATTAAAACTCAAAAATTCGTGTGTGTCTGTGTTGGTTTTTTTAAACATGCGACAGCATGGTGAGTGGTGAGTGGTTGATAGCACCTGCCTATTTTGGGGTGGAATTTTGAGGGAGGGGTGGTATGGCGGTAAGGAACGTGCTAGAGAAAAAAGGGGGGGAGGTGCGATGAGGTTGATTTTAGACGCGCGCTACCCGCACAGGTTTTGCAGGTGTGAGGTTCTGTGGGATTTGTTGGGGGGAATAGGGAGGGCTGTGTTGAAGGTACATGTGGATTTGAGGTGGGTGAGTGGTTTCTGAAACGATTGAAGTAAATGGGTTAGTTATCGTGAGTAAATGTGACGATGAATTGGAGGGAGGGAATTTCGAAGCTGTGAATATGGGACAGAGCCGAGGATAGGTGTAAAGAAGGTAATTCTGGTTGGATGCTCTTGCTTTGGCTATGATGATGATGACAAAAATCATAGGACGCCAGAAAATTTCTTTGATCTCGCTCCAATTCAACCCCTCAACACCCTGCCAACGTACCCTACAAACTTCTATCTCATCATTATCCGCCTTTGCGTCTTTTCATTGCAGCCCTCTCCACCTTTCTGTTTTCTTCCAATCACTCTTAATATATCAGATGACCAGGAAACAAGCCATAAATAGAAGTGGCCATACCCCACGGAGCCGCCACCAAAGCCTAATGTGACCACCTGCAAATGTGTTAGAATAGGTATACCTAAACTTACATAGGGTCGTTCTATGGATATATTCCAAAGTACGGGCCATTTCTTGGTCATCTAACCTACTTTCCGCCGCATCCAGCCTCTTGACATATTCCGATCTCAAGGAGCACCCTTAAATTGGGGCTTATTCTCCAGCATATCTCTTATCTGCCTCTGCAGCGCCTCGGAATGATTTTATCATAGACATCTGCCAGGTCCTCCACCAGAGAATGCGTCAAGAGAAACTTCACCAAAGGTGTGCTTCTACCCGCTCAAAGCCATCATGTAACGGTCACTCCAACGGCCTGATACCCGTAAATTGATCCAAGGGGGTGGCTATATAATGCCCTCTAGCTTTCCGCAACTTCTCGCAGATCCCAGGTCTGCGTCAGTTCCTCCTTGTAAGTCAATGTGTCTGGATGTTCTTTCCCCAACACCTTCTCACGTAGCTGTAGCGTCTGCCGATGCATTTGCTCGGCCTCCTCGTATTTCCCCTGGCTATTAAGCACACGCGCAAGGTTGTTCATGCTGGTAAGTGTGTCGGGATGCTCCTTACCCAACACCTTCTCACGTAGCTGTAGTGTCTGTCGATGCATCTGCTCGGCCTCCTCGTACTTCCCCTGGCTATTGAGTATATGCGCAAGGTTGTTCATGCTGGTAAGTGTGTCGGGATGCTCCTTACCCAACACCTTCTCACATAGCTGTAGCTCCTGCCGATGCATCTGCTCGGCCTCCTCGTACTTCCCCTGGCTAGTGAGTATACTCGCAAGGTTGTTCATGCTGGTAAGTGTGTTGGGATGCTCCTTACCCAACACCTTCTCACATAGCTGTAGCGTCTGCCAATGCATCTGCTCGGCCTCCTCGTACTTCCCCTGGCTCTTGAGCACACCCGCAAGGTTGTTCATGCTGGTAAGTGTGTTGGGATGCTCCTTACCCAACACCTTCTCACATAGCTGTAGCGTCTGCCAATGCATCTGCTCGGCCTCCTCGTACTTCCCCTGGCTCTTGAGCACACCCGCAAGGTTGTTCATGCTGTTAAATGTGTCGGGATGCTCCTTACCCAACACCTTCTCACGTAACTGTAGAGTCTGCCGATGCATCTGCTCGGCCTCCTCGTACTTCCCCTGGCTATCGAGCACAAGCGCAAGGTTGTTTATGCTGGTAAGTGTGTCGGGATGCTCCTTACCCAACACCTTCTCACGTAGGTTCCACACTTCAAATTGCAACACCTCGGCCTCCTTGAAGCGACCCTGCTTATAATAGCTTGTCCCAAGCTCGGCCATGGCCGACATAATGCCAGGATCATCCTCTCTCTGCAGTCGTTTTCTTCTTTCTAAAGCTTGTGTGCGTAATTCCTCGGCCTCGTCGAAATATCTATCGCTGCAACAGGTTGAGGCAAGTCTGAGAATAGCCACTATGGTGTCAGGGTGGTCCTCTCCAAGCGTCCAAGTCCTTATTTCCAGCACCTTCTTTCGTAACACCTCAGACTCCTCTAAGCGAGCCAGATGGGTGTAGGTTTCCGCGAGATCGGCCATGGAGCTTGCTGTATCAGGATGTTCATTGCCATATAACACTTCGTAACTTTTATAAACCTTCTCCTGCCAAGTTGCCGCTGTTTCAAAATCCTGATTCTCCGCACACGACAGCGCGAGCTTGGACATCTTTTCGAGCGTCTCTGGGTGCTCTTCGCCTAGGTCATTCTGAAGTCTTTTCACGTCGTCCTCGAGCTGCCACACTAGCAGACGTTGTTCGGAAGGTGATTGAAGCTTCTCACGCGATGCCTCTGACAAGAGCTCCGGGCCGAGTTCTGTAACAAGCTGATCTAGGCCACTGTCTCGCTCTTTCGAGAGATTTTTTTCTTCTGGAGTGTTTTCAGGTGAGCCGTCCCATTGGTCCGCCGAACTATCGCCTGGTGAGATGCCTTGGGGTTGACTTGTCTTATCGTTAATAACATGAGTCGTGCTGTCGGTGCTGGGAGCTCTATCCTGAGTATGTTGTTCCAACGACTGCTTTTGCGACGGTCGGGAGTTGGTAGCAGTAGTCGGCGAGCTCTCTAGCGAGTTCTCCTCGCCAGGACTGGCGTCCGATGGGCGAATCCAGTGTTGGTGCCGGTCTTTATGTCTCTTCAGGTTGCTCTTCTTCTTCCCTGCATAGGTATACTGACAACCCGGCCAGTCGCATGCCTGTACTCCTGATGGCTTCTCCTCAGAGACGAGCTCATTGTCTGACGCTTCCCAGTGTTTCATGGTGTCCTTGTGCCTCTTCAGGTTATCCCTTCTTCCACGCCACCAGCAGCCCGGCCAACCGCACTCCACCCGATCCGTGTCAGAAATGTTGTTTTCTTGAGCATAATCTGGGTGATAGGTCCATATATGTCGGCTGATGTCCTTTTCTTCCGACTTGCTGGTCGTGCAACCTTCAACAGGGCACTTGTGAGGTTGTATGTCCTCACTTGATGGATCAGTGTTGCTGGGTTTCGAGGGTTTGGACTGGTTGGCGATATCAGGCTGCGAATCTGCCGCTGCCGTACCTGGGAAATTGACCTCGTCATCTGGGGCATGTTTCCAGTGATGAGAGTTATTTTTGTGCCTCTTCAAATTATCCAGCCTTCCACGGTAGTTACATCCCGGCCAGTCACACGCCGCGGGAACCTCGCTTGGAATGTTGTTCTCTCGAGCATAATCGAGATGGTGAGTCCAGATGTGCCGATCCAGGTCTTTTCTTTCGGCTGTGCTCGCAGCACAGCCTTCAACAGGACATTTGCAAGGTTTTTCGTGAATTCTGGTGTGCTTCCTAAATACTTGTCAGCGTGGTGATTCTTGGGGAGTAAACTGAACGACTCAATTACATACGCAAGATAATCTTCTCTTCCAAACCCCTTTCCACACGTGTGGCACTTGTAAGGTTGCTGGTTTTCAGCGGTTAATGAATCTTTGTCTTGATGCAGGATATGCTCTTCATTTGAGTGCCATTCCCTGGATTCAACTCCAGATAATGGAGAGCGCCATGCAAGTAATTTGCCCATTCCAGTGGCACCAATGAGACTTTCCTCGGCCATTTCCCCTGTCACTTCCTCACGTTTATCCAGCAATAGCTGAACAACTGCTTGATGGCCCAGTGCTGATGCAGCGCGGATCATGTTGGCAAATTCGTCACTTTTGAAATCGATGGCCGCTTCCCGGTGTAGTAACAGCTGTACTATTTCCTGGTGACCTCGAATGACCGCAGCTCGGAAAGCGCCCCCATGTCTTATGCTCTTTGCATCGATATCTGCGCCATGGTCTAGTAGCAGTTGCACAACTTCGAGGTGTCCTAGGCTTATGGCAGCATGAAGTGGACTGCCAACGGAATTGTCTTTTAAACTGACATTTGCGCCCTTGTTCAGCAATAGTTTAGTAAGATCCGTGTCACCGGCAACTACAGCCTTCAACAGTAGGCTGTCTAGTCGCTGCGTTTCCTCTGCATCCGTGACAATGTCTGGTATTTTCTCCATTTCCAAATGGTCCACCTGGGTTGCTGTTGTTCGATTCCGGGTGTCGTCACCTTCAGGGCGATATTCCTCTGGCTGAAAGTCGGGGCTATTATAGTGAGCCACGTTGAAATGGCTGTTCCGGAATGTCGATGTCTGAAAACTGGGCTCGCGCCAGCTACGATTTTCGGCATACTCGGGAAGCTGAGAGTACTCGCTGAAACGCAGCGGAAGCGTTTGCGAGAAAGAGCTTTCAGGTGCTCCTGATGCATCAGGTGTAACTGCCTTAAGCCAGGCCTCGGCTGACTCGCGTCCTAGTTGAACTGGCTGAAATTGTAGACGGATATCTTCAAATTTGTGTGTGGCCGTATACTCATCTGGACTTGGCGACTCCTGGACATTTGTGTCATCAGGCCATTGCAACGATGTTTCCGAGAAAACTTGCGAATTTTCGTCATTCCGTACGGCTTGGCTATCGCTATCCGCGGTTTCCCGTAAACCATCATGTTGGTTCTTATTAAAAGGATCCGCGGGTAGGCAATGATGGGCAAGGCGTTCTAAATGACCTTTGATGTGCTCGTGCATGATTTTGTTGTCCTCGAAGCCAGTGGGACAAAGGGGACATGGCCGCAATGGTTTGGTGGATGGTCTGAATGCAGCGGCCATTAGCTCTGGTGAGAAGAGCTCTGGTTTTGCGTCAGGGTGAAATTTTTCAATATGAGAAATAAACTCCTCTTGCTTCTCAAACTCTGTTGGTGCCACATGATTATCGCAATGCCATGATTTTGTATGAATGTTCTCATGGTCTATCCATTCTCGGTATGAGCCGTAGAGACGATGAGAATCTTGACACACTTCGTGGGTGCATTGGTACGGTTGGAGATCGTGGATAAGATGTGCCCTGCAGGACAATCAGCACTAGGTCAAGTGATACCAAGGTGACAACTTACTTCCAAGCCTTTTCCCCGAGATACCTTCCAGGACATAGTACATGACAATAGGGACAAGTGAAATAGTCGCTACTCAAGAGATCTTTAGGCGTAGGTGGCCACTGAAGCACTAACTGGTTTTGGGTAGCCGGAATTACAGCGGTGGATGCGTGACTCTGGTATGAGAAGACAGACTCGTTGTCGTCAAATCTGAACTTGCTCTCGTCCAACCTTGTAGCGGAAGTTGCCTCTGAATGTTCGTGTCTTGAAATAGCCGAGGGGGTAGCAAGATGAACAGTGGCACCTGGTGTATTTCCCGTCCGAAAAAGAGCTTCAGAGGTGGCAGGCTTATTTGAGCCAGTTGGTCTCACGGTCTGCGTTGGGTCCCGGCTTATCCTGGCAGTGTGTTCCTTCCAGTAGATGAACTGTTGTCTTCGTCGAACGTTGGCCATGCCAATCCTCCGTAGGAGGTGATTAGACGCCGAGGCGTATTTGTCCAGGATGTCATTGTGGATTGTAGAGTTTTGTGAAGGTTGAAAAGTTTGCACTAGGTATTGCTTATGTCGATGAACAAGAATCACGATTTCGACTTCTGCTCTTTCATTGATATACTGCTCCCTTTCATGTGCTGCGATGTGTCGAAAGAGCTCTTGTGTAGCTCTTTCAGGTCGGTTTCGAGGGCTTCTAATTCGCGCTGCCAGACCGTACAACGCGTTGATGGTCTCTGTAATTCCATTTTGACGAAAGTCCAGTTCATGAGTAGATTCCTCGCTGCTAACAGAGCCAATGGCACTCTGATTCGACGACCTGCTACTGTCGTTATCGGATGAACTCTGAGTCTCCAAATCCCGTGCTTGTTGTTCAAATGGAAGGCGGTCGCCTTTCAGAACAGCCAGGGTGTTCTCAAGGTGATTAAGCAAAGCACTGAGCAGACGTAGTAGCTGGGACTTGACCAGGACGGCATCGCGGACCCGATAGTCGAGAGAGCTATGGCCTTGATGATGAAGGCCTAAGCTATGCGCGCATAATCGAAACCTTTGTTCCTCTTTGGTAAAGTGCGTTTGAAGTGTGCCGCTGTGTAAATTTAACAAACTTTCAAAGACTTGGAAAACTCGCTTTCCTGCGCGATAGAGAGCCGGGCCATCCATGACTGACGCCCTGATCGAGGCTGGGGTGCTTGCTGTGCTATGTTTGAGGTAATTTGAAAGCGGGGTCTGATGTTTTCGCGAGCTGGGTTGAGGTGACTGAGGTGGTCATGCATTCAGCTGAAAGGTAAAGGCTTTGATTGGTGCTTGGGGTTGCTGGCAGCCACACGGCAATCTCTCCTTCCACCCCCGCTTCCTAAGTTGCTCAAGCAAGCGCTATTCAACGGAAGGCCTCTAAAAGCAGTGCGAAAGCAATCAACTATGTCAGGCTTCGAAGTTGCTGGAGTGGTACTTGGCGCAATACCGCTGGTCATCGCTTCTTTGGAGCATTATCAAGCTGGCAAGGGCGCTGTCGCCTCCTTCGTCAAGTACGGTGGTTTGCTTGAAAACCTGATCCTCCGCCTAACGATACACCAACATCTCTATCATACAGACATTCTGTTCCTTCTTCAAGCGGCTGGCGTAGTAGAGCTGAACCTGCGAGACGAAGACACAGTTGCAGAGTGCTTTCGACTGCTGAGGGATCCCGAAGTCAACGAAGAGATTGATGACTGGCTAGGTCCGTTGAGTGATCCATTCAAGCAGCTTGTTGGGCAATATGAGTCTTCGCTGAAGGCGATAGTGGTACATATCAAGCATATTCAGCGACTCCCTGATGTGAGTTCAACTGGTACTCTCTATGCAATGTCTGATGCTGATGATTTGCGGACCAGACCCAGAAGGATGACCTTGGCTCGCTCCTTCAAGCGAACCCCCCAGATAAAAAGATCACTTTCACGGAAAGAGTCTCGTTCACAATCAAGCGGGGAAAATTGAAAGCACTCTATGAAGAGCTCGATCAAAGCAGGCTCTCCTTGGGGACTATTATTGAGAAACGCAAAGGCCTGCAGGAGTTCTCTTCATATGAGCCGTCTCCACACGCCAGTCGCATTGTGCTGAGGCTTACCCAGATCCGCAATCCGGCATGTTCGCTCTCATACGCCCTTCATAAGAGCTGCTGTTGCAGATGTGTTGGGAGTCACAGGATACTTTTCCGACTTGAAAGTCGAATACCGATTGATCGGCAACACAAAAGAACCAGTCGACTCCTGAAAAGTTCCACTACATTTAATCTAGTATTATCCATCGAACCCACCATTTCATCGCGGGCGCTTGTCCATGTATTGTCTCCAGATACAGAGCTGGCAGCAGATGAGTATGGTTAAAAAACACTGAAAAGTCCATGCTATGTATGGCTAACTGATGGATAGCCATCCAACCGACAGTCGAAGCGTGTCCCCAAGATTACCAACAGTCAGATTTGCAATTGCAGAGATCCCAGCCCGACCACGTTTACAACCCTCCAGGCCAAGCACCTTGGACCTCTGCAAGGCTGTGCGTGATACACATCATAGAAGCCGTATGATTCGACTCCAGCTTACGGCTGATGTTCTGAACATGGATGACGAGGAGGGAGCCGATGAAATAACCACGGCTCTATCGCCTTCACCTGCAGAAACCCTGAAGAGGGTACTCGAGCAAGGGCATCTGAACGAAGACACACAACTGACGTATAAACAACGAACAATATTGGCACTCGACATCGCAGCTTCGATTCTCCAGCTTCAACGGACCAACTGGCTCGTCACGCCGTGGGACTGCACCAAAATCAAGCTTCTTGCTGTGGAAAACGCTAGTTCTACCACAGGAATGAGTGGCAAGATGTTTGGACCTTTTGTTGAGCACGAAGTTACCAGATCTGGCCCCCGGACACGAAGTATCAGCAACACGCCAGAACCGAAGGATGTTCTCCTCGAGCTCGCCATTCTCCTGCTCGAGATATGGACCCATAGAACACTAGAGATGTGGGCTGAAAAGGCCGACCAAGCAATCATGACCGACACCCCAGATCGCCGGCTGATCGCTCTGATTCGGTGGTTGGATGCCACTTCACAACAGCTACCGTCGCAGTACGAAACCGCGGCTAGGCAATGCGTGGCCATGTGTGTGGAGCAAAGATGGGCATGGGATGACATTGAGTTTCAAAAGCGCTTTGGGGAGAATGTGGTCAAGCCGCTGCTTGATACATGTAAGGTGTGGGACTGAATAAGTGAGACTAGCCATGGGCATATCAGTTATAGATGCAACAAAGGTTCTTGGTGTCACCCTAATTAGGTACTTACATGTGTGAACCTCATCATTCTCATCAAGGAAGGATGTCTTTCCATTGTCTATTTCCCCTGTTCGTATAGTACCTAGCTGGAAGTCTTGAGGAGATGCTATGGTCCAGCATGCCCTTGCCTAGACTACATAATGGCTAGATCAGAACCATTCTATCACATACGAACATACCTGGCAGAAGAATGATTGAACCTGCTTCCGCATAAGTGGGGCTCCAAGTAGGGCTGTGTGGCCTAAGTACCTTATATCGAAATGAAGCTTCCCCACATGCTACCGTGCCTTGTTCTCTGGCTTCTACCGGGAGAGGGTGGGGCGAAAGGTGGGTCCTACAATCATTGGCTACAAACGGCGCGTCATGGTTGTGGTAATCTTTGGTGTGGCTGAATAAAGGCGTAACGAAAATATGGTCGTCTGAGTGTGCTCAACTGGCTAGGTAGAACATAAGGAGATGGTGTAAACCCCTATCACTCAATAACTGATGATTCCGATGGTGTGAATCACCGCCGACCTGGCCAGCAGGAAAGATAAATATCTCTCCCAACGCACATGCAACTGTGTAGACAACAACCATCATCTACCCATCAATTGCAGCCGCCATTGTCCTTGTACTTTTATCTCCTGTTTGCCTGTTTGGCCCTGTTTGTTGTCCCCAGGATTCACCACCTGGGAGTCATTACTCAGAGTCATCCAGTCAGACACCACGTGTACATCAGCCCGGCCTTGGCCCACCAGTTCAGTTCAGTTCAGACTTATCGCTATCGGATTTTATCCACTGCTCCATGTGCCCACTGACCGTGACCACTTCGTCACACATTTCCCGTGTGGCCCTCGTCTCCTACATTCGTTATCCGGACCCGCACGAGGAGGTACGCTTTTCTGATGGGGTAGACCTTTAACCTTGTGGCCCTTCAAGCCAAGAAAACGTTGGCGTTGGGGGGCAAGCTTGGAGAGATGCTCTTTGATGGGTCAGCCACGGAGCTTGTACGCCTCCTCGCCGTCCCTGTCCGGCCTCAGAATCCCCCGGAGACAGCCTCCGCGACACCAACACAGACCCGAAATGGCTGCTGTGCTACCAAGGACATGGATGGGATGAAGGAGCACCCAAACCGGAAAGCGGACACCGAAGTGATGACCAGCTCCTCACAATGCCACAAGCGAGCAAAAACCCAAGACGGCCATAACAGAGCCGACACCGACCACTCCATGATCAACCACTCCGTTACCGACAGCCTCGTCATCGACCGCCCCGTCACCTTTTCTACCCTTCCTCCCGAAGTGCATCGGCTCATCTTTACCCATATCGAATGCATCGATGACGTGTTTCGACTGGGCCTCGCGAATCGGTACTTGTGGTCGATCGGTCGAGAACACATGCACGACTATTACATGTCGTTCCTCGGACGATGGGCCAACGAGCATATTGTCTGCGTGGGAGAGGATGTCAAGCCGGGCGACTATCCTCCCGGCTTGTTTTCGGCTCAGGAGCTAGACTTGTTGCGTCAAAAGACAAGCGACATACCGTACGACTGGGACGTTGACTGGGACGATGTGGCGTTTCCGAATGTGCCCTTCACGCTTCACCACTTCACTTTTCCCAGTATTTCCACCCAAGAAGAAGACGTTTCTCTGTTCGGCAAGTCGCTGGCTTTGGCTGGCCTCTTTCACGACTTGGACATCTCCAAGGATCCCGCTTACGATTACATACGTTCAGAGATGCTGGTCAAACAGGAGACCTACTTTCCCCAAGACCAGCAGTGGATTCTTCGAAACTTGACGACAAAGCAGTTCGTCCGCTCGGAAGCCATTGCCCTGAAGCCAGAATGCATCCACGGACCCGACATCAGTGTCTTGGGTTTCGGTGAGGTCGTCATGTCGCGTATATGCTGGTCGACATCCTCATTCACTAGTATGAGCGATACGGTCGATATCTCGAGGGGTACATGGGCAGGGCTAGACTAGTACTTACATGTTCTTGCCTTTTTCTTCTTTTTTTTTTCAAAAGTCTTGGCAAACCCCCCCCCCCCACAGACAGTTTGTTTACTTTTAAACCTACACTACTATTTCCTTCATTTCCGTAGCAATCAGGCCTGTATTCTCCAGTACGATTACTACGAGGCACTTCCACTGAGAATAAAGCCAACTGGGCACCCAGAGACTGAAGAACAGACCTCTGAAATTTCTTCGGATAATGAACTTGAAGTTCCCGAGATTTCCAGACCGTCACAAGTAGGTATTGATGATTTTGCCGAATCAGGATTTTACAACAGTTCCCGGTTCATGTCTAATTAACTCCCAGTCAGCAACCCCCTCCGATAACCCGCTGCCGAAAATCCGGCACGGCATCTTCCTCACACATTGATGTCTCGGACACGGCTCGGACCAAAGCTAGCACACCAGAACAAACCGGTCATTGGACCCTTGCCGACCGGATCGAAACAAAAGTCTCCCTCGATCCGGTTTCTGCATCGTGACTGGCGACCAAAAGGGGAAATGGAATGGCATACAGGTTGTCGGATGAGGTTGCTGCCGAAAGGAGGTTCTGAAGATTCCCGACACCGTGGGATGAATATTTGCATTGCATTGACAATGCAATGTGTGTCGTCGATCCGGGGCATTGGGAAATTTGAACTTTGCCATTGTTGATAGATGTTTCCAACTGTTTTGTCCTGGGCAGGCTAACTAACTTCCTGAGAAACACCGGAGATGATCAAGGGAAGGAATAACTCAACTCCGTCGAGTTGATCACCGAGACAAGAAGACATGCCCTCACACCGGTGCTCTTCATCCTCGTCGGATGATGGCATCACGACTGATGGCAAAGGCCATGAAAAGAGACGTAGAAGAAGATAGATACGTCCTGTGGCCCTCTCTGATATCCTGTCTTTCCGAATCAGCCAGACAAAAGCGCCAGTCTCGTAAGCACACTCCGGTCTCCCCTTGGGACTTTCAAAGAACCACCGCCCTCTACCGTTCAAACTCGCTGAACAATCGCAACGATGAAGGTACGTTTGCAGCTCACTGTCTATCACTTTCAGTCTATACCAGAAATTAACCCTAACTGTTAGCTCACCCTTCTGACCACCGTCTCCCTCCTCGCGGCGGTCGGGCTCGCTGCTCCCGTGGCACCCGTCTCTCGCCGCTCCCCAGCTGAGTTGGTGCCCAAGTGCGTCAATCGAGACTAACTTTCCTGCTCGTTGCTCGGCCGCATGCTCGCTGCCCGAGGCTTTGAGGTGCCGAAGATGGTGACTGGACATGGGAATGATGAGGATCATGAGGATGACGAGGGTGGTGATGGAGACGATGGTGATGGAGGCGATGGTGATGGAGATGGAGGAAATAGTGGTGGAGATGGCGACAATGGCGACAATGACGGCGACAATGATGGTGGTGACGATGGCGGCGATGGCGGCGATGGCGATGGCGATAATTCTGGATGCTCTGGTGGAACTGTGGTCGTCTGTGTCGATACTGAGGTTACGGAAACCGTTGATGCCAATGCCGAAGTGGTTGTCGATGTCTCGGAAACACAAGGCACCGGCGAGGGTGATGGTGATGGAGAGGCAACAACAGAAACCCCATGCACAGACGACACCGGCGCCATAATTGCATGTGTTCAAGTTGACATTCCCGGCGTTGTCACGGCTGATGTCAACGCCGTAGTCCTTCCCTCGGGAACCACAGAGAGGGATGACGCGGCGGCAGGAGAAGCCGAGTTGTGCGCAGTCGACGGCCTGATAGTTGTGTGCGCTGAAGTTGATCTTCTCGGTATTGATGTTGATGCCACTGTCGTTGTCCTTCCTTTGGAAACCACATAAGGAGATGTTGGGGCTATTGACGCTCTTGGCCTTGCCATGATCGATGTAAGCGTTGTCTGAATGAAGTGTGGGTGGGGGTACATTGTGGGAAACGCCAATAAGCCGTCGGAATCGGTCTTGTGCCTTTCTTACCGGCTGTTCTTGTTGATGAAAGGATTCTGGGTGAAAAGCAAAGCATTTGTTTTGCTGAAGGATGATTTGTTGCTTGCCGGCTTTCTGTAGTCTTGTTTTCGGGGGGTCGGACCTAAGTTGAATCACACGCCATGTAGTTATTTCGTCGCATGGGCTTTTAAGTAGTTTTAATGATATAATTCGAGTCGATGATAATCGATAGAGTTGATTTTGGGGCGGTATAATCTGTTGGAGCTGTGTTGCAATTTGTCAACTGTTAGAGGCCCTCCCTTTGTTTGTCAAGCCATGGGCTCGAGGCACTTGGCTTCATTTCTTGATTTTTGCCAGCCTACATGTAATATCACACCAGCGAGTATGATTAGCACAGATTTAAATGCACAGTTTCTAGTTCATTTTCTAATGCTCATCTCATCGGTTCGGAAGTTTTATCTAGTAAGACCTCTGCCACTTGTCTGACAGCTCTCGGCAGCTGTCATCAGCCAACTGCCTAAACACCCCTCAACACCACATGGCCTCTCCCCGCCATCACCACCGGAGATCACAGGTCAACGATCCACGCGGAAAGGTTCACAAACATACCTGGTCACTCTCCTGGTTTCATTACATCGCTTCTCATCTCACTCAGCTTCCTCCCGGCAATCTAATTGCCTTCAAAATGGCACCGATACCCCCACCACACCTCCCTCGTGTCATCACTTACTATCAAACTCACCACACGCCATCCGGCGACCCCATTTCTGTCCTCCCTTTGCTTCAACACTCCCCAGTCCATCTCACTCACCTCATCCTCGCCGCGATTCACATCAACGAGGACCCCAACGCCCTCACCCTAAACGACCACCACCCCTCCCACCCCCGCTTCCAAACCCTATGGGCCGAACTCCGCATCCTCCAAGCCTCCGGCATCAAAGTCCTAGGCATGCTAGGCGGAGCAGCCAAAGGCTCCTTCACCCGCCTCGACTACCCCTCCTCCACCCCCGACTTCGAAAAATACTACGCCCCTCTAGCCGCCCTCATCAAGGAGCAATCCCTCGACGGCCTAGACCTAGACGTAGAAGAGGAAATGACCCTAGGCGGTATCATCCACCTTATCGATCGTCTCCGCTCCGACTTCGGCCCAGACTTTATCATCACTCTCGCCCCCGTGGCAGCAGCATTGCTAAACCATCAACACAACCTCAGCGGGTTCGATTACGAAGCGTTGGAGGTCATGAGGGGCAGGGAGATAAGCTGGTATAACACGCAGTTCTACTGCGGGTGGGGTGACTGCTCCAACCCGGTCATGTACGAGATGCTGCTCGTCAAGGGGTGGGACCCGGAGAAGATTGTGGTTGGGCTGGTGACCAACCCGGAAAACGGGGGTGGGTTCGTCCCCTTTGAGGTGTTGGGAAACGTGATACCTCTGCTGGCGGGGCGGCACCCGAGGTTTGGTGGGGTCATGGGGTGGGAGTACTTCAACAGTTTGCCGGGCGGCAGGGAGAGGCCTTGGGAGTGGGCGGAGCTGATGGGGGGTTACCTGAGGGGTAGGAGGAGCGTGGACGATCAGGGCCTGAAGCAGGCCGAGGAGGATGTCAAGCGACTGAGAGAGAAGGCGGAACAGGAGCGGAAACGAGGAGCGGCGGCTGATTCGGATGGTGAGGACGGGAACGAGGTTCAGGTTCCGGTGCCGAGAGATTTCGAGTATCACTCGGATGGGCTATTGGAGGACGAGGAATCATCAGAGCTACCATGAATCCTTTTGGTCCCGACACAAGATATTCTGTCTAGGCGGGACAAAATCAGACCACTTTTACCCAGATGTGTGCACTCGCAGACAAGCTTAACAGTGCCAAGCAGCACCATCGGCACCAGCCAAGGCAAAGGGGGAAGGAATCTGGAAGACAGGGTCCAAGGCCTTTCAGCCAATCACAGGTCGTGGCCAGCTGTCCTGTCCCCTTCTTGCTGGGGCTTGGAATTTTGAGTGGTGCGCATTCCAGTGTACGGGTAGGCTGACAAGACGTGCCAAGTTTAGGGAAGGCCTCTCTGGGAATGATGGAACAATCATATGTGGATTTAGCTCAAGATCCCAAGAAAGGCTGCAGCATTTCAGGATCGAGGCCGCTAAACTATCCACTACTGTGGGCTCACATGAAAGGTACAGACAGACGGGACGGTCAACAAAGCCGTCGACCACGAACACACTATTTTCGAGTCACATCCGTTTTGACAATCTAAAGCTTTTACAAAATAAACTCGGCCCTCCATGTGTCGCGGCGCTGAACTTTGATGTAATGTGCGGTGTGGGACAATAGCTGCGGATGATGCCGGTGGCTGGGCGGGACTGATGATGACGGGATACGTCGTATTTCTTTTGGACATACGTCAACCATCTGAATGGCGCTGCGCGAGGAGGTCGCGGAGGCTCAACCGTCGCTGTGCCGTAAACGCCACGTACGGGTGCGACGTGATGTAATCTAGGGGTCCAGCTGTTGTTGAACAAAGACGTTTTGTTTGTGACGTTCTAGAGACTGATAGAAAAAGGCGCGGAAGGCGCCGTTGGATGGTAGTTGGATGGTGGATGGGCCTATGACTCCATTCCATGAGTCGTCGCTGCCGGGAGTTAAAAAGAGAGGCTGATGTCAAAGCCGGAGCTCTGATGTCAGTTAGTCAGGGCATCGCTGACGATGGTTACAGCCGCTGCCAAAACACTCGGTGAAATTGGCGCGTGTTAGACGAGCCGACTGCAAAATGAACACTTTTGGTTTCTTTCAGCGAAATGGAAATGATTGTCGTGGCGACTGGTCTGGACCTTTTTGCTGACGGCAGTTTTGGAGCAATTAGATCAGGAACCGTCACGGCTAACAAAGATGTTGACGAGGTCGGAGGACCCTTGGGGTTGATTTGTGGGGAAAAATCGTCAAGCTCTTGCCTGTTTGATGACTGACAGGGGTGGGAGCTGTGATGTCATCGGCACGATTTGCAGGGGTCTTACGCCTTGCATGCATGCACGAGTGGCGTCAGAATCCGATGTCTCTTTTCCAGCGGATTGTTTTTGCCCTGTGTGCTTGTGAAATCATCGTCAGGGCCAGCGCCGCTTTCTTTCTTCTCTCAAACACAACACGCGAAGCAACACTGCTATGTGTTCCTCCCGCCACATCATCACATCATAGGCCTTTGCCTCCTGTCACCGCCTGTTGTGCGCCAATTTACCCATCCCTAGCTCACGCATGCCAAGCCGCTTTTGCAATGACCTCCGTCCGGCGTGCCGGCGTAAGATTTCGCGCTTGGCAATTAGGACCCCGTGTGGTCTCGCCTTGACTAATTGAATGGGAATTTCAACGTGCCGTCTCTAGACTGGACTCTGAATGGCCTCAGTGGGATGGGCAAACATGAGAATGCCATGTTTTGCTCCCCCCCGTGCTGCCACTGTGCCAACTTTTCCCCTGTCCAAGCGCCGTTTTCCTCGGCCATTGGCTCACCATACCCCCTTACCCCCTCTTGCTGCATGCAGGGCAGAGACATATCAGGGACCCTGGCTTCAATAGCAGTGGAAAAGATATTGCTCACATGAGTACATCAACAACTTCTCCTAACGTTGGCCGAGTACAGATACCTCTCGCGAGATGAGGTTAGGGAATAGCTATCGGCACTCTGCATGAGCCTTGCAGACCGGAACAACAAGCATTCATGGTTCTGGGGCCCGCTTTTGTCTTGTCCAACCACTGACATCATTTCAAACCGTCATCCTTTTTGTTGCGGAGGGTGGGTGAGACTGCTGATCCCATCTCTCGCTTGCCTTGGCCACCGACGTAGACATCCTCGTCATGTACCCAGGACTCTCTCTTCGTCAGTGCTGTCTCTCTGGGACCACTGAAACGCCGTCTCCCACGGCTTTAGTCGTCACATCTCGCCTCCGTTATCTCACCCCCCAACTCTATGATCAGCAGGGTCTTGCCTTTCCTGGCTCCCGCTGTCTTCCCCCATCCACCCAACTTCTTCCGTTTCCCGTCATTCATCCTCTCACTGCGTAATTGCCGCCGCGCTTCACTAACAGGCTGGGGACACCAAGTCGATGCTGTGGCACTGATCTAAGACAGGTCGGCCAGCCGCGCTGAGCAATTGTTCTGTGGTAACACACGGCCGGCCAAAGTTTACGTCGAGTGAATCCGGCGTAAACGGGAAGACATGTTCAGTCCCCGAGTGATGGGTTCAAACGGTCATAAGCTACGCCATAACTGGCAGCCGTCCTACGTCTGTCATGGTCACCCCCATGTTCAAACGGCGCTCATCACCGCTGATCGGTCATAGGTTTAGGGGTAAGCTTGCATCTGAGGGTAGCAGCACTATCCTCTTCCACCTATGAGGTGGTGAGAGAGACGGGGCCCCCTTCTTGTCGTGCCTTTGTGAGATTGGTTCCGGCGGGTGGTGGTGTGGGAGGATCGTGGTGACGACGGGTGTGAGACCTCTCTTGTCCCGACTGCTCTCTCTGAGGGTCCCTGCCCGTCCGCCGCGTGGACCCCTTCCGCTTGTCAATCTGCCCTTCGAACTTTCCCCCCTCCCCCGTCCCCACACCACTCGTACCCCTTCCCGCACAAAAAGTGCCATTGATTACCACCCGGCCCCACCAAATCTCGCCTTAATCAGATACACTCCAAGCACCTACAAGCCAAGCTCTCCGTTATAAAGCCTGGCGACCCCTCCCCTCCGTTTCCTGTTTTTTTTCATTCCGCATCTTAGTCACAGACTAATAAACACAATCAACTCTTGGCTGCTGAAGCCTGACAAACAATAACCGCAAACTTCTTCTCCTTGTCGGCGTTTTCCTTTTGAGTAGCTCTCCTGCAGTCTCTCATCTCTTGCAAAAAATTTCAACGTGAGCGGCACTATCATCACCATCATCAGCTCTCCAAAGAAATCATCACCACCCACAAAGACATAACCCGCACCATGCCCACCACCCAAAACGCCTCTTACTCCGTCGGCCTCGCCATGTCCCCCCCACCACCCAGCGACCTCGGCAGCTACGCCCGCTCCATGCACCAACACACCAAGCGCCAGATGGACTCCATCTCCCAGACCTCCACCTCCCCCGAGAGGCGCTCCCCAAGCCAGAGCAACGACCGCTCCTCGGGCACAAACAGCATGCCCAACGGCGTATCGAACCAGAGGAGAAACCCAGGCGATTACAACTACCAGTAAATCAGTTGTGACGCATCATTGCCGTGAGGGAGAAAGAAATAAGCGTGAAAATCTCTTCATTTCTTCGTTTTCTATCGGGCTGGGAAGAGAAGAGGAAAAAGCGTAACAACCATTCTTCAGCATCGGGTTTCTTTTCTTCTTCTGGGCCGGGGAAAACATGACGCTGGTTGTTACACATGACACATATCTACTAGGATGTGTGTGGTTTCGGAATGGATATGATATGGGGCGTATACGAGTTGGGGGAAAAAAGGTTTTCGGTTGTCTTCTCCCTTCTCTTCTCGAATACTTGCATATCTGGGTCTCTTTTTTTTTGGAAGGTTGTCCTTTTTTTGCTCATCACCTCTCGTTTTTGTTGCGAGCATGGCGTTTAATGGGCTGGGAATATCGGTGGGGATTAAGCAATGATTTTCCCTGGAGTTGTCGGTTTGCGAATACGCTCTCGATAGATGATTTTCTTTCTCTGTTCTGAGCATGAATTGATGATGGAGGTGGGATGGTACATCAAAGTATCTAGTACGCATAAGCAATCAATATGTTAATTCTCGGTCAATTCTTTGGCTGGGATAATCTCGACTCACTTTGTTCTTTTTTTAATGTGAATTTCAGTGTGAATCAATTATTATTGTAACGGATGTGCTGATTCTGTAGCCGGGTTTCCTAGCCAACTATGTAAGCACACCGTGAGCTCTATGTAACCTGTTTCCCTGGGTGGTACCATTCTCTATCTCACTTCCGCTCGTCATGTAAAAGTGTGCTGTGTGCCGGTAAAACAATTATTCCTCTCATTACCCCATCGGTTGATTTGGCAGGGTGCCGCTCATATGCAACTTCAAGCCACCTTCTTCTTCTTGATCCCTAATAGCGCGGCGTGGTCCTTTTTCCTCTTAACCACCCTCTTAAAACTCGGCGGTGGCATATCCGTCGTATCGGTCCCCGCTGTCGTCGCAGCTGCCGTCGCAGCTGCCGTTGTCGCAGGTTTAACCCCCTCACTCAACGACAAGCTTGGCCCCCCATTACTCCCATCCACCCCCTTCTCCTCCCCTTCCGGCTCCTCCACAATCTCCTCCAACATCTCCTGCCTCCTCGCAAACTGAAACGCCCTCCTCGCCGCCTCAGCATCCTCCTCCTCCTGCCTCCTCCTCTCTTTTTCCTCCTCGGTCTCCTTACTCACCAACCCCTCCAACAAATCCACCCCCTCACTCTTCGCCTTCTCCAACCTCGCATTCCGACTCCTAATCTCATCCAACGCGTCCGCCACCGCCATCTCCCTCTTCGCATCCTCCGTTTTCTGCTCCAACTCCGCCATAGCATTCTTCTCCTCCTCCCCTGCCGCCTCCGCCATTTCCCGTTCCAACCGATCCAACCTCTGCTCATCCGTCTCATCTTCCCCATCCCCATTGTCCCCATCATCCAACCCCCTCTTCCACGGATCCGTGTTCCTCTTGGCCCCCTGCTCAACAGTATAATCCTGATTCTTGGGATCAGTCTTGAACACAATCTCCGCCGAGCACCTCGTGCACCGGATGTAAAACCGGTAAATCTGTATAGACAAGTATTTTTCGTCTGGTCGGGTTTCTTTGCGCGCGTTGAATTTGCGGCCGCGGTACATGTACTCCCCGCAGGCGGTGCAGCGCATGCTGAACGGGGCCATCAGGCGCACGACTTGGACCTTGGGGGTGTTGGCCGCGGATTTGGGCTTGCGGGTTCGCCCTACGAGGGAGGGGTCAAAGTCGGGGGGGTAGTATTTGGAGAGGACTTTGCGTTCGGACATTGCGGCGGCGGTGGTGGTGGTTTAATCGGGGGTGGCTTGTCAGGTTGTGAGTGGTTTTCGGCGAGAGGATGTGAAGAAGGATTTCGAAGTAGAATGGTGGTGCGAAGCGTAAGAAGTCGAAAATTCGGGATGCGACTGCTGGGTTGGGAAAGTATAGAGTTGTCGGCTGCGGTCGGTTGTGGTTGGATGTGCGATTAAGGTGCTGGTGCCACATTGAGGCTGAAAATGGGGCGCCACTCTCGCTGGGAGTGCAGGGATCACGGCGACAAGGGTCGGGTGATATGGGTTAGGGTTGACAAAGCACTTCGCTCACAAACATTACATGGATCATGGTAAGCAATCGGCTGAGGAACCTCAGGGTTCAAATTCACGCTATATATCGTCATTTCCGTTCTGATTGCTTCTCAGTGTCACATTCGCCTTCAGATATCTCTCTGTACCCAATACGCGCTTTTGGTTGCATGGCCTTCATCTCATCATCAGCCATCCCATTTCATTCCTCCACCTCCCAATTCCACGCCATCTAGTTCAGCAGCACCTTCCAAATGGCATCGCTATCGATGAAATCATGGTGGATAATGTTCACCAACCATGAATCACCCCTAATCTTTTCAAGCAGCTTTTCACTCTCCGACCCCTTCCCATAAATCTTGGCCCATTCTCCCCAGATCCCAAACGCCTCCTCGCTCCAGGCCCGGAAACTGACCTCTTCAATAATCGTGGGCGTGACAATCTCCTTGCCGGGGAAAACACCCCACGTCACGGCATTGGTGCTGGCCTCCTTCTCCCCCTCTGCCTCCAACGAGCCAGCGGTATCCGAGCTGACAAAGTCACCGGCGGCGTTGATGGCATAGAAACATACATCGTCCTTCAGGTCTGGGTGCCTAAGTTTTTGTTCGAGCACCTTCCAGTCCGCCGACGGAATGAAGAACTCGACAAATGCCTTTTGAAAGACGAACCCGTTTGCCGGTCCCCATCCAAAGGTGGGATCACTGGACCGAAGGCCGTTAACCGCCGGCTGCGAGGCCAACGACCACCAGCCCTTGGAGTTGAGCTTGATGAGCTGGTCGCGAATCTTGTCGGTTTCCGGGCTGAATCCTTCTTCGCTCCACGGAATGGTTGTGAGCTCGCCCTTGAGGTGGCGGATAAAGACGTTGTTGATGTCCTCGGTCGTCCTTGGAGTGCCCCAGATCCGAAGTGCCTGGGCCACCGTAACGTGCAGGCTTACACCGTAGCCGTCGATTTGACCGTAGGCGGGAGACCGAGCATCGCCCCATCTGCCGTTGGGGAAGTCATCCCACGTGGCTTCACGGCCTAGTACGCCTTCGCCCTCTGAAATAGCCAGTGTGTTAGCGCGGGAATTGATGGGTTCTGCCGGAATGCTAGCCTCCTGTGCTGTCGCTTCCCAATCGGGATAGGATGTGGATCGACCCTGGATAATAACCCGATCCCTGGGATCAGAGCCAATCGAGCCCTTTCGTCTTCCATCATCGGGGACGGATCCGTTGATGCGAAGAAGTCGAATGTCCGGTAGAGGGTTGTGTCTCACAGCGGACTGAAGCTCATCCTCCTCTGGAGTTTCGGGAGGGATCAACCCTGTTCTTTCGACAATGAACGATACTGCCTTTTCCAGGTTGAGCGTGTAAAAGTGAAAGCCCTTGGGACCCTCGGCCGTCCTGCCCTTGATCTCCTTGATCTGCTCCACCAGTTCGCTGACAATATCCACCCCCACCTCCTTGACTCTTTCATCGTCACCCCTGACGGCCTCCAGACGGTCCATGAGCGCATCGGGTATCTTGGCGTGGCTGAGCTTTGTCGTCCTTTTGATCATTTGATAACTCTGGATAGGCATAAGACCAGGGATAATCACGATATCCTTGAATGCACCGCTTGGATGCTCCCGAAGAGTCTTCTCGAAATGATCGTACGCTGCAATGTCGAAAAACAACTGTGTCATGAGAAAATCGGCTCCGGCCTGCACCTTCTCGACGAGATAAGGAAGGTCATGCTCCAGGCTCTGACCGAGGGGATGGCTTTCATCGGCATGGCCTTCCGGATAGGCGGCAACACCAATGCAGAAGTAATCGCCGTGAGTCTTGCGGATATAACGAACGAGGTCGACGGCCCAATGGAACTCTTCCTCTTCGTCATCGTCGGTCTTTGGCTCGTTGCTATCACGGTACTCGGCTCTTCTTGGCGGGTCGCCCCTGAGGGCGAGGATATTGCGAATACCCAAAGCCTTTGCGTCCTCCAATGTCTTGTCTATCAGCTTCCGGCTCATGTTGGTGCAGGTAAGATGCAGACATGTTGTCAGGCTCAGCTCCCGCTGGCAGATCTCGGCGAGCTCGAGGGACTTGGTTGCTGTAGAACCGCCGGCGCCCCAGGTAACGTTGACAAAGAGTGGTCGCAGGGCCCTCGCCATCCGATCGAGCCGGTCACGGAGGTTGGAGAAACCCATGGCCGTCTTGGGCGGGAAGAATTCGAGGGAGCAGTAGTTCGTCTCGGCGGGCAAAGCCGCAATCTTGTCTGTGATTTTGTCCATGGCGTGGTTCTTGCCAGCCTCTACAGGCAATTCCAAACTGGGAAGAAATTCACCCATTGGGGTTGAAAGGGGAGATGGATGGCGGGCAGCTGTGTGCTCTGACAATAATAAGGAGGGGCGGGAGCTCCTGGGTGGCTTCGGCGGATGCTCGGAGAAGGAGAACCGCTACACAAAAGATCGGATGAAAGTGGCTGCTCGGTGCGCTGGAGGGTTCGATCCCTGCTGGGAATGCTAGGAATGTATTCGAGAAGCGGATGGTTCCTGACTCGATGTTTGTTGGCCCAGTTACTCGACTACGAGCTCCTTTTCAATGTTGCTTCTAGCAAGAATTTCCCGTGGTCAAGGTGCACTGTTTCATTCCAGCGGCGACTAGTCAACCCCACCTTTTACGTAGGTGACGTGGGGTACAAGCAAACCTCCTTCCCGCGATCGCAACGCCTGTCAGAATGTGGGGTTTCTATCACTCTGGGCGCCTCGGTGAGACAGCCAACCACATCGGCAGTTAGTTTAGGTGCGAGGAGGCATAGTGATTGGTGAAGGTCTGTCATGTGGTCGTGTACCCGGATCTGAATTACACGTCCCCCACTTCCAATTATCGATCGGATGAGAACGTGCTCTAATATTTACCATTGAGAATCCCCAGGAGGGCCCAGGAGGACTGTATTGAAGCTGACTATGGGATATATACGTGGGGGGGCCTAGGGAGAACATGGCATTGCGGCTTTACCCGCTAATGGTCTGACATGTGCTTCGATGCCGAGTCTTGGTTGAGACATTGTACGTGTCAAGTTGAATTCTTTGAAAACCTATACCTGTATCAGCAATAAAAGCGTTAGCTCAACAGCCTGGCAGAGCCTGCGGGATGACAGCATGTGGTGTTCAGATATTCAGGAATTGCCATGGTATCGTCACCCTAAACACACGGCACTGCTGAACCTCTATCTACGATGTAAATAGAGGCTCGACCGTTGTTGAGTAGGTTTACCGGATTGTTTAATTGTCATCAGGTTAAAAAAAATGGACAGAAAAGCCAGACACGTAGGGCAATCGACGTACCAATTGAAAGTCGAGAGCGAGCGTGTGTAATATATATATATATATTAGAGAATCCAAGGTTATCAAATCTGGTCTACGTGGCAGCAAGTAAAAAGACAAGTGGGAAAGAGAATGTCTAGTGCTTCAGGTCATCACCGCATCATGGAACCGCGCAATTAAGGGGCACTCGTGACGATGGTTTTAAACAAGGGCTTCGTAGAGTTAATCTCGACTCGGCAACTGAGATCGCCAACAGCATGGGGTGCGTGGTGATGTTGGTGATGTATTCACAGTTGATGGTCTTTGTGGAAGAGAAGAAAAGAGAATGTTAAAATTGGCGGCGCGAAATTTTTCTTTGTACGAGACTCGACTGGCGAGGTTCTGGTGGGGTTCTTTGTGCCGGCTGTCACCGCCCGTAACGTTCTGGTGGTCGGCCTGGTTTTGGTGCTCCCGGCACGGTGGCAGTGGTGGTGGGCTGCTTTTGCCGGCCAGTCATGTTTTTTTGGCACTAAAATGTGGTGGAGACGTCGCGAAGACCCGCCACAGTGCACTGCCTGTTGCTTTGGGGGCCCTCTCAAGATTTGTTCTTTTCCACCATTGTTCGAGAACTGAGAAAACGGCTTCTGACATCCCACCACGCTTCCCTGATGCTCTAAAACCCTGCCGCCCAACCTTCCACCTTCACGCATACCTTAATAATAGGATATTCTCGTGAGAACATCGCCCAGACATCCATCCCGCCACTGACGCCAACTGCCACCTACTACCACCATCAAACCGCACCACTACCTCCAAAGGTCCTCGAGACGAAACAGCCGCCCGCCGTGTTAATCCTCCTCAACCCACACCTGACATCACCCACCTCCCTTTCCGCTCGCCTTCCCGTTCGAATAATTCATCACTGTGAGCGTCACTGCGCATTAATCTGAGCACTTGCACTGCAACATTTTGTGCTCTCGGGGCTTCCAATAGTCGCCCTTCGTGTCTGTTGCACCACAGGCCGAACTACACCAGAGGTTGCTGTCGATCATTGAAGGGCGTGGCTGGTGCTTGCTCGCAAGCTGTAGACACTCTTTAGACACCCCCTTTTCCCCTAGTACCGGTTTCCATCTTCTCCATGGAGAACATATGGAGTCGCCGCCCCGGGTGAGTATTTTTTTTTTCTTCCATCGTCTTCACTTTGTCCAAGCTGTTCGGCGGGGTCAACCGGAGCTGTCGTGCTAACGTTTTTGGATCACAAGTTCGAGCAAGCTCTCCCTCTCTACTTCCGGCTCCGGTCAGGGCGACAGCCCCTCTGGACGCAACAACTCTTTCAGGCGAATCGGCGGTGATAGCTCTTCGCTCCAGAAAACCAACCCCTTCAGTTCCATAACCACGCCGGGAGGCGGCTTGGCGTCACCTACAGGCGGCGCATCGAATGCCTTCGGCCTAGGATCTGGCGCCTTTGCCTCTTTTGGTTCGGCGAAGACCCCTAAGGCGACTGGAAATCCTTTCGAGTCGTCTTTGGGCGCTGCTGTCAAGACACCCGGTGCGGAGAAATCTGCAAAGGAGGGTGGCTTGGCTGGCAAGTCTGTCGGCCGGGTGGCATCCAACGCCTCCCTGCTTGACTCTGCCAGGACGTCAGGAGCGTCAGTCCACCGGCTGCGTGACAGCTGGGTGTTCTGGTTTCGCCCGCCCATCTCCAAGGCGAACGGGTTTATCGAGTATGAGAACACTCTGCACCCAATCGCCTCGGTTGATACAGCCGAGAACTTCTTCGGCGTGTACGGGCACTTGAAGCGGCCGTCAACACTGCCGCTGGTATCGGACTACCACCTCTTCAAGAAGGGAATCCGGCCAATATGGGAGGACCAGGAGAACAAGGCGGGTGGCAAGTGGGTGGTGCGCCTCAAGAAGGGCGTTGCGGACCGCTATTGGGAGGACCTGCTGTTTGCCATTATTGGCGACCAGTTCGGCGAGGCCAGTGAGGAGGTTTGCGGTATTGTGGTGAGCATCCGTAACGGGGAGGACATCCTCAGCATCTGGACTCGTTCGAGTGGACAGCGGGTCCTGAAGCTCCGGTAAGTTTATATTTCTTGACAAGCTACACTGTTGCATCCTACTTATTCTGTCGTCACAGCGAAACTATGCGCCGAGTCCTGTCGATGCCAAATGACACCAAAATCGAGTTCAAGAGCCACGACACCAGCATCCAGCAGCGCACTGCTATTGAAGAGTCCCGGCGGGAGAAGGCGGCGAACAATCACCACGGTGACAAGCGCAACAACAAGCAGCAACATTATCAGCAGCAGTTGCAGCAGTCGAATGACGAACAGCAGAAGAACTTATAAGTACAGCCCTTTTGCAACCTTATGTAGCGAAGCGAGCGCGGCCTCGGGTCCCATCCTAGCGTATTATGATGGCCTACCGAAGAGAAATCCCAAAAGAATTCCGTCCGTGGACAAAAAAGCTTTCCAGGCATTGTTGTGTGTGTGTTTTCTCTTTCTCTTTCTCTCTTTACCATCTCTATGTCCTGTGTGTAACAACATATTTCCGGTTTTGTCTTTTTCATCGAGCAAGCATTGTTTTTGGACAGTCATTTTTCTCAACTCGCCGTTTTCTCCTTCTGTTTGGACTTGTAGCAGTAGCAGGCAGGGATGATTGGTGTGGGCGGTGTAAGCTGTGATTTTCTACCTGGTGTGTGGGAGGAAACGGCCAGGGCGAAAAAGGGAGAGCGGGTGGGTGGTGAATGCTGTGGGTTCAATGGTTGAAATGCGCGAAATGACTTTTGGGATATTTAGGAAGGGGGCGGGGAAATTGTCGGGAAATGAATGGATTGGGTTCATCATGCTTCGAGGGATCAAGGCGTGCAGCGCGTGATTTAGCGATTTTTGCAAAAGCAGGAAAAGAAATATTTTGAAGTATGGGCTTCGTCATGTATGTTGCTGCTAGTGTTATTGCTGACAGGAAATATATGCTGTTGTCTTATCAGTAAGTGTCGGGTACATCAACCGCCGATGATAACCGTCAGGTACTAGTTCTCATCCACATGTTAAAGTGTTTGGGAGTTGAATTTCTCTATGCAATTTTTATGTGCTACATTTCCCATGTTTGCTGCTTTTTCCTAGCTTTTTAACTGCTTCCGTACTGTAATCTGGTATCATCAATCATCTTCTACACCGTACCATTCAACCCCAACCTCTCCATCCCCCTCATCACTCCTAGTCACGCCATCCTCCCCTTCCCCTTCCCATTACTCCCCCCCTGCACCTTAGGCCTATCCCTCCTCTCCCAAACCTGCAGATACGTCTCCCCCAGATAAAGCAGCTCCTCCCTAATCTTCTCCACAAACAAATCCTGCGCCACCACCCACTCTCCCTCCCGGCTCTTATCCCTCAGCTGCACCTTCCACGTCTTTTTTTCCTCCCCCACCGCGCTATCCGCCACATCCTCCTTCTGCCTCACCGCCTCGTGCACCACATTCGCGACCAAATCATACCATATCGGCTCCCCCGGCTGGCAGTGACTAGGATCAGGCTCAACATACGGCCCGACATCCAAATTCCTCGCGTCAAACGTCACAATCGTTGGGTTGCGCTCAGAGACAAACTTGTTTTTGGAAAAGCGCTTCACATGAAAAACGAGGAACGGCGGGAGGGGGTGCATTAGTCTGTATCGCTTCCGCTGGGCGTTGAGTTCCTGGGCTTTCACGCCGTTGTATTTCGCCAGGAGTAAAGACAGTGGGACTTGAGGAATAATGTTGGCTTCTTGTTCGTCCTGAAACAAAGGCGCGGGAGGGAGGTCCAAGGTGAGGAGTAAGAACCGAGAGATGTCCGTTTGGACTTGGGCAGACTCTTCAAACCGTAACCTGTCACTCGCGTCGGCTTTGGCGGTGATGGCTTGGGATTCTACTTTTAGCTTTCCCTGAAGGATGTGCTGGATGGGGGAGGAATGAGGTTTTCTCTTTGAGCCGCCTAGGCCGAGGTGGAGGTTGTTGAGATACCATGATAGGAATTCCACCGGGTCGGATTGGGCCGTGAGGGTGAAGCGTTTGTTGGAGCGGAGGGAGATTTCTTGAAGGAGCTCGTGGGGGGAGACGTGGGATTTGAAGGCGCGTGGGTTCCAGATTTTGCGGAAGAGGATTGAGGTCCGTTTGACGAGCTCGTCGCGCTTGGAGAGGTCTTCTAGAAGGAAATAATTCCGTAGCGGGGAGACGTGGGAGAGGGATTGGACTATGACGTTGAGGTAGTCGTTTTCTTTGATGTTGTTCATTCCTACGAAACCGGGGGTGTATTCTTTCCCGAGGAGGGTTCGGGAGGTGCGAGGTTTGCGATCGAACTCGGCGACTTCTTGTCGGGTGTAGCGCGGATCGGAGACGTATTTGATGTCGTCGAGGGACTTGCTCATGACTTCGTATCCTTCGGGTAACACGTACACCTTTTGGGTGCTCATGTTGATGTAGACGTGGTGGTCCTCGTCGAGCGCGTGGAAATAGGCGTGTGACTTTGGGCCACGGCCTTGGAAGTATTTCCCGCATACTAAGCATGCGTATACGTTGATATTGGACAAGCTGATGGAACAGAGCTTTTCGAAATCAAAGTCGAGGACGTTGCGATCGATGGTGTCGAGGTACAAGTCGTCGTAGCCTGCTGTCGGTGCAGCTTGTCTGATGGGCGCCTTTTCCTCCACTTCATCGTCAAAATCATCGCCTTCCTCCTCGTCTTCTATCCGTTGCAGTCCGTTCGTGTGGTTATCATCTCCGTTTGCGCTGGGGGTTAGGCTCTTGGTGTAGTCGTCGAATCTGGACTTCTTGGAGGCTGGTGAGCCTACTAGCTCCTCGAGAGCTTCTGACGCCTGACGCTTCGACATCTCTGTATGTTTGGTGTATTTATGCGACTTGGATGATGGTGCATGCCGTCGGCCGAACGCGAAATGCGCTTGTTGAGGCGTTGATGGACGTTGTCGTGCTTTTTCCCCAAGAGGACCGCGAAGTTGAGCATGGGCCTCAGGTCAATCAATTCAATCGTCGGAGCAGCCCCACCAAAGCTTTGGCCGCCACACAACCTTGGCACGGCCTTCGTGTGACGCTTGCCCAAATAGGCAGTTTGTGGACTAAATTTCGTGCGCGTCTCACACCAGAGAGGAGGTTGATGGCCAGGGGATACAATGTAGGTATACTATGGTGGAAACTACTACGCTATCAGTCCTTGATCCCAACCTCCAACATCTCGGCCAGCAGATCCCACTTCACGGCTGCCTGTTCCTTGCTGGCCCTCGCCACGCCCCTGAGCCCCCCAGCAACGAACCTCAGGTGTCTCTCAAAATCACCTTGATACTCCTTCAACAAGAGATGGTGCGGTTTCCCCTCGTTAACCTTTGCGCTCTGTTTGATTTTCCACTCCAGACCTTGGTTTTCCTTGTCCGAGTCTTCGTCTTCGTCATTTCTTCTCTTTGGTTTCGGTGTTGCTGCCGCACATTTGGCCTTGGCTTTCACTGGTGAGGTGTAAGGAGAAGAGATCACCGATAACCTTGTAATCTCATGTTCCTCCTTCTCCAGCCTCGCCATTTCTACTTTCTGCGCGTCCGCAACCTTGATAGCCAGATCGAAAATGTCCAGCATGCAGTCCCGAATAGGCTGCAATTTGGCGCCATGGCATGCTTCATGGATGATTCTGTTCACAAAGGTGGCATGGGCTTTGATCATGTCGTCCACATCCCCCGCATCTCCCAAGTTAGCTCTTAGTTTTGCTGTGTTAGGAGCCAGCACGAGTGTCGTCAAGTAGGTAAGGATGGCGTCGCAGAACCAGAGGAGTTTCGTTCGCAGCATGTAGTATTGCCCCATTGGACCCGTCGCAGCGAGGCTTCCTCGGGGGTGGAAATTCTTGACTGGATGCTTCAAGACATGTATCGCTCTGCGGACCTGCAGCAAAAAGGTGAATATCGTCTGATATCCCTGTATTGACTCCTCTGTGACTACAACCTGCACTGGCCAGTTCAGACGACACCCAAGACGGATAGCAGGGAGGTTGACTCGAACAGAGCTCCGGCCAGCAATGGCACTGTGAACAACGGTACGAGGATCGATTTCGGCAAAGATGCGATAGTTGTCGATAGATGCCGAGAAAGCCTCCTGAGCAATCTCGGTCAACGTAAAACGATCTTTCCAGCTGCTGCTAAAGTTGTCGAGGTGTCTGAAGACAGCCGAGGCCAAGGCGTCGGATTTGGAGCCGTCCGACATGAGGTATACTTCTTCAAGCATGTCTAGACTCTGGAGCAGTCCATAAGAGTTGTAGAGTAGCTCTTGAAGAGTGGCCGCTGCAGTGTGGTGCTTGCTCTGGATCCAAGCATCAAAGGCGGCGCTGAAGAGCTCCGAAAAGGGGGCGAACTCCAGGTGGTCTGGGCAAACAGTAGCAAAGTCCATCCTGGGTTCGTCTGTTGCTCGGTATTTGCTGGCGGCCGCATGTCGCTTCATGTTTTTCAACACCACAATACTTTTGCCCGCAGTGAATATTCTGTGGATAGCAGGTTTGAGAAAACGCGGTGCGTGCAGGTGGCCTTCTGGGGAGCGCAGCAAGTTGAACTGTCCCTTCCAAATATGAGGCAACGGAAGCTTGGTAGAGGACTCCGACACAAAGAATGTTCGGTCCCCGGCCAGAAGTCTTCCTTCTTCCATCCACAGGCGAATTGGCTTGAGATAGACCTGAAAACAGTCGAGAAATAAACCACCTAAAAGATGGTAGGTGTCCCGGTGCGCTTGGAGCTGAGCCATCCCCGCCGCATCGTATAGTAGCTCAAGATATCTGAAGCCATGAGTGTTTCTTTCCTCCTGAAGCTGGCGGATGATATCCGAGAGCGCATAGAGTGGTTTCAGAATCGGCTGCACTTCGGTCAAGATGCCCACCAAGCTCACCACCACATCCTCCTTAATCGCAACATATCTGCCTTGAATTCTCGCCAACTTACCGTCGAGCGAGGTCAGGGCCTTTTGTAGAGAACTCTCAAAGACCTGCAAGAGAGGCGACTGTGCTTTCCTTTTGGAAAAGGCTCGTAAAGGTGCGAGCTTACGACCGCACTCAGCAAAGGAGTTAAAGAGAGCGGTTGATGCTTCCGTTGAAATCCCCTGGAGCTGGTAGAGCGGACTTGGGCTACAGTCTGCATCGAAAAAGGTTGTCGGTAAGCCACTAAGCATAAACAACACCTCTCGGAGCAACTGCAATGTTGATATGGTCACTTTTTCAGGCTGTTCTCCTCCATTTTTTGTTGAAGCGTCTCGCCATGACAGTGCTTCCCTGACTTGTTGCAGCAGCTCTTCTCCTTGGGGTTTGAACGCACTGTCCAATGCTGTGCGTGGTGCTCTGTCGTCTACCGAGGAAGCTGATGTGAGTGATTCAACGGAAGCGACCGTTCTGAGGTCGGCGACGTCTTCGTCGTCACTTGAATCTGGGGCGTGGCGGTTGAAGAGCCAAATGTCTCGTTCCTGTACCCAACCATCTTCTCTAGCAATGTCTTTCCATGTTAACTTTGGTGGGGGTATTTCCTCGGGTTCAATGAGCGCGTCAAGCGCAGTGAGGTCAGTCTTTTGAGCCGGCTGGTCGGCGAGCTCGAGGAGAAAGTGGAAGACATCAGGCGTAAATTTGTTGTGGTGCGGTTCCAGTGCCTCGAGTCGCTTACGAAAAGCATCTGCAAGTGCATCCCTTCCAACGACACGGAAACGTTCCTCCAGGCCCTTGAGTCTGTCTTCGACCTCAAACTGATTGGTCCTAAGATAGGTATGGTTGCGAAGAAGACGGAGAACAGCCTCCCGAAAAATATCTCGGGTCTCTTGATCAGACTTATGTCGTGTTAGTCAAACTGAGGATCACAGCCAAGCCTTGGTGGAACTTACTTCGGGAATCCCAACGATGGCGTCCACCAGTTCATCGGTCGAGGCACCCAGTTGCGCGAGAAAAGCCATGCTGATCTGGTCTCCCTAAGCGGAGCATTCTGCCAACACGGATTTCAGAAACCCAGATGCCGCCTCAAGGTCAAGGGGTGGATGCAGGCTCTCCGCTGGTTCACTGCCCGGGGATGTTTGTTGTTTTAAGCTTTCTTGGGTGGGACGCGAAACGGGAGACCACTTTACGCGGTACCCTAGTTACATGCTGAAGTGGTTTGGGAATAACCGACACGAGATGCTGCAACACCATACCTTGTGTTCCAAGTCCACACGAGGTAACGTAATGGAAAAGAGACCAGAGGCTCTCCAATGCGAGGCTTATGATGTTTATATCTTTTTCGACACAAAAGAGAGTTAAGAATTGTCAACTGGTCAAGTCTTCCAGAAGACTTGAAGAACCCTACGCACGGGCCACGAAGATAAGAGCTGATCGTCCCTTATCGCTGACATCAAACCGCCTGCCGCCCCTTTTCGTGAATTTTTCGGCCCGCATCTGGTTCCACTGCGCTGGGCGCTGCTTTAATTGCCATCCACCCAGTCCAACGTGCCGAAGGGACCAGCCAACGGCTGATTTGAACGACGCAGTTTGGGTTTGGCGTCGCAACCATCAACCAACAAAAGACACACGCGACCGACGCTTCAAACACGCCGTCACGACCATTTTGACCTTTCTAACACCGAAATTACATCACAGGCTCCAAGGCCGTATTCGCCGGCAGTTGACACCGATACGAGAACCCCACGACATACCGACCCCTCGGCGGATTCGCAAGGATGGCCATTGCTCGCCCCGTAAGGGTCCTGGGCTTTGCGGCCGTGGTGATGTGGTTCTTCTTCATCTGGCAGGTCCTGAAGCCGACATCACCACCAAAACACAAGGTCAAAGAGATCATCAAGTCATTCGAACGAGATCCAAACCTAGACCGTACGCCAACCCCGTTTTCGATACACCATGGCATCGCGCGCTGACACTGCTATTAAACAGCAACGGGAGAGCCAGAAGGCATTTTAGTTCACGCATCCGAGGAATATGCACCCGGCCCCGCGGGCACCGCCCGAATCAATGCCACCCTACTTGCCCTCGTACGAAATGAGGAGCTCAACGACATGCTCTCCTCCATGCGCGACCTCGAAAGAACATGGAACCACAAGTTCAACTACCCCTGGACCTTCTTCAACGATGTCCCTTTCACCGAAGAATTCAAGAAGAAGACGCAAGCTCTTACCAAAGCAGAATGCCGCTACGAACTCATCCCGAAGGAACACTGGGCTGTCCCCGAATGGATCAACATGGACCTCTACAAGGAATCCACCCAGATTCTCAAGGACAAGAAGGTCCAATACGCCGACATGATTTCCTACCACCAAATGTGCCGCTGGAACAGTGGCCTCTTCTATCACCACCCTGCTTTGGCCAATACGCAGTACTACTGGCGCGTGGAGCCCAAGGTTCACTTCTTCTGTGATGTCGACTATGACGTCTTCCGCTACATGCAGGACAACAACAAGACCTACGGCTTCACCATCAATCTCTATGATTCTCCCGACTCGATCCCTACTCTGTGGCCCGAGACCCTGAAATTCATTGCCGAGCACCCCGAGTATGTTCACGAGAACAACGCCATGGACTGGCTGACGGATAAGGTCCGCCGGCCAGACCATAACAAGAAGGCTAATGGATACTCGACTTGCCACTTCTGGTCGAACTTTGAGATTGCCGACATGAGCTTCTGGAGGAGCAAGGCGTATGAGGATTACTTCAACCACCTGGACCGGACTGGGAATTTCTTCTACGAGAGATGGGGTGATGCGCCGGTGCATAGCATTGGACTGGGATTGTTTGAGGATAAGAGCAGGATCCACTGGTATGTTGTCACTCTAATGACTTTTGTGGGATATACGCTGACGAGTGACCGACAGGTTCCGCGATATCGGATACCAACATATCCCCTTCTTCAACTGCCCCAACTCGCCCAAGTGCAAGGGCTGTGTGACGGGTCGCTTCACGGACGGAGAGTCGTTCTTGTATAGAGAGGACTGCCGACCAAACTGGTTCAAGTTTGTCAGTCAAGGGTAATGAGCTTGACGCCAACGTGGCTGCACTGTATACATTTTGATCATCGAGATCCTTGGCTTCTCTGGACGGGGGTTTTATTTTGGATTATGACTATAATCATGCACTCACACGCCACACAGGGGAAGGCATTTGGGAAAGACTGAGCGACAAAACAGGTGTCTGGCGCAAGCGGGGATTTTGACTGGTTTATTGGCTATTCTAATGACGCTGTTACATATACATACTACGAAAAAGGGGGGTAACGTTAGGGGTGGAAGGGAGGCTACACGGTTTGGTGTAGAGGGCAACAAAGAATTATGCAAGAAGTAAATGCATACAGCATGTTGTGTGAGAGAGGGGCTTCACTGTTCATGTTTTACTAGGTTAAATAGAAGAAAAGAAGATGCGACAACCAAACCTGGCTAATGACGTCTCTCTAGAGCTCGCCATACACGTTGACCACCCCACTGGTACCCCCAACACAGAATTGGTTCCCAAAACCCCCTTCCTTCCACGCGATACAACTAACCACATTCTTCCTCGCCTTTTCTTTCCCATCTCTCCCGATAGTAACCTTTTTGTTACTGGCATCACCACCCCAAGGCACCGGCACCGTGGCGACCAGCTTTCCAGTGAGCAAATCCCACGCCCAAATCTTGCCCTCCTCCTGACTGGTTGTTCCCGTCACCCCCGCCGCCTCGGAAGTGAGCTCATCCCCCACAACAACATACCTCTCCTTTCCACCAAGACAACTCTGCACTCTTAATTCAGTGTTTTTCCAACCCGGGTGCTCGTACGTCTTTAAGCAAGTCCCATCCCGGCGATCAAACAGCCGCATCTTGCTGTCCAACCCCCCCACCAGCACCGTTTTTCCATCTTTAGACAAACTCAAGCTCGTGACCGGCGTGCCAATGACATCTGTGGTACACCGTCCCATACGAATGTCGTAACTCCTCACTCTGCCGTCTACACTCCCGGTTATGACCTCTGGGTTCCCATTTTGGGGGACAGCAAGAGAAGTGATCGCGTCTTTGGCGTCGCTCAGTACTTGGACAGGTTTGTTGCTGTTGGATTTGACGTCCCAGATTCGGACGGTTGTGTCGTGGCCGCCGGATATGACGAGGCTGTCGTCGTGGCCGGAGAAGAGGACTGCGTTTACGCGGCCGGTGTGGGAGTGGGCTGTGGAGGCTGAGCCGAGGCGGCGGAGGGGGAGGGCGGTGGTTACGTCCCAGAGGAAGACGGTGCGGTCGCCGCCGGAGGAGGCGAAGCGGTCGTTGAGGGAGGAGACGCTTAAGGAGAGGACTTCGTAGGTGTGGGCGCCGGTGTAGGTTTGGATGAGGCGGCCGGTGGGGGGTGAGTTGGGGAGGGGGGAGGGGGTGGTGGAGGTGGGGTTGTAGAGGCGGATGGAGCGGTCGGAGGAGCCGGTTAGGATGTAGGTTGAGGGGGGGGAGGAGTAGGTTAGGGCGTGGATGGGGCCTGGTGAGGGGGTTAGTAAGTGGTTTCTTCAAGGGGAGGCGGGTCAAGGTCGTTGTGAATGTCTCTGTCTGTCTAATCGGCGTGTTGGCGGGTACTCGTGGAGGGGATGAGGGAGAATCAGCATGGCATATGGGGGGGATGAGTGGCCCTAAGACAGCGATGATCTCAAACTGTTCATCGTGGACAGTCAGATAGCTCAAGGCTTGAAGTGGGGCTCAGCTCATGTAAGCCCATAGGGAGATGCAGTTAAGGGGGATCAATGTTGTCTGTAAGTACACAGAAGGGTGTCATCAAAAGATGATTTGTTACCTACCATTGGACCCGACAAGCTGGGCTACAGGCCGTGTGGGAAATTCAGACATATTTCTTGATATCCAGATGTTCTTCAGTCCCTTGGCGTGAACCTCCACCACCAGTCGCCCCCCAAGCCGCTATCACTCCCTCCGAAGCGCAAACCAGACGATGTGTAATACTAAAGAAGCTGCCACTTTTGTTTTATAAAAAATATGCTGGTGTGGTATCCAACCAAGGGCGCCGTTCTCTTCGGTATGTTGACTTGGTTTGGGTTTAGTGATGATACGATTGAGCAGGCCTTGCAAGCGATTACAGAGCTTTCGTTTGTAAACACATCCGGAGCGGTATAGACGGGTTTGTGTTCATCAGCCGGATGACTACTGCAGAGACAGTTTACCGAATGAGTGGGTGAGATGGTGGTGTGTGTGGTACAAGTCAACATGTGAGGTCGTTGTGGGACCCCCACTTTTCTGTGAACTGAGCGCGGTTGAAAGTGGGGCCGTTCAGCTCTCTTTGGCTTGTTTCTTGGCCCGTGAGATTTCGGAATTCGGAGGTCAACGGCAGTGTACTACACTAAGTATTTGCTGTGGTCAGACAAGTCCCGTCCCTTGTCAGATCCTAATTGGACTTGGAACCAATCATTCTATCGAATACATCAACTTGCAATTGAGAACTAGCCAACTCTAGTGTCAGCTATGCAGCGCTTATCATCGATAATAACTCGACTTCAGCCTGCTCAAACCTTTGACTTCCAATTCCTATAAACCTGGAAGTCCTTGCATCAGAAGTTGAGAAAGGGAAAGAACGATCAGCTTGTTTGTCTCTTTCCAATCTCTGGGAAGGAACTCTCCGGATGGGACATGTCCCGGTCGGTACCTCCACTTTCAAAGGATCAGATTTAGAAACCCCCCTCCGAGTGGGTGAATTTACGATAAGGTGATACCCAACAGATCAATCAAGTACCACCCCTTTTTTGGCTTTCTGCCGATATGCATTCTGCGTGTTCCATGCATGGCGCATACATCTCAGGCATACCGCTGTGGGTCTTTCCACTGGCATCTATCAACCGGCACCGGTACTATGGATCCTATCAGCAGAGTCTGTCAAGAACATAACATGCAACAGCATGGCACACTCTCTACTAGCGTCAATACAACACGGTGACACAACCTTATCGCTCCCCTACTATCGATCATCTATTTACATATACTTCCACTTCTTGGCTTTCTTGGTCCTTTTGCCCTCCAAATTGTCCGATCCTGGGATTTCTGCATCATCCATGCTTCCTATCTGGGTAGGTGCATTGTCAGATTCTGTCACCGCCTCGAACTCGTTACTGACATTTTTTTCTCTTCAGGGGCGTCAATGTCACCCCACGACTGCCCTGCTGCCGTGATCCTGAAATACAGTCAAAAGAAGCCCCCGCTAGTGGAGGCTAGCGCCTGCCCACCAACCCACGATGTCGCAGAGCAGACCACCTAAGACCGCAAGCGAACAGTCTCGCCCGCTTTCCACCCGCTAGTTATGGGCCTGAATGTAACGGCAAACCGTTGCTCAGCACTAAGGCCCGTTGTACATTATCATCACAACAGGCAGCAAGATACCGGCCAGTCGGCTTTGACGTTTGTGGCTGTAGCCATGGTGCGATTTGACAAGACGATGACAACCGCATTTTTCACCTTAACCGAGTATGCCATAAACACTAGTTTGGTAGCTAAGTGTCCTTATCGGTTTCGCCTCAAAGATACCTCGCAGTCTCGGCACTTACAACGCCCCTGCATTACATGCTTTGAATTCCTGACTTGTCTCGAACCGAGGCCTACGCTCTATCACTCGCAGGAATAAACCATCCGTCAGACATGCATCTTGAGACAGACGCACAGAATCGAAGATCGACTCCTGCAGCGATGAGAAGCCCCTGTCTATTCCCAACCAAACTATCAGGATTCAGGGGTGTGCTTCCTGCTTATTCCCCGACTCATGGGATGCTTCCCGGTTGTATATAAGATGGCTTGAGCAGCGTTGCTCTGGAATGCTGTTTGTCGCATGACAACTCTGCTTGGTTGATTTGCTTTCTCCCAAATCATCGTTCTGGTCTGACATAATCACCTCTATCCACGCTGCCGTGTCTCCTATACAATGGCTCGCCAATATGACAACATCATATTTGACTTGGGCGATGTGTTATTCCATTGGGATGCAAGCACTGTTACTGCCCTTCCAAAGAAAACCATCCGCGCCATGATGAATACCACCATCTGGCTAGATTATGAGCGGGGCTTCTTGTCGCCGGGGCAGGCACACAAGGTATGTAGGTTCTCTTTCACCCTCAAGATGCATGAACAATGCTAACTCCGGACCTCAGCTGTTGGCTACCGAGCTAAAGACCACACCAGAGCTAGTGGCCGAGTCACTTGAGCAAGCTCAGTTGACACTCCGCCCTGATGCTGAGATGACAGATCTGATCCTGAAGCTCGCAGCAGCACGCACAAGATCGGGGCAAGCCAAGGTTAGGATTCTTGGTCTCTCGAATATTGCCAAAGACCACTTCATCGGCATTCAAAAGATCCAATTCCCGTGGCATCTCTTTGATCGCATCTTTACTTCCTGCGACACGGGAATGCGCAAGCCAGACTTGTGCATCTACCAGCACCTGATCAAGGAGACTGGGATCGACCCTGCTCGGACTATTTTCCTTGATGACCGTGTTGAGAACATTTTTGCGGCTCGTAGTCTCGGTTTGAGAGGCGAGGTGGTCGGTCGTCTGGGACCCGAAAGGTCGCAGTTAGTTCGTCTTCTTACGAACCTCTTACTGCCTGACGACACTATAATTCGCGCCGAGGGGTTCTTGAGGTCCCGAGCGGGTAACCACCTCTCTGAGTTCGAAGGGAAGGACGTGTCTTTCCGCGACAACTTTTCGCAGCTTCTTCTATGGGAGCTCACGGGAATGGAAGAGCTTGTGTATCTCACCTGGCCAAGCCGTCCATCACCTGAGGTATCTTCAGCTTCGTCACCGGTCGATACCATTTCCAATCCAGACTCCGCCGTGGAGCTACTCCTAGACGAGAGCCCCTCTAGCTCGTCCCAAAAAGTTAAACCCGCCACCACCTCGTCCCCGTTCTGGAATTACTTCTCCTCCCAACCAGTCCTCACAACCAACACGTTCCCCGCCGACGCAGATACCACGTCGATCGCTTACCTCAGCCTGCCAGAACAGCACCTCTCTTCGGTGGTGCCGCCATCAGAAGCCATGGCCGCCATGGCAGCCAACACGAGCGCCGATGGTATCATCCAAGTCTACTTTAGCTCTTCCCGTCCGCACACCTGCCCTGTAGTCTGCGTTAATGTCCTTCGGTTCTTTAACAAGTTTTCTTCTACTCCCGTTGAAACCGACGATCGCCTCAAGCCCACTGTTGACTTTGTCATCAACTCGCTTGCTAACAGGGCGTATGTTCACGGCAGCAGGTACTACGTCCCAGAGGCGTTTTTGTATTTTGCCGCGCTGTTCTACAATGAGTGCAAGGGGAGTTCACCTGGTTTGTGGGGGAGGTTGGATGAGCATATGAAGGGGGCTTTGTTGGAAAGGTTGAGGGTATCGGCTGCGGGGAATACGGCTGCGCTGGCGATGAGGGTGAGGGCTTGCCAGGTTGTTGGGTTGGGGAGGGAGGTGGCGAGGGGGGATTTTGAGGAACTGTTGGGGTTGCAGAGGGGGGAGGATGGGGGGTGGCCGGCAGGGTGGTTTTGCAGGATGGGGAGGACGGGGGATGCGATTGGGAATAGGGGGTTGACTACGGGGATGGTTTGGAGGGTTTTGAGGGATTGGTCGTGATTTTGGAGGACAGAGGCTCCAGTTGGGTGGGGGAAGTTGGGCTTGTGAGTAGGGGGTAAGTAAACAATGATGGAGGTGTTGGCCGGGGAACGCGAAAAGGGGCTTCAACTAGGCACATCAAACTGTTTATATTGGAAGAGAATTTAGAGAAAATCATTTTTCCATCCATATTTCGTTCTTTTCGAATGATATACATAATTCCATGGTGTTTCCATGTCTTGTACCTATGGGGAAGCCCAATTTAAAGTGTTTGTATTGCTACAGGTAAGCTCAGTAATGACGCTTTTGGGCTGTGTACCACCTTTGTGCTCCCAACCAAACTGCATAGGTACCTTAGATAGCCACGCAAAAACTCTCGCGCTGCATGATCTCATAATGCTCTTCTTTTTTCACGACAAATATTCCCTGATAACCCATACCGCCACCTATCAATTTCAGCAGTCACGCCTTCCATCACCAACAATATGCCCACCAAAATCTTCTCCATCTCCGCCCTTATCGGCATGGTCATATCGGCAGCCAACCCGCCAGATCCCTCACGCGAGTTCGAACTGCTCCAAGCCCGCCAACCAGAAGAAGCGCCCAAACTGGCCAAGTCAGGAACAGGGATGAAAAGTTGCGTTAGGAAGGTATCTGGATCGTGCCTTGAAGCTGTAGCCACAATATCCCCATTAGTTATGGCAGTATCAAATAAAAGAGAACGAATGAATCCTCCAGCCAGGCTACACTGCTTTGTGGCTGCTAATTGTGTATCCTCGGGCGTCTAAGGTAGATACTGATGGTGAATGCCAAGACTTGGTGATGGGGTCATGTGGAGCTCAAAAATGAGCAAAAACATACAACACCAGGGATTCCCCAGTGGTCACCCACCTGAGTACTAGTCTGGCCCTTGGCAGCTTATCTAGGGGAGAGCGGACGGGATCCCGAGCTTTCTGCCAGGTATGGTCGTATGTGACAATTGTGGCTGGAGTTAGAGTTTATACAACAACAATGGTTTGTGCCTGGCCGATATGAAATGTGATGGCCGAAGTTTGAGGGGAACGTACAGCGTTCTGTTTCATGTCGAGGATTCCTCGCTGATCCTATCTCTTCTAAATCTGCTCATGATTCATGAACTTTGAACTTGTCGCCCTGGTTGTTGCCGCCCTCGTTCTAGGCGCTAAAATTGACCCTCACGCCTGCCCTGGTTGCTATGCCCGACACAGTAACCCGCCCTTTGAATACATGCCATGATATCCGTTTGAAATTGTGTTCCAATCACGATTCTCTCATAATTTTAGTGCTGAGTCCCTGAGTTGGTGTACCTACAGTACCAGAGACAAATTTGACATCTACCTCAAGCTACCAATCCTAAGTATCAATGATCCTATCATCTATCCCCAATCAAGAAACCACTTACTTCTTCGTGCAAGCCCAAAAAAAAGTGCGGTTTGTCCAAATCCCCCGCTAGGACTTACGCAAAAGATACAGACTCAGATTCAATATGCGTGCCCCTTGCCAGACCTCCAAAGACCAAACCTGATGTCATTCGCAACAAGTTGTTTGGGCATTCTTTGCAGGATTTCATCACCGTCATGTTTCTTTTACTTGCCCCAGTGCTCCCTTTACCGCGCAGACCTCAGCTACCAAGGTGATGTCATGAAAGCTTAGGGGGAAGGGTGTCCTCCACCTCTCCCGCCTGCCTTCCAAGTGCCCACAGTCCCTTCCTCCCATGACAACCTCAGTACATCGGCCTATCCCCGTTCCATCCTACCCCCAGAACGAGCCAAGCACACCATTTAAGCCCAATCAAAGCCGCTTGGTACCATAGAAAGCGGGCAGATGGTGTAATGCGCCAATGATGACCAAAAATAATCCATTCATTCTAATGGGATGAGGGTTCAGTCTCAAGTCAGACAAATTCTTAGAATGAATACGGCACTGGGGAATTGAGGCGCTGGGGAATTGAGGGCCTGGGGGATTGTTGGACTGGGGGTTTATAACTCAATGAAACATCTCAAGAAAGAAACATTGTTTCTTATGATGAGAAAAACAAAGGTTTAAGTTCTGAGACGCATTCTTTTTAATAAACCACGGGAAGCATAGGGTTTGTGATGGAAACGTACCTTTGATGATTTTGTCCCTGCGGGGAAAAAAAAGAAATGGCAGAGTAAGACAGAAATTTATACTGCATTGGACCTGTGATAAAGTTTGCTCAATTGTGTTTAAGCTTCATGACGCGAAATGGCGGTGGCAATCCGGCTTGCGCATGTTAAGCGCCTTGCAGCTGTTATCAGTCAGCCTCACGATGCTGAGGATATAAGCTTCTTAGACTATATGTTGATGTTGGGACGTACGAACACCTTGTCGAGTCTCTTGCTGGGCCCCAATGGATCCCATGTTTCTTGTATAGACATATTTCTATATGGATATATTGTCCCCTGTGAATATAATTGAATAATATCCATGAATGAATTGTTAATAAGCATTGAATCCAATAATTTACACTTTAACAGTAATTTAACAATGAAAAGATGAAAGCACATGATTCACCTGTTATCATCAGACCGGCTGCTCGAATCCACTGACGGGACTTGAGCTGAGTTTTGTGGGTGGCGACATATCTGAAAACATTGGGGCGGTTGTTCAAGGATGGGTACCTCAGGTACCTCCTGAGGTTCAGGCAGGACACTTTAAGTTCCGATCGATGCCACCGAAATTGGGTAGAAGACCAACAATTTCACATCCGTGAGGGTGCTCTCTCCCATCTTCCTTACTTGCCGAAACAGTACATTCATGACCCCTGACGTTCGCCATGTGCAGCATCAAAACTTTATCCTATTCTTTTCTCTCGTGTTTTCGCCATGCAGTGGACAGCCTTCGCCAAGTATCGTTCAACTGGATCTTGTCTTCCCCAGAAATCAGTCGACATACCAGCCCACATACCTCTTTCTGTGGTATTCGCCATCCACAACCCTAGCGTTCTCTGGCCCATCCACTGGATGTTTACATGGCCGCTTCAGTCACTAACGCCAACTGCGAATGGAACTGATCTTGGCTCAGTCGACGAAAGTGAGATTTTTGGGTGGGGCGATCCTGGGAACTACCAAAGCATCGCGTCAGACCCTTGGCTGCTCATTCCCGGCGTAAAGAATCTGGTCAACTCAACCTCGTCACAGTTCCTCCTAATAGTCCCCCTGACAATCAGCCATATTTGTGAACCCAGCGAATCACAGATTCCTCCAGGGGCCAAGGGGTGGAGCCGCTCAGTCGACAACGTCATCTTCTTCAACCTCTCGAGGAACGGCATCTTACCGGACGTTGAGCGTGCGGGATCTTGCCCTTTGCCAGTTGGTTCCATGAGCTTCTATACAGTGGTAAAATACCCCTGCCCAGTGCAGCCGGAACTTTCACCCGTCAAGGACTGCGCCTACAAGATCGACCCAAGCACACATTCAAGAGTGGAGGAAAGCATGCTCGTGAGTTTCTCGTGTAAAGGCACGGGGATTTCCTGTCCCAACACCACTGGACTTGTCGGGCCGTGTTGAAAGAGCTCGACTGCTTTCCGAGGCACATGGACTGAAAGATGGTTGGAGGACATTGTTCGGGGCCGGTGGGGTGGGGATGTTTGGGCTGTTACTTGAACGCCACCATGTAAAACAGACCCTCCTGCCTGCAGCTTCGGCTTAGAGTTTCGTTTGTGGGTCGCTGTGGCTTTCATATATTGTGAAGCAGCCCCTCTTTTGTGCAGCTTCAAATTTCACAAGGTGCCTGCCTCGTTCTCATCAGTCATTCTCATCAGTCATTCTCATCAGCCATTCTCATCAGTCACGTTTCTTGATTTGGAAGCTGGGAACGCCACACAAACAAAACTCCACACGATCTTCTTCTGCTTTACGAGATGTTGGATTGTCTCGACCGGTGAAAGGGGGGATCAATGGTCCTGTTCATTCCCAAACACCGAGAAAAAATGTGAATAGTGGACACGTCCAGAGGCATGAAGATGGACAAGTCTGAGCCTCGGGGAATTAGTTGGCATGTCAGGCGGAACGGAGCCCCTTTCTGGAGCTCTCTGCCATGGACATCGAGGAACCTCGTCCCGAGGAGCTACCGAGAATGAATGTCGTCCGAACGCCAACCGCCTCTCGAAAGAGGATGAACGTTCAGTAAACAAGAAACCGAGGTATCCATCAATGTCATTGCACAATGGTATTCGATGGCCTTTGCTCAGGAGTTCCTTCAAAAGACGGTACTCGCCAGCTTTCAGCATCGTAGTGTCCAGACATTCGATGCCATGGATATCACAAAGACTACCTGACACTTTCGGAAACCCAACGACAGGGACCTCAATATGGCTGTTTTCTATCTTATTTGCCTACTTCTTTTCCAACCAGCGGCATCTCAAAGCCTAAAGAGCCTTGCCGGGTACTTTTCTTCTCTTTCGTTGATCAAATGCCCTGTTCGCTGTGACGACTCCGGTTCCTCCCAGAATTGGACTCGTTACCACGCCGTGTATCAGCTTACGACTTGCGACAAGCCACCACATCTCAGCTTTGCGTTCAGCTCACCAAGCCCCAACGTTGACAATCAGGACAATATCACCACACCTTTCGTGGTCCTCAGTCGCTCCACCAATAAAGGGCACTTGGTCCTTGATGAGCAGTCGAAGGTGTTCGACAGCTTGACCAAAAAAGGCACCAAGAACAGCACCGCCAACATCGAGGTATTCTCAGAATCTGTTTCGGACCTTCAAATTCCTGGCCAGAAGTTCGCAGTCATCAGAGAGATCCAGGCATCTCTTCTCTTCAACACCAGCGCAGCAACGGAGCAATTTGACGGCAGCATTAGACTTGTGGTCAATTATGGAGACACCACATTGGGTGTGTATATTGGGGGAGGACTTGACATGAAGGGGGTGGCTCTCTTCCAGCTAGAAGAGTTCATAGCTCTCGTCCAGGACCGCGACGACAACACATTGACTGGTCTCCAGCTTTGTGGGGCTAACCGCACCGCACAATACACCATGGGAGTCTTTCTCGACACCACCGCTGATGTGGCACTGAGGCTCTTCAGGGTACAGCATGCACTCGAGGCCTGGTCCTTGTCGCATTGTGTCGTGGGACTTGGTCAACGGGAGTCACTCAAGCCTTCCACATTTTGGCTGCGTGAGCCCAGTAGAACAGCCCTTCTCAATGGTACCAACAGCATCGGCAACTGGACGACGCCCGTTTCACCATTCAATCGCGCTATGGCAAAGACATCATCTCATGTGGCCGAGTGCCGGACGATCCAAGTTGCCTCCGGCGATAGCTGCGTATCTCTGGCCCAAAAGTGCGGGCTGAAGAACGCCAACGACATCACCAAGTTCAAATCCACAGAAGCACTTTTGTGCCACACTCCGTCCAAGTCAGCACATTTGCTGCTCGGCTGGTACACTGCCCGACGTTCGACCAAAGCCTACGCCTGATGGGACCTGCGCTTATTACATTGTCAAGAACGGAGATTTTTGCAACAAGATAGCTGCTGCCAGTGGCTTGACGGTCCAGGAGCTGGAGAAGGTTAATGAGAACACATGGGGCTGGAATGGCTGTGACAAGTTATATGTCGGCAACACCCTCTGCCTCAGCAAAGGAAACCCACCACTTTCCGCTCCGGTCCCAAACGCCATCTGTGGACCACAAAAGCCGGGAACCACCTGACCACCGCCGGGGACAGATCTTGCGTCTCTCAATCCATGCCCGCTCAATGCCTGCTGCACTGTCTGGGGTCAATGTGGCACGACAGCCGAGTTCTGCACCGTCAAAGGTGCCCCATTCGGTACTCCTATCAAGCCGTGAAGGGTCGGGTGCATCTCCAACTGTGGGATGAAGGTCATCAACAATGCTTCCCCTCCGTCAGAGTTCAAGAGGATAGGCTACTTTGAAGCCTGGAGCTCGGCTAACAAAAAGGAGCGGCCTTGCCTGTTTATGGATGCCACCCAGCTTCCGACAGGATACACACATGTGCATTTTGCCTTTGGGGAGGTATCCTCCAACTTTGCCGTGGGTGTCAGCAAACTCAAAAACCAGTTCGACAAGTTTGTGAAGATGAGAGGCTTCAAGAGAATCATTGCCTTCTGTGGATGGACAGCGTCTACTGACCCAAGCTCATTTTGGATTTCTCGAGAAGGCGTCAAACCGGGCAACAGGGAGATTTTGGCCACCAACATCGCCAAGTTCGTCATGGACCATGATTTGGATGGCGTGGATCTCGATTGGGAGTATCCAGGTGCGCCAGATCTCCCTGATATTCCTAGTGCCGACCCGCTCGATGGACTGGCATATCTGGAACTCCTGAAGTTGTTGAGACAGAAGCTTCCGTGGTGAGTGAGATATTTAGCTGGCCATGTCTCTTTTTCCGTCGGCCACTAACACCGGTTTCAGGACAATAGTTGGCGATCGCTGCTCCCGCTTCCTACTGGTATCTCAAGTAGTTTCCAATTGGGGAGATCAGCAAGGTCGTCGATTACATTGTGTACATGACTTACGACTTGCATGGCCGTGAGTTTTCGATCTGTTTTCCATCGTATAGAAGCAGCCGCTGACTTTGATCCTAGAATGGGACTTTGACAGTCCTTGGTCCTCTCCAGGCTGCCCAGCAGGCAACTGTCTTCGCTCACACATCAACAGGACGGAAACCCTCAATGCACTTTCCATGGTCACCAAAACTGGCGTCTCATCAACCAAGCTCATCATCGGCATTACCAGCTATGGTCGGTCTTTTCGGATGGTCGACCCATCCTGCACCGGTCCTATGTGTACATTTACCGGGGCACTCTCCGGAGCAAAACCTGGACGTTGCACACGCACCGCCGGATATCTCGCCAATACAGAGATTCAGGAGATTTTGCATTACGACAAGTCATCACGCACCTATTACGATGAAGGCATCATGAGTGACATTCTGGTGTACGGATCTGACTGGGTTGCCGACATGAACAACAACAACAAAGGGCGTCGGGAGGCTCTGTGGAAGTCAATGAACTTTGGCGGCGTCTCAGACTGGGCGATCGGCCTTGCCGAGTTTTTACCCAATGATGTCTCTCAGGTTCCGTCACTGTCAATGGAGGAGATCAAGGAAGACTGGGCCAACATCACCTGCAAACACCCCTACGCGAGGAACAGCAGCTACAGGCAGTCCGACCGTTGGAAAACCCTCAAGGTTGATGAGGCTTGGAAGCATGTTGTTGGTAAGTGGGACGCTTGCGCAAAGTCTGGCATGCCTTTCCCTGTTTTTGTGAGCCGTCTTCTCAACGGTCCCGATGGCATGTACTGCGGCTCGATATCCTCCACAAACAACTGCCTTGCAACAGTCGAATGCAGTGACGAATCCGAACGCCGGCCGGCAGCAGCTCTCCTTTTGAGTTCATTTGTGAAGCTTGCTGGGATCTATTACGAGCTGTACGATGGAATCCAAGCAGCTCAGGTCAATCTTATCACGACACTGTCCAAGTTCTCGAGCACTTTTGCACCAGAACAAAAGGCGGACGAGTCTTTGACCATGACTTTGAATATCTTGAGCGCTGGCTTCGGTGTGCTGGCAGGCCCAGTCTTTGCGAAGGCTTTCTCGTCTGGAAATTTCTTCTCTCAGAATCCTGGTATTGGAGAGAAGCTGGAGTCGGCAGTGATGAAGGGCATAGAGTTTGGCCTGGCTGAGGCTAAGGAATACGCCAAAAAAAAAAAACCCCTGTAGGTCTCGTCCTTTTCCCCATGTCCTTTTATCCTACACATCAGACAGTTAGACCTTAACACTTCGGCTGTAGAAACGAGCCCGTGACGGAGGATCTCGCATCGCAGTTCAACTGGATTGTGATGAGTTGGAAAGAAATTGTCGACATTACACAACACCAAGCCTTCTCTAAGACGAAAGATGGAGTTAGCTATCTCAGCAGCATGATGAGCAACGGCAAGCTGCTCAAGGTCGAGCCGATGAACAGGTTTGACACGGAATCCACCATGGTCAAAGTCCTGTACGCCTTCCTGATTCCGCATGTCTGGCATCTCCGAGCCTACAGCCCTGTTCTCATCCACGCCGAGTGGGACTGCCAAAAGGTTGGGGTCGACAAGTTCATATGGCTCCAGTCCGGCGACAAGGATGTGGCCAACATGTGCATCGACAACCCGTCAGCACTACTTTCTTTTCCCTGGAGGTCCAACGATGATAGACCACAACTGGGGCAACTGGGGTGGAGGTTCGGAGCCGAATCGAATGCCGGTCTTGCCAGGCACAGAGACTCTCGGGTCTCCATTGATGGATGGGCAAAACGATCTCATGTAGGGATGGATCACGCAGATGGACATTGCAAGAAGGTACGTCATTTCACAAACATGTTGACCCCGAGCACGACTGCATGAGTACCCGCTGACAGCTTGACGGTGTCTTGAAGCGCCACGCCAAGTGGGGAAACAAAGGCTTCGACAAGCTTCCGGATCACTTCAATGGGGAACACCGGAATAACTTGATCGAGGAGGTCACAAACGGCGATGTCAAGCTTCTGCCGGGGATCATGAACATCCCCATGTGTGACCCTCAAACAGTATTTGAAAACTAAAAGAAGCGGACAGCCGGCCAAAAGACGGATTGGGCATCGTTTCCTTGTGACGAAGAGTAGCCTCGCTGCGTGTGCCACTGTTCTCAGTCCACTGCCGCCGCTCTGGCATCTGTTTTTCTAGGGCGGCTTCATTCAAGACAACCGGGTGTGGATGAGCAGGGCGGCGGGCATTTGGGCCGGGCTGTGATGCTTTGGGAGTTTTTTGGGTAAGGTATATCATGGTTGGATTGTTACACTCGCTTAACATTTTTATTTGTATCTACATGCTTGATACTAAAACTTGTGTCTTACCTTATCACCATGGCCCTCTTCGATGCCTTACAGTAGAGACCGAAATATGCATTCAAAGGCTTGAAAGAGACGAGGTACACCTTTTAACTTTTTTTAAATATATTTCACCTGTCCTAAATTATCGTTGGATCCGCCTGAACTATCCTTTTACCCCCCTAACTATATTTAAACCATTTCACTGTCCTTAAACACTTCTTCATTACCTTAATTTAAAACGCTTTTCGACTATCTTAGACTACCTCTATACTATCTTGAAGCCCCTTGGAATAAATATGGACTCAAGACCTTTTGGATATCTTTCAAGGTTCATTTACCATATTCAGAGGCCTATTCACTCTCTTCCAAGGCCTCAGTCCCGAATATCAATCCCCATCTTTCGTTCACGACACATGTACACATGCCCACATCTCGAGATGTGCCTTGGTGCCTAAATCTCAACTCCCTAAAGACCTCTATCCACCTAAACCACCATCAAATAGTTGAATGTATTAAAACACAATAAATGCAATCAGAGTAATACTTGACATTCAAACTGGCCTCCAAGGATCAAGTCACTTCTTATCCCCTGCATCAAGCGAAGCCTAAGTTCTTCTTTCGCTGCCTTGTCAGGAGATACCCACTCCATCCAGTTCTAAACACCAGCCGTCATCTACAATCAAACAGTCACGAGTCCAAATCGAAGCTGATGTAAAAGAAAACAAAAGCCGCAGGGCCATTGTTGATTAAAAATGTGCCTTGAAGCAGCAAGGAAACAAAAAGCCCAGCTACACAAAAATCCCATCTTGGCAGCTCAACCATCTAAACCAGGCCAAATGTTCCCCATATCCCACTCTCCGACCCATCTCCCCCATCGAAAGATATTATCTATAAACCCCCAACTCTATCTTCTATTCCCATCACCGCCCTCCCCCCCCCCTCCCAAACAAAACTCCCTTTCACTCTCCACCGTCTTCTCAAGAGAATATCTCTAGCTCAATACCAGGCCAAAATCTAGCACTGGCCCTCATTGGGGTCGGCGCTATTTTTCAAAAACCATGTCAGCAAAAAGTGTCGGCACCACCACCAAAGAAAACACTAACCTGTAGTACCAGTTATCAACATTGTTGTAACCCCCCTTGTTCTGACCGCACCCGTCAACCTCCCTGCTGAGACGGTGGATGCAGTCGGCGTCGTCCCAGTTGCGGCGCGAGTTGGCCTTGTTCTGGACCCAAAACTCCATCTTTTGCTTGCCGCCAGAGTTGACGCACAGGAAGATCTTCTCCTGGATGCCAAAGGTGACGGAGAAGCGGCCCTTGGTGCAGGCGTCGGTGATGGCGCGGCGGGCGGCCGCCTTGTCGTTCCAGGTCACGCCTGAGGTGTGGCAGGTGGCCGAGACGGCGGAGGCGGTGGCCATAATGGCGACGAGGAGGTTGGTGAGCTGCATTTTGGTGGTGATGGTTGGGGGCTTGGTTGAGGTAGAGTAGATGGTTGAGGCTGTTGAAGATGGGAGTGTTGATGGTGATGAGGGATATGTGTTGTCTGGAGGTGGGAGACGGGCGTTCTTATAGATGGCGTGCTCATGCTTTCTGGTGTCTCCTCTTCAACCGTCAACCCCCCCTTCGTGCTGATGGTCACCGTCGAGCATCCGGCAAAGCGCCTTCATCTCCCCCCTACAGATTGCCTGTCAGACTACCGGTGACCACGAGATGAGCTGGTGGATCCTTTGATCGCCAGCTGTCGGCGTGAAGCCGTTTACCGCCTCGTGCCAAGGTGATGGTCCAGAACATCCTTCTGAGGGTTTGGTGATTAGAGCCCCCCGGTCGTGAAACATCCCGTCGGTATCTTGATGGCAAGGCAAGGATAGACAGTGCCCGATCCCAGCCCTACGTCTCCATTGTGGGGAGGCCCGAACATCATTGGCTGACCCTTGTAAGGTAGATCCGTAGGATCGGTGTCAGCCGATTGGCATAAATGTGAATTGATGTAGTTCCAGTTGAGCCGGGAGGTGTGAAGGATCTCAGGTGCCGACTACCTAAGGTGGGTAGCTACACTACTCCATAGCGTTCGCTGTGTGCTTGCTGAAAGATCATGATTGACAACCGGTCTTTGGGCGATCTTGAATCGCTAGTTTGGCACGGAAAAGTTGCCAAACTACGCTGTCACATCAGGGGAGCGTGTGTTGCAAGAGCCGTTCGTTTCTTCTCGTTCCCAATCGAGAACTCGCCTCCGTGCTCAGGTCACCGCTACCCCTTCATCTCTGGCTCTCTCGTCGCCGAACCCTGAAGATAACGTCCCATGATATCTGCCACGTTCGGCTGAAGGATTTCCTATGGCCATAAGCAGCCACGGTTCAATAATCCACTCTCATATCCCTGCCTAGCTCAGGCTGCTGTTCTCAGGTACATGACCACAGGTTCCACGGCTGGTCTAAGCTTTGTGCCATCAAGGTAATCTCGCCAGTGAGCTAAACATTCATAAATCGTTATGGCCTAGAATAGCATAAGTTATGAACGAGCAACACCCTGAGTTCAGGAGGGACATCGCATCAAGGCTTCATGCCACATATATGCCCCCTTCATAACATTGAACAATGAATAAATGTTGCGTGATATAGTTATGGTATATTTCGTTATTTCACTCCTTGAAAACAAGCCATCTCAACATTCCACCAAGGTTACACCTCGATCATGTCCACATCCCCCTCCCCATCCTCCTTCACCGCCTTCAGCGACGGCGCCAGGGCATCCATCTCTCTCAAGGTATACTCCACCAAATAACTCTCATCCACCAGCTCCTCCATCCTCTTGTAATGTCTCTCCGTGTACACCTTTAGCGCATTAAGCACCTCCTTCAAGCTCTTCTGCCCCCTCGCTCCCTTGACGCTCAAGCCCGAGAACTTATCAGCCGGATAGCTCCTCACCAGCGCGGAGAGAATCCGCTGCGCAACAGGTGCCGTGCGCGCGTTTGTGTTCCAGTCTCGTAACCTCAGCAACAAAAGGAACAGCTGCTCATCTGACAAGCTAGCAAGAACCTGGTCGACAGCTCTCAGCCCGGTGAAGCTACCCGCTTCAGGAGTAGGCGAGGTGACAACGTTGGTGAAAAGCTTGAGCAGGCGGCCTGGGTGGTTGAGCTGGAGAGCCAAGACGATGGCGTCTCTGTAGGCACCGATATGGATGTAGTTCTCCAACTCCTGCTCCTGCTCAACAAGCCGGGTGGCGGCTTCGGTGGCGGCGGTCTGGGTCTCGGATGTGGTGTCCTTCCAGAAGGTAATCTTGGAGTCGGAGCCAGCCGAGACAATCGTGTTGCTTTTCGGGTGCACGGCCAAGGTCCACAGTCTGTCTTCGTGGTTGTCAAGGGTGCATTCTGTTTCGCCCGTGTTGGTGTCCCAGATCTTGACGAGACTGTCAGCGCCAGCGGAAGCGAAATGGACATTTTTCCTGCTGGGATCCTCCTCGACTGTGGGGATGTGCAACCACACCACTTTCAGAACGTTGTGGGAGTGTCCTTCAAAGGTGCGAAGACACGTGTAGTCGGAAAGATTCCACAGCTTGATAGTCTTGTCACCACTGCCAGTGACGATGACACCCTTTCCAGAGACAGCACCACCTGTCTCGCCTTGGATGGCTGGAGTATGGAGGGGAGCAAACTTGACCGCCCATACACCTCTCTTGTGGCCCTTGAGGATACCCTGCACCTCGAGCCTTTCTGTGTCCCAAATCTTGACCGTCTTGTCCTGTGACGCAGAAGCGAATAACTTTCCAGATGGGTTGATATCCAGGGCGTTGATGTCTTTCTCGTGCGCCAATCTCCTGAGACTAGTTGTCTCTTTGAACGGTTGTGATGGTCGGGGAATAAGTCGCTTCTGGACAAATCTGTCCTGAGAACCGGAAATCAGGAATGCTGGAGGGTGGTCGAGAGGGTTCTTGAACGCCTCAGAGTCTTCCGGAGGAGCAACCTTGGGCAAAGACACTGCTCCCACCGACTCCAGGTGACCAGTGAAGGTAGCATAACACTCAAAAGAATTCTTTGCAGGATCAACCCTCCATATTCTGGCTGTGTTATCTTTTGCACCACTGGCCACCCAGTGACCAGACCAATCCACATCCAGTGACATGACGAGATCCTCGTGTCCCTTGAGCAAGGCAACGTCGTGCCCGAAATAGGAACCGCCCTCCTCCCCGCTATCTGTTTTGACAGATACTATCCTAATATCCTCCGAGTTCGTCGCAAGCGCCATCATGGACTGATCTCGTAGAAGGTAGACCAAGTCGTAGATTTCGTCGTGTGTGCCGGATATCCGTCTAAACGGCTCCCAGAAGAACTCTCCCGCACTCGCACTGATATCTTCTGCTTTCGGGACCTGATAGAGGGCGAGCGTGTAGTCGGCCTGGGCGCACACAATCAAGGACTTCTCTGGCAAGTAGACGGTAGAAAGAATAGCCTCGCCCTCCGCCTTGGGGTCTTGTTTCGCAGTGATTTCCTGGTGTGTAGTTGAGTCCCATATCCGCAAGAGACCGCTCTCTCCGGCTGAGTACATCCACTTCCCTTCATTCAAGAACCCTACAGATTCCACCAACTCGTGCCGCAGCATTGGCGTTCCCTGCCAGCCATTCTCCCCCCAAAGCCACATCGTCATCGTCTTATCTCTGCTGCCTGTGAGCAAAGCATGCTGCTCGGGCGAGTAGTCGATGCTCTGAACATTAGACTCGTGCGCCTCCCTTTTCCTTTTCGCATCGGAGTATACGGGAGTCGCGGTGCGTTTGTGAAGATCGAAGATGCGGACCTTGCCGTCTTGTGTGCCCCAGGCCAGCCGAAACTTGGAGTCGACACCGTTGGTGCCGTCATCCTGGTCGTTCTTTCGCGAGCCCTTCTTGGGCCTTCGGTCGATTGTGGTGTCGGCGGCGGTCGCGGCGATCTCGAAAAAGTGCAGGGCTGAAATGAGAACACTCGGTCCGCTGACGGTGTGGGTTACATATCCTCCAACAATATCCCAAATCTTGATGGCGCCATCGGCGGCACCAGTAGCCAACAATGTGCTTGTTCTGTCGACGGCCAGCACAACCACAGGGGTGGCATGTGGCTTCGAGGTTCGGACGAGTGTCGTTTCGATCGAGTCGAATTCTGGGGAGACTGTGAGGGCGTAGATTCGCATCGTCAGCGACCGGGAGCACACAATCAAGTGCGACCCCGAAGGCGTAATGGTCAGGGTCGAAATCGGTTCGCCATCTCCTTCAATCTCGGCCAGATTCTTTCCAGTCGTCAATTCGGTGAGCACCGCGTTTTCGCCCAGTGTCGAGGCGAGGATTCTGGCGCCATTTTCGAGCGCAACAGATCCTCCGGTATAGATGGGCTGTATAACATTTCCAACCTCGAAGGTGGTCTTTGCTGCTTGTCGTGTGGCCATTTTCGCAGCTGTGTGGGTTTTCCTGAGAATGCGAATGCGGTCGATTGAACGCTGCTTGGTCGCGACCCCAAATTTTTTGCCCAGCCAGTTCCTGTATTTTTTTGCGATAAGAGCTGGTAAAATAAGGTTATCTTAGCGCTCATTACCCCGGTCGACCTGTTCTTGGCATCCTGCAAGGAAGCTTTGACGTGCTTGCGTCCCACTCAGCCCAGCCAACGTCCTCTGTTCAACGTGCTCCCATTTCGACGGGAGATGGGTCAATCAGCTGGTCTGATCAACTCATCGCTTATAACAGTTGCCCACCATGGGTCTTCTGGAGCCCCTAATCTCAATGGCTCTGGTATGGTAACTCTGACGCCATGGAGGATTCGATCCAACGGTCTAACCAATCTCACAGGGACGATCTCCTTATGACGAGGTAATCTTCCCAAATACCTCCCAGCAAAATGAACAAGACAACGAGCATGATGGATATCGTCAACTATACGATGAGCGGGGTCGCCCAATCAACCCGGAAACCCGGCGCATCAACAGAGATGTCGTTCGGTCGCATAACGAAGTCATGACGGTGATAGGTGTCGCTGAGCCTGACAACGGCCCCGATGATGCTCATGCAATGTCCTCTCATCGGCATAATGTCTATGAGGACAGGTGGGGAAACAGACTGCTCAATCTAGGCGGTGTTCTTGATACGGCCTGTGTCTGGGGCGTGAATGGCATGAGACAGCGCATTTTGGTGAGAACTTATCCCGCAGATCTGCAAACTCCCGGCTGACTGTAGTCTAGCTATACAAACGGTACAGTCGAGTGCCATTCACAGAGACATTCGCCCTCGCCAGACAGGATCAATCTCTAGCTGCACACTTCTTGGGCGGCTTGCCAGCATTTGGCCTGAATGCAGTGATCGATCGCATGGTAGCCCCAAAGGTCAAGGAATACCCAATGTATGTTCTCACCATGAATAGCTTCATATCATACGCTGGCTAATCATGTATCTAGACTTGGCTATGCCTCCATGTATATCCGTCTCCACCTGGTTGTGTACACCACGTTCCAACGCTTCGGCATCATTCCGGCAACCGAACTTCTTCCCAACTGGAGATTCTTCATCCCCGGCTCAAGCATATCACCTATTGTCGTCCCACCGCTGCCAACATCCCTCTGTCCAGTCGGAATTCTCAAATGGATAGGCGGCACCCTCCTCGGCGTTGCCCCCCTCGGTGGATTCTTCGCCTACATGATCGTCTACAACCACGTTGCCAAGTTCTTCCGAATGAAGATTATAAACAATCTACCACTCCCCGGTAACCCACGGCCGGCGAAACGCAGAGCGCTCCAGGATATCACTCCCGTCCCGCCGACCTTTACACTCGAGATCCCTCCACCTGTTGATCAACATCCCGTTGTCAGCGGCTCATCATCCACCCCACCACCTGCCACCGCACCCACGCAACAACAACAACCACAACCCACCACTCGCACCGCAGAGGTTCCCCCCCGAAGACAAAGCATAACAACCACCACCACCCCGGGCGCCGGCATCCCCCTTGTAACGGACGACTACGCCTCAGAGGAAGAAGAGCTAGAAGTCAGCGCAACCCTCATCTCCTTCGACGTCGAAGCAGCTGACTCTTCCAACACCCTCAGCGGTAACTTCAGCAGCAACCCCGCCGAAACAATCAACTCGGCCAACCCAGGCATATGGTCTGCCGAGCTCCGCCCCAATCCATCGGAAAACAACCGCGCCGCCCAGGCAAGCAGGGAGCGCACCTTTCGGGACAATAAACTGAGACGATTACCTGCTGCGCTGGCGACGGATGTGTTTGCTATTGGGCCGTCAAGGTTGATCATGAGCCCGGTTGCAGCGTTGTGCTGGACGGCGATGATTAGGCCTTACTTGGCGAGGGCGGGGAGGTGGGGGGAGTTGGAGGGGGTGAATGAGGTTGGACTTTGGGGGGCGTTTAGCTGGGAGGGGGTTTCGAGCTTGGTGGGGATGGAGTTGGTGTTGTTTAATTTGATGGGGAGCGTTTGGACGGTGGTGAGTGGGTTGGCGTGGACGGTGAAGATGGATGAGGAGGAGTGGGAGGAGTGTGGGGAGGGGTTGAGGGGGGAGGAACAGGAGGGGGAGGAGGAGAGATGATGGGTATTGCTTTTGGAGGGGGAAAATGGGGTGTTATAGATGAGACAATGTGATAACCTAAAGTATGATACAAAAGAAGACCCAACGCCATGGCATTTGAAGTGTGTTATGAGTTCAGGATCACGCTCTGCCCTTCCCCTTCGCTTTCGCCCTTAGCTTCCTCGTCTTTTCCTTGTCGACGATGTCTTTGACGATGGAGTGCAAATCTTGGTTTCTTCTAGCCAATAGCAGGACATCGTCTGTGGTGACTGTTGTTCTGTTGGCATGACGGCTGAAGGATTCCAGATCGGTAGCTACGTTTTCTGTTTTTAAGGTGGTCAGCAGCCGGCTATGTTATGAGATGGGATGAGATGAGATGAGATATTCCCGTAGCTGTATGAGATAGGATGAAAGAGAATGTCTTTCAGATGAAGCTACTGATCAACCCAAAGCATGAACTTACCGATCTGACTCCATACCATATCCGTCAGCGCACCGATAAACTGCGGCGTGGCATTCCTGTTCCTTCTCATGGACTCCTCATCGACGATCTTGCCGATGGAGAACCACAGGGCCGTCTTCAGCCGCTAGATTCATTTCTTGTCAGTTCCAAGTCTTACATATCACTCAAACATAAAAAAATAAACACACCTCACGGATTTCATCCTCACTTTGATCAGCCATCCTTTCTTTGTTGCGACGGGTTCAAACGTCTTGGCAGATGTCGATGAGAGACGCGCTCAGACGCGTCGCAGTGTGCAAGGCCACTGACGCGAAGTCAGCAGGTTTGCGGTGGACTTCCAGATTGGCACTAGAATCAAAATAGGTTTAGAGTTGTCTTGGGATTATGCAAGCTTGAAAGTGGGGAGAGACGGTGGTGGAAGAGCCGCAACGGTGTCTAGAATGACGGCGTTGTTTGTTTGTGTTGATTGTCAAGGCTGGCATCACAAGGTAGACTGTTAGCTATCTAGCCGGTAGACTGAGCAGGCCCAGTTTTGATCACCGTAAAAAATACAAGAACAAAACTAAAGTTTCTGATTCTCAATTCTTCTTGCCGGCCCTGCCGGAAGTACACACCCCTAACTCTACAGCGGGGTCCGCAGCACACCGCAGCACTCCCGCCTTTACGTCGAGCTCCTTGCCTGCATGGTAGATTTTCGCGCATCCTTTTCGCATCTTCAACCTATACATACTCCCTCAACCCACCACATAACCCCCCCAATCTTTGCGCCTTTTCCTTGAACATCAATCCCGTCACCGATTATCTATTCCACACCCCCAAACTCCCACCAAAATAACCTGCCCACCATGGACGACCTCGCCAACCTCGCCACCACCATCGGCGACCGCTTCACCACCAACCTCAAGTCCACCCTCGACAACATGTCCCCCCAAAAATGGATCCGAGTCATCATCGTAGCCGGCGCCTGTTCGTCTTCCCTCCCTCCCCTCATTCCCATTCTGTTCACCCACTAACCCCCCACCGCTAGACCTCCTCCTCCGCCCTTACCTGATGAAACTCGGCGGCCGCGCCCAAATGGCCTCCTACGAAGACGAGCACGCAGCGACAGAAGCCGAGTTCGCCGCCAAGGCCAAGGCCAAAATCTCCCCCAACGAGCTCCGGGGCAAAGTCCAGATACCCGAGGACACAGACTCTGAAGGTGAAGACGCAGAGGGCGGGTCAACTGCCGCTGACTGGGGCAAAAAGGCGAGGAGGAGACAGAGGGATATGATCAAGAAGCTGCTGGAGGCTGAAGAAAGAAGATTGCAGGAGAGTAAAGAGGAGGAGGAGGATAAGGACATTGAGGAGTTTCTGATCAAGGATTAAGCGCACATGAGTGGCATGGTTAAGGTGGAAAAGGGTGGTATAGAAACCGGGAACGGGAACAGGAGGGTCGGTTTATCAAAATGGAAGGACTTTTTGGGTAACGACATAAAGATGGATGGGGGTACATATAACCTAACGTACATAATGATAATAAAGCTTCCAACTGCCATGTTCAACTAGTGCCCTTCCAACTTGTAACCATGATATAAGATCCTTCTTCACCTGTCATATCCTGAACATTCAAGCAGCAACCTCCGCCAACTCCAACCCCTCCCTCCTCCACTGCCAATAACCCCCCCTAATCCGATCCCACTTCTCCATCAACCTCCTCAAGCACAAATCCGCCCTCTCCCTCTCCCCCAACTCCTTATAAACCTCGGCCAACAAATCCAACGCATGACTCGACCTCACCTCCTCCCCTTCCTCCCCCTCGCCCAACCCCTTGACAAACTCCTCGGCAAACTCCCTCACAGAACTCAACCCCCTCCCCCCTTTAACCAACACCCCCCTCAAGTAATTCCACCCCGACTGATTCTGCGGCGCCAACCTAATCTTCTCCTCCGCATAAGCCACCTCCCGATCAACAATCTCCCCAGGCACCTTTGGGTCCGCCTCGGTAGCCGCATACTTTTCTCCAGGCGTGCAGTTCTCCGGATCGGAAAACACCAAATAAAACCTATGCGACCAAGCCGAATTGTTCCTCACATCCTGCTCAATCAGCTCCTCTGTGCTCCTCAGCTCCTCCGGGTTCCCCCACACCCCCAGCTTGCCCACCATCCAGGAGCGGTAGCTCCACACGTGGTAGTTCTTTGTGTCTTCCGCCAATATCTGGGTCAGAAACTCCCTTTCCGAAGTAGCAAACGATGCCAGCGCCGGAGGGTCAGACGCGATGGAGGGGTGGTAGTGTTCTACCAACAAATTCCGGTGGTGCCAGATCTGGTAGTTTTTCAGGTTCTCCAGCGCGATCTGGTTGAGCCAGGTGATCTCGTCCGGGATGGGGAGCTTCATGGCGAAGATGTTGGCCGCGCGGAAGAGCCAGACGGTGTAGTGCGCCGGGTTGAGGTTGATGATGTACTCGGTCAGCTTGAGGGAGCGTGGGGAGTACTCTTTTGCCGACATGACGGCGCGGAGGTAGGACATTGCTTGAACCAGCTGTTAGTCTCGATTCTCTGGAGTATGGGGCGGTGATAAAAGGGGCTGGGCTCACCTTCAGCGTAGTCAGGAGAATACGCAATCGCCGCCAGGGCGTTCTCCGGATCCTCCATCACAATCGGCACCACGTCATCCCACTCCGGATCCAGCGCCAGCTTCCCCTGCCTCGCCATCCTCTCCGCGCCGTACAACTCCCTGCTTAGCCTCTCCATCTCTCTCCGTCGTTGCTTTTCCTCAGTATACTCTGAATCAGTAACCAAAACCTGATCTCCCGTCTGGTAGTCCACAAACCCCCTCTTTTGCCTATCCCTCAGCTCCCTAAACCTCTGCGACTGCAGCTGCAGACAAGACAACGTCACTCTCTTCTCCTGCCGTATTCCCCACTCCTTGGCGGTATACTCCCCGATATCCCTCCCCCGTGAGTCAACACCTTTATGTTGCTGCTGCCGTTTCTTATATTTCCTCAGATTAAACCCCCTAGCAGGAAGCGAGTGCTCATTAACCGTCTTCCACAAATCCTTCTGCCCCTTTGCACCCAAAAACCGAACCGGCAGCCGGGTGACAAGCCGTGAAGCAAGCCAGACAAGCTGATCCGCTTGCGTCGTCGATCTCTTTCCCTCGAACGGGTGACAAAGCTCAAAATGATATCTCGATAACTCGGCGACGGTGGAAGGTTCCTCCTTTTCTGGTTGTTTGGAAGCGTTGTTGTTGTTGTTGGTACTAGGTGCAGCCGGAGCTGATGGTTTGGTGGTGGTGACGGTGGTGGTGGCTGCTTGCAAACAAACAATACTTAGCATTCACAATACCAACCAAAACCCTAAACACAATAGAGCAGAAGAAGAAAAACAAACATACAACTTCCCGCTTTGGGCTTTTGCGCCGCTTTTCCTTTGGGCGGCATTGTCGCAAAACAAGAAAAGAACCAAAAAAAAAGGGAGCTGTTACTTCAGGCAGTTGGAGTGTGTTGAAATGGCGGGGCAGCAAGCCAGACGGGAGGTTTCAGGGAGACGCGGGTACACTCAAGCCCAAGCTTGGTTTCCAAAGCTTCCAGAAGGAATTCGGGCAGGGGTGAGCATGACAACAATCCCAACCCAATGTCAAAGACAACAATTGCAAGAAGAGAACCAACTCAAGTCAACAACAAAACACAAATCAAATTCTTTATTTATCTTCCATCATCCCGGCTGCTTGCGGCTTTCTCTTGCCTTGATTCAACAATTACTACGTAAGATGCTCGAAAACCGGAGGTAAAATATCCCGAGGTAGTAAATGGTACCGCAACGTAGAAATGTTCTAATAAATCATCCATCCAAATCCTGAACCAAGAAGTGATAGCAGCCACAAGTATATTAGTACAGAACCGAGCAAAAGTATCACCATTACACAATAGCCCCCTTCTTTTGAAGCTTCCCCCCCCCCCTCTTTTTTTTCCACAGAATCATTAACTCCTATCCCCGCCTGCCTGCCTTCCCTCCCTGCTGCCCATGGCCCATGTTGATCACCACCTCAAGAAATCCTCTCTAGTCCAAAATAATAATAGAAAGTCGCATTAGAAGCCTTACGCAAGCGAAAAGAAAAAAAAACCGGCCATACGGTGAATGAATCGAATAATACGCCCATACGCATGCATGACAAACCCCTTCTAGATATCCGGGTTACTTTCCACTCTCCAAAACTTCCACCCTTCCCTCTCCCCAGGCATGCCACCATGCACACCCACCAGCCTCTCCACACCATCATTCCCCTGCGCATTGAGGAACTTTTCCTGATCAATCTCCATACCACCCTCCTCATCCTCCACCGTGCCGTTTTTTAGAACCGCAGGCCACAAAACACCCACGCCGTCACCACCAAGCGTAGTCTCAAATCTTTGGTAGCCCTCCTCGTCAAGCTGCTCCTCTAACCTAGCGAGTTTCTCTCTAGGAACCCCGGGTTTTAGGAGAGTAATCGAGCAACCACCACCACCGGCACCGGTTAGTTTCGTCCAGCCTATCCCTTGGTGGTCTACCAGCTCGCGGACACGTTCGAGTCTGGGGTGTGAGACGCCAAGTGAGACCAGCAAACCGTGGTTGATGTTCATCAGCTCGCCCACACGGCGAAGGCTGTCCTCCTTCTCCGTGGAGAAATCGTCCTCGGCAATGAGCTCAGCCGATGTTTGCGTGACCTTGTCAATGGCATCAAGAATGCTGCCAACAAGCTTCGGGTGAGTGTCCTTCAACCTCCCCACCTTGGCCACCTCATGCGCCGTGGATTTCGGCGTCCTGGTGTCGACCAAAAGGAGTGGCAACTCGGGGAAATCCCAAAGTGGTTTTACATCAGGTGCCTTGCTGTAATCCGTTCTCTGGAACATGACGGCCTTGCCCTGTGTGGAGACGGTGTTGTCCACACCGGAGGGGTTGCCGTGGATGAACATCTCGTAGACGTACGCCCATCGGTTGATGCGCTCAATCTGCATGCGGGCCTCCTCAGGCGGTTGATCCGGATGGGGCCCAGAAAGTGTCCTAAGCTGAAGCAACAGGGCTGCCGAGAGACACACAGCAATAGTGGCGCTGCTTCCGAGTCCTGCGCCTATTGGAATCGTGGAGCGCAATGTGTACTGGCAGGCGGGGAACGACTGTGATCCAAGGGACAAGAACATGTACAAGAAAGAACCGGCCGAGTTCTGGTGAACTTTGCGAACATCCGCCGGCTTATCCGGCGAGACATCGGCGAGGTATGGCTGGATGGCGGCGACGAGCTCCTGGTCGATTTCGGTGACGAGACTGTAGTAGTACTTCTTTTTCGACGGCTGCTGGAAGATGGCCCAGGGCAGTTCGTCAATCCTCCACGAGTGGTCAAAGTCGATATCTGGGAACTTGAGTGTGACAGTCTTTCTCGACTTGGAGAGCGATGTTACGAGGAGGTAGGAGCGCAAAGCGATTGAAGCCGCGATCGCCGCCTGCAAGATGCGCCCACGTCAGTTTCGTCGCATTCAACCAACTCCAAGCGCTTGCTTCTTACCTTGCCGTGCACAACCGCATGTTCACCAAACACAATCACCTTTCCCGGCGCCGAAACCATAAAACTAGGCATCATTGGGCTGGACTTTTTGCGTTGCATGCGATCTCTGATATTCCCGTTCCCATTCCCGTTGAGCGTGAGGTTTCCTGTGCCGTTGGTGATCCCGTTTGTGCCTTCGACGCCGTATTCGCTGGCGTTGCTGCTGCTGGCACTGATGCTAGAACTTTCGGGCTCGGTGTCCACGTGGTAGCCGTTCTGGCCGTTCCGGCCGTTCGCAATGGCCTGCGTCATGGCTTGTTGTGACTGACCAGAATTCCACCTGTCGTGTAACTACGGCCTCGGGTGAGACACAAAGGTTTCTCTGCGTGTGAGCCGAGAACAATGTTTAGCTAGTCGGCCGTCAATGGCTTGGAGGTGTGATGCGATCTAAGAACAAAGGAGTCTCGAGCGGCGCAAGTTGATTGCTTCGCTGGTCAAGTAGATGGGCTCGATTGCCGAGTTTTTCGCAACTGACTTCGGTCCGGTGTCTTTGACTAGAAATGATCTCCGGCGTATAAGTGCTATTACTCGCCGAGATATAGCTGCACGATGAGGGCGAAGTTGGTTCCTGACGTTTGGCTTTGCTGGACTGACTACCAATAAAATAGCGATGATTGAGAGAAAGCGGACGCGAAAGAAAGGGAAAGAGGAGCAGTATAGGCGAGGGTGGGGTCGGTGGCTATTAATCTGGGGAGAAGCTGGTCACAGTCGGCTTGTTTATTATCTCTCACCTCAACTCTCGACGACAAGATAACAAAAAGAGGAGAAAGGGGTGAGAAAGGTACGAGGTGTGGTGGTACAGATCACGGAAGGGGGAGAAGCAGGAAAATATGACGGATGGACATTGGACATTGGACGCGGCACTGCTTAGCCACGATGCACGACGGTTCGCAACAGGGGGGTTACTGCTTGATGAGCCCATTGGGTAACATTTGGCTTTCTCGAAGCTCCTGATTGGGCACCAGCATGCATTTCCAACGAACCGGGTGACAGTCAGGGGGGCCACGCTATAATGAAAGCTTTGAGCTCCGTTAAAATTATTACCTGACAGCGGTGTCAACGGTCTCGAACCCAACTCTTTGTCAGCGTGTTTCGAATGCGCAAAGGCGTGCAATTTCCCCCACGAAAAATCTCGAGTGGTCCCGTGACGCCTGTGCCTCTGCTGCGGTCAACCAAGATTGCTTCGCCCGCCGCCGTCAGGCCTGGCAATATTCTCGGTTCTGTCCCAATTTAGCGATGGAGGGGGACGCATGATGTGTCTGCGATCCGCTTACAAAGGGGCATATCGGAGGTGTGGGGCTATGACATGGAGGTCTCGCGGGACTCGGTGCGGGGAGTGAGCCCGATTGACGGGAGTGGTGACACCGTTAAATCGGCTACCCCATGCGGACATCACCCGAACTCGGGGATCGGACGTGTCCGGACATGGTAACACGTCATGCAGTTTGAGATCAATTCACTGCAGATGAGTTTCGAGGAAACCATTACACTTCAGCAACCTGGCATAATTAGCAATTACCATCATGTAATGGAATGGGTGATCATGGAACGCTGATCACAACCTCCAAAGCCATTTGGTTGCTGCTGCTGCATCAGTCTAAGCCTCAGTTACGCAGTGGATTCGATCAGATGGAGCAACATCTTGTCGATGCTAACCCAGCCCAAATTCACATAATCACGCCGAAGACAAGGGACCAAACCAGTACAGGTGTTTTTTTGTCTTGATTTGTTTTGTATAGCGTTGGCAGCCGGACGTAATCCATTGTTTTGAAGAGAACCCCTTTCCTGCCTTTCAACAAGACAAAGACGAGGTAAACTCCCACGTTCGTTCCTAAATCGTATCGCTTATTTCCCGAGACGCCGTATTCATCGAGTCGCAGACTTGAAGCCTGGACCCAGCACAAAAGTCGAATTTCTCCGTCATGCCAACGCCACCAACCCCGCCCCGGCAGAGCTCAAACTCTAGACCATGCTTCCATTGTTGTTTTCAGGAGACAGTCGTCAGAATTTAAGCCTGGACCTTCTTGTTTCTCTTGGGAATGTCAGTGATGACGAGGGCTGCGGTGTCGTCTGGTCAGTTCCATGCTTTCTTCCGGATATAATGCGGCTATTCGTCGAGGAACATACTGGGAGGCAAGCTCTGCTTGAGCTTCTCGGCCTTGTCGGAGTCCTTGAGAACCAAGGTGTAGAGGTGTCTCTGGCAGCGGACCTTGAACTTGATCTGAGACTTGTTCTTCTTGATCCGCGCGGCTGTATCCATAAAAAGTCGAGTCAGTTCCCATCTCTTCATTGCCCTTCTTCCTTCATTTCCTAGTTTTCGAGTCGGTAGGTTACGTACAGGAGGCGTCCGACCGGCGGCAGATCTCGATGAACTAAAAACACAAAATGTCAGTCAAAAATGCTTTTGTCGGTTTTTTTGATTCGGCCCAAAAAACTGGCCAGGCCGTGATTTACACACCTGCTTGATATCTCCGATTTCCTGAGGCATTTTGACGGCTGTGATGAGTCTCCTGTAAACGGTCTACGGAAGTTCAAAGTCGGGGTTGGAGGGGATTTCTCAAAATTATTCAGTTTGTGTGGGTTTCTCCGAATTGGCTCGCTTTGGGTGGGGCTCCTGCACACTCGACGCCCAAGCCATCGCCAGGGGTCCTCGAGGAGGTCATAGCGCCCTGACTGTGGCTGGGTGACGTGTCCCGCTTTGTGGCGCTAGCTGTCGGTGGCCAAGGTAAGAGCGTTGACGACGACAACACCTGTTCTTATCGAAGGACTTATTTACTTTTGTTCATTTTTCCTGCTAGTTGCCCTCGAGGTTCCTTGCCGGACTTCTTTATCATTATCCAAAAGCCAGAGTTTTCACAACACTGTTTGTCAAGGACTGAGCGTCAGTGTAAGCCAAGATGCCAACGCCACTCGATCATGCAATGAGATCACGAGTAAGTGTATGCTTCAAGCTTTGGTAACAGTTCACTAACTACATATCATAGAATGCTTTCCTAGGTAACATACTAAGACCCCGGCAAGGAAGATCAGCTTTCATTAACACATGAACAGCTTTCACAGGTCTGGTGACGGGTGTTGCCGTATGGGCGATCTGGGGAGGAGACATGTTCCCCACATGCCCAGACCCAACTGGTAATCCAGAGGAATGGTCTAAAGAAGACCTCCGGAGATGGCTCGCCGCTGTATGTTGTGTAGTTGGGAGCACTGTTCTGTCTTCATCGATGCTGACCAGCCAACAGCGAAATCTTCACCCTCAAGACTCAGACACGAGGGAGCAACTGTTGGAGAGGGTTAAAGCAAACATGAGGATTCCAAGGCAGTGAATGGGAGGCATTTCTACTCCTTCATACGTACATAAAGAGAATTGATATTGCATTGAAAGGGACATGGACTTATCTTGTTGTAGGCAACGGCCACATGCTTTTAATTCTTGGCTAAAGAAGACGCCAATGCTCCAACATATTTCAGCAAAACTGCTTCCTGAACCCTCAATTCGCGGCTGTCAGCCTCACAGGCAAGAGATATCCCCAGTCATCAATTAAGGTACTAACACAAGATATGGGATAAGTGACAAAGCAAAGAACAATAGCAACCTGGGTGTGTGAGGTTTCATCCGACCAAAACATGCAATCTGGGATGTTAGCGTTGCAGTAGGGCCATCGGAGATTTATAGCCAATCAGAGCCCACAATCAGCTATGAGGTAAGCCTAGCTTGGCGGATTACTGACGCTCCTGCAGCAAGGGGCGCATGCGCTACAAGGACAGTTTGTTCTCTGACGGGAACGACAAGGCAGCAAAGGACTTTGTCCATCTTACAACCCCTCAATCCGTCCCTCGTTAAATCGTCTCCCGAGTCTGCGACAGCTCTCATTGTCGCAGCCTCTCCGCGACGATGGATATTCTACAGGTATGCACTAAGCGCATTCTTCCCGTTCAATCCTCCCCAGCTAACATGGATCCAACTGTAGCGCCTCGCGCGGTTCCTCGACCGTCCGCTATTCCCCTGGAAGAAGCTAATTATCGGGTTCTCTGTTGCCCAATTCCTGTTCGAAGGTGTCCTCGGTATTCGCCAGTATCGTGTCTTGACCAAGACCAAGCCCCCCGCCGTTCTCCAGCATGAAGTCACACAAGAGGTTTTCGACAAGAGCCAGGCCTATGGACGCGCCAAGGCCAAGTTCTCTCTGATCAACGGTCTCTACGGTCAAATCCAAAACTTCGCATTCTACCACTTCGATATTCTCCCCAAGCTCTGGTCATGGTCTGGCAACCTACTCCTTCGCTTCGCACCCACTCGGTTCACCGGCGAAATCTCGCAATCTATCGTGTTCATTCTGGCCTTCATCTTCATCCACCAAGTCGTCTCGCTCCCGTCCAACATCTACCAGACATTTGTTCTGGAGGAGAAGTTTGGATTCAACAAGCAGACCCCGAAGCTCTTCGTCACGGATATGATCAAGTCCAACCTGTTGGCTGTGGTTTTGACTCCTCCCATTCTTGCCGGTTTCCTCGCCATCATTAAGAAGACTGGCAGCCAGTTCTTCTATTACCTCTGGATGTTCGGCGCTGGTCTTCAGGTCTTCATGATTACGATTTACCCCATTGCTATCCTGCCACTGTTCAACAAACTTTCTCCCCTGGAGGAAGGCAAGCTCAAGACCGACGTTGAGGACCTCGCCAAGAAGCTCAAGTTCCCCCTTCACGAACTCCACGTCATCGATGGCAGCAAGCGCAGCGCTCACAGCAACGCCTATTTTTTTGGTCTCCCCTGGAAGAAGCACATTGTTATCTACGACACTCTGATTGAGAAGAGCGAGACCGAGGAGGTCGTTGCTGTTCTCGCCCACGAACTTGGTCACTGGAGCTTGGGCCACACCACCAAGCTGTTTGGTATTTCTCAGGTATGTCTCTCACCTCGTCACTCCTCGCACCACTGTATTAACCCTCCAACCAGGCTCACTTCTTCTACATCTTTGCCCTCTTCTCCGTCTTCGTAAACAACAACTCCCTCTACGCCGATTTTGGCTTCCACGCCCAGCACCCCATCATCGTCGGCTTCCTCCTCTTCAGCGACATCCTCGGCCCCGCCGACAATGTCATCAAGTTCCTCATGAACATCCTCAGCCGCCGCTTCGAGTTCCAAGCCGACGCCTTTGCCAACAATCTGGGGTACAATGCTGAGCTGGCTTCTTCTCTCATTAAGCTGCAGATCCAGAACTTGAGCACCATGGACGCTGATTGGGCTTTTGCCGCCTATCACTTCTCTCATCCTATCCTTTCGGAGAGGTTGAAGGCGTTGAACTGGCAGCCTACGGAGAAGGTGGTTGTTAAGGAGACGGTTGGGGAGGAGAAGAAGGAGGACACGGCTGTTACCACTGGGAGGGATGAGCTTTGAGGGGGTGAATAAGAAAATTAGTAGGAAGAGGTGGACGGTAATCCATTATAGAGGATTGATATTTGTGCGTCATGATTCATTGATATTTAAGTAGAAAGAGGATACAGGGAAGAGTGATCTGACGTTTCTGGTTCAGTCTGTTCACGAGTTGTGAGCAGAGATGGCAGCATTCTGTAGCACAAAGAGCCAACACTCACCAGCGTTTTTTATATCAACAACCCTAACCCTACGTATACCAACCCCCATATAACACCATGACTTACATCCTACACAACCTCCCATTACAAGTAAGTGTTCTGGATAAAGAAGAATTCGAATCAGATAAAAAGAAACCACCCCTCCTGGGAGTCGAACCCAGCGCAACGGAATGAGAATCCGCTATGTTAACCGATACACCAGAGGGGTTGTTGCCCGGTCATGGAGCTGTTTGCTGTTTGTTGGAAGGTGCTGACGGAGGAGATGTTTGTAAGGCATGAGGGATATGTGGAGGAAAGAGGGAGGGAGATGGGGAGGGATTTGGGTAGGAAGAAGGGCAGGAAGGATGGCAGGTGGGTAGGAAGGTGGGCAGGAAGGAAGCAGAAGGGCGGGTAACATGGAACGGGGTCAGGAAGGTGCAGTCCTACTGTAAGATGTCACTCCTGGGGAAGAAGGGAATGGCAGACACAATTGGCAAGAAGTCTGTGATATAAAGCGAAAATGGTATAGGCATCCGGAAGCAACTTCAGTTTCGGGGGATCATCACTCGTTGGTAACATCATCTGATCAACGCTCATCCAAGACCATGATGATTCGTAACAACAAACTTGTCACAGGCCAAAAAAAGTTTAAGCAAGCACTGACAGGGTGGTAAAGATAGTCCAACTACAAGAGATACTACGGATATAGGTACAGCTGCCCAGCGTCTCGAATAAGTTCTCTTATCTAGCCCCAGATACCAGTACATTGTTTGTGTGATTTTACACCAATTTGTTACTTACAGTATGTCTTATTTCCTTGCCTCATAATCCAAGATGGTCAACATCTTACAGTCATTTCCACTCGAAAGCTGGTCCGTACCTCCATCGTCAGCCTTGCCCCCTATACTTCATCTTGACCCATGTCCATATACGCATTCTACCCTCCTCCGAATCGTCAACATGTTTTGCCAGCACTGCCTCCCACCACTCGCGCGTAAGCTGCGCATCAGTCCCGGCCAGAGCCGCAACCCGATACGCTACCCAAACAATGTCAAAAGCGAGCCGCATCTTCATTTTGGTGTCATAATCTGCAACCTCCGGGATTTTGATCACAGTTCCAGTCGATATCGGTGTGAGAAAAAGCTTCCCTAATTGTGGGTGATTCAACTCGACGCCTTGTCTTGGTTTGACTAAGCATTTGCAGCGGTTAGCAATATCTTCTCTGGTCATGTCTCACAGCAGTGGACTATCTTCGAGAGAGAAATAGCTCGTGTTGATCCAATGAAGCTGGAGCTGGGTTTCCGACCCCTCCTTGTCGAATGCTTTGCTGCCAGGATTAAGATATTTGAGGCCGAAGCGGGCGTGCATCCATAGTCTTTTGACAGTGAGACCCAGGCAGATCTGATTCCAGCTTTCATTGTCGATAAATTTCTCTTTGACTTCCGATGAGCCAGAAGGGCGAAACAGATCTTTGCTGGAGTTGATGTCGATGGCGGAATCAAAGAGCAAAGGCCATGCTTGCTCCAAGCACTGGAGAAATTTCTTGGTCTTCCCAAGGTCAAGGTTGACTAGAGGAGAAATGATGTGACCGATCTCAGTGCGGTACATCTCTGATACCGTCCCCTTAATTAGACACGGGTTTTCGGTGCTGCTACGGGGCGGATGATCCGTCTCATAGTCCTCGAGAGCTTCTAGTCCTTCAAAAGCTAGAGGCAGCATTGACTGTTAGTGACTGTATGTTAATACTGTTTCTACTCCACCTCAACCTACACATTCGGATCAAGGGCCTGATTGCCCATAGTCTGCCACACCATTTAAGTACCTCCTCATCTGACATTGCCTCTTTCGCCAACTTGTTCAGCGTAGCCAGTGGGGTGACGGGCAGCATAGCAGCAAACGCCTCGTCATCGAGCTCCATCGGCTCGGCGCAAAGGAGAGAGAGCCGGGCTTAAACCTCTTTAACCAGGTTGTATCGCTCATCCAGTTCCTGGACTGAGAAAACATCTTCACCTCGTGGAGGATTTGCGGCTGAAAGCAGCCGAAAAAGCCGTTTTACATCGAAGAACGTGGTGTCAGGGGGGGAGAGCGGAGGTTTGAAATCCACTTGAGCGCCTTGCATTTCGAATATATCTTCTACTGTGCGTAGGAAAGGGACGTCGACATCAAACAGCTTGATATTTAGCCGGGTGTAGGGTTTGATGACTTCTTCAATGAACCATTCCTCATCGGCTCAGCAACCCCAGAGCCAGTCGACATCCTCTTCGCTGGTTTGGGGCTCAACAGTCGCCATGCTGAATTCCTTTTCTTGAATACCGGGTTTGCGAGTTGATGCTAGGAAGAGGTTTGAAGGTTGAGTAATGGTTGGGAGGTTGTACTTTTGAAGTGATGCAGTTGGGGAAGGTGTGAGTCAGTCAGTTTGAAAATCAAATCAAGAGGGCAGTCGCCGGAGTCAGGGAAGGAACTGCTTGCTGCAGTCATGGCCATTCGCCAGGAGCAGGTGCCTGGTGAAAATAAACGGCAGGAGCAGACTGATCTCCGGCCGTGTTGAGCTGCCTTTCAAACCTAATGACTACCGATATTTCTTTGGGCCCGTCGTTATCACCACCGTTTTCAATTCAGTACTGCAAGCAACTATTCAGTACTGCAAACAACTATTATGAGACTTTGAACAATGTATCCATGTCGAATCAACTGTCATTTCAGCTCCTCTAAATATCCCATCGTCTTTCATAGTTCGCCCGACCAATCCCTACAACACCCTCACGAAGCATAAAGAATTACAGAGTTCATCGCACACGGCAATTTGATGATCAACATATAATATGTCACTCTTCCTGATATGCAAACGTTGTGGTAGGTCTTTTTCGATATCTAATTGGACAAGACAGACGTGTTGGCGATGCATACCAATCATCCACATCTTGATCCAATACGACAAACTAACCGATCTGTTCTCCTGCCCTCAAACGGCACAGCAAACCTATCCTATTGTCTTTACATCACCTGGCAGAAGATTCCCTATTCAGGAACAACATCCAGATCTCACCTTACACGCGAGATGAGCAAGCAGTCCATGTTGTGTTTGTCTGTTGTATCTAACGTATTAAGAGGCGATTGACTTGAGCCTTGCGAGAGGAAAAAGAGAAAAAAAGGCAAAAGCTCGCTGGCCAACTCCGTAGAGGTGGCCAGCTACGAAACCCTCGGTAGGGTTTTCTTCGTAATGGGGGGGCGGTCGAAGGGGGGGTCGAATTCCTTGAAGGCCATCTCGAAAGACAGGGCCTCGCTGAGGAATCGAATTCAGGTGTCCACGGAGCCTTGTTTCCAAGGGGCATTGTTCGTTGCCTGATCCGGGCTGCCTACGTCTTACCCGCTGAACCATTTGACCATTCCAGTTACCAAATGAGTGCGTAGGCAGTTGTTGGAAGTTGGTTGCGAGAGGTGGTATGTATACCATAGTCTGGACAGTCCATCCTGTCAGCGAGAGTCGCTCTGCTTACTCTCGCAGCAACCGCCACCATGTCTACCGAACAGTCTCGCAACTCGTCGCCCTCATGGAGTGCTAGTAATCTCCATCTTGCACCCGTTTCTGATTCTGCTTTTCCCAGCGCAGCTAAAATACCATCAATTTCCGCACTCCCCCCACCGTGCTCTTCCCAACCATTTCCCACCACATTTAACCCTTCTCTTGTATTCCCGATCCCTCCTCCGGATAATTTACCTCACAACCACAATATTTCTAATCTCCTTCACAGCCGGCCTGCTGACCACCTCCCTCTCCATCGCCCAAAACCTCCTCTCCTAGCCAGTATCAATCAGCCCCCTCCTTCTCCCCTCCGCTATTTTGTCCATCACCAGCCCCCGAATTATATTCTTATCTAGACTCTTTCTCTTCTCGCTCGCACCGCTGGGAAGGGACTGTCAAGGTCATTTAACGACTTGGTAATAGCGAAAGCAGTGCAGGGAGTAGCGATGGGAATGGCGGTGGTTGATCCAGGTTAGAATTATTGGGTGGCGGCTTTTCCGGCGCAGATATTTACATCCTGTGAGTCCATTGTTGAGTCTTGATAAGACAAAGATGCTGACATTGGCCGATCCTATATTTTGTCTGAGCTTGATTGTCATCTCACTACAGTTTGACTTGGAGAGACTTGGGCCGGAGATGGAAACCGTTGGCTGGCAGTTCATTCATCACAGCGGCGCAACTGGGGACATCGATCGAAATGATGGCGGTCATCACACCAGCAGTAGGTGGTGAGCAACACCAGATTACCCCTATTAAAAGCCGGAGCTACGCTCCCCAAAACTACACCTAACCAGTAGTTCTCCCCCTTTGAGCACGAAGTCCTCGACATCAACCCGGGAGAAGAAACGGAAAGGCTGGACAGTAACAGCAACGCCAGGGTGATGAGCAGCAACTCAATGAACGAGACTATTATTATAAGCTAATAGGAGAGTGTCATGTTGAGGGTCTGATGTATTATAACACTTCACGGACAAAGAGGTTAGAGGATGGGATTATACGCTTGGTGTAGCACGGGATGGTGTTTTTGCGCTGGTCAACCTCTCCATGCATACAAGATTTACATGGTTCCTGATAGCATGAGCAATATGCTGTACCTCTCTTACATATCCGCTGTCACTACACAGTACATTCTATCTTAGTGAAGGCTGGAAGGGCGCTGGTGTTCCAAAAAATGATGATGCCTGCTGGGAGAGTGGGGGACAAGCAAAATATCAAGCTTTTGATTTCGTCCAGGCTCGAACTGGAGACCTTCAGTGTGTTAGACTGACGTGATAACCAACTACACCACGAAACCTCGTACTTTAATGCTGCCAATGTGAGAAAAAAGTGTATACATATGTTAAACTAAACTCGATGTTGGAGGTTACCAAGATACTTCAGTTTTGAGCCACGGAGCCCCTGAAGCCCCTGAATCCCAATTCCCACAACCTGCCAAACAGTAACACAATAAAGCTAGGCGCAGAACTATTTGCATTGCTGTCTAGCTTATCCCAGTGGCCTCACTAGGTTTAAGGACATATAAATTTATCGTTGCATCCTAGGGCGTTTTTATTATATGACTAGGTAAATTATCATCCCGCCTACAGAACCTTTCTGCGGTTGTTTGGTGAAATAATTCCCTTGCCAGCGGTGCCTCAAATCCCGTTATGTCCACCAAGACCCTTTCTACCCAGCGAAGTCGAGCTGAACGGCACACGAATCCCAGAATTCTGCCCAATCCTGGAAATGATCCAAGCACTCGTGTGCTGCGTGATCAAGCAACAAATGCAAGGCCTTGTATCCAGCTAGCTGCCTAAGCATCCCTGCGAAACGCATACTTCCAAAGCCCTCTAGGAGGCTCCGGAAGACCAGACTGTTCCTCCCACAGCTCATCTCCCCTCACCAACCGCTCAACCTTCTCCTTCAACTGATCTTCAAACACCCTGGACCTCTCCTCCTCCCAAAATGGGTCCTCAATCGAGTAAGTGTGTTTGCTTGGTTCGACCAAGTTGGCGCAAAACCTGGCCAAAACCGTGTCAGAGGAGGAGTTCGGTTGACCCCAGAGTCGAAGGGGTGTGATGATACGATGGTATGCTTTTATAATGGCGCCGCCCTGCTCCGCCGTCATGTCAACCCGGTCGTCCGGCGCGCCCCAGTCGCTCACATCGGCCATCACTACGCGGAGCGTCAGCCCGCGCAGGTTGAGCTTGTCCTTGGCCCAATCGACGGTAACGAGCCAGTCCTTCTGTGCGGACGAGTCGTCCTGAGGCCAGACTTCCCAGTTATACGGTGGGAAGACTACTTCGAGAGAGCGGAGCATGTCGAGGCAACCCTGGGGAACGACGTCGCGGAGAAACTCGCTCACTGCGAAGCGATCGAACGGGTACTGGCGAGGCGACAGCTCCTCGTGGTTTGGCACGTCCGATGGGGAGGAGGAGTCGTAGTCGTGCACGACGAAGCGGTTCTGTGAGAAGAAAACCACCTGGGCGTCGAGGTAGAGGGTGCGGCAGATGAGAAACAAGTCGGTTGGGGCCGCCCAGCACCGGCAAGAATCCGAAGCGGCGGAATGCTGAAGACGGCAGAAGCAACCAATGGTCCAGCATTCGACGAACTGGCATCCGTTGTGTACTTCAGGAGGGCACGATGCGCCGTACTCGCACCCGACGCGGCACAAGGAATATTTCCTGGATGTTCGACCTTGCCTACTCCATGTGACCTCGTTCCACGGGGTAACGAGGTCAGTATACTCGAGTATGCGGAGACGAAGCTCTTGTGGAAGCTTGAGCAAGTGACTGGCTAATGGCGCCGTCGAAGAGGACAGGCACGGCTTAGTGAGCGCATCGGGTGCCGTCTGGGTGATGCCACGAGCGTATTTGACGGCGACATCGGCAATCTGTTGAAGCTGGCTGTTTGTCTTCCGGCAGAGTCGAACGTGGCAGTTGGCCAATGGCGATAGGAGCTTTAGGGGCGCCACTGCCAGTTGAGCTGCCTCGACATCGTCTTCCTGAACGTCACAAACGAGCTTTATTTCCAGAGCTCGGGGGTTGACATGAGCCGACATGTAGGTAGCCGCGTCCGTCCACTCGGCAAGCATATCCTTCGTAGATGAGACCGAAAGAGTGGCCGGGGCTTGATGCAGGCCGCCATGGGCGTGGGAGCAGTAGGTCTGGCCATCGTAAGGGTATACACGTAGCAAATGGCAGCAGTATGAGTGGTTGCCGTCTTCAGGTTGATGGCACGAAGCCTCATTCAGAATGACCCTGAGTGAGGTTAAAGACGCCAAGGACCGGGATGTAAGAGATCTCAAAGGCGCAAGGGAGTGAGGGCTGGTGTAGCGGATGATGAACCTGTTCCTCGAGTACAGCAAAGTAGATGCTTCCTGATAGATGATTTTGCAGGAAATCAATAAGCCAAAGAATTCTGTTTCCTGGCCGTTCAACCTGAAAAAGTGCGGGTGATAGTCTGCCAAACCAACCCATTCATAGATCTGACGGCGTATGTCAGGAGACAGTCGCAAAAACGGGGGAGTGCACTCCATGCTGTGATAATATTGCTGTTGGCTGGTATGCGAAAGCGGTCCGGTGTAGGCTCAGGTAAGGGACGGTCAGAATATGAAGAAAGGGAGGTGTTGGGAGGAAAGTGTACCTAGCCTAGCTGGCGCAGGCGGCAAAGAGTTGTCATTGATTTTGGGTTGCCAGGGGTCTACAGTTGAGCCACTCATGGCAGTGCTAAAGGTGGGGCAAGGTAAGGTAGCGACTACTGAGCCAGTAAGCGACCTCAGGTGCCTCAAGTGTGTACCTATGTCTTTCGCCCGTATTGCGGAATCCGGGCATCGTGTTCAGGGTCGGTGTGCCGCGACGTCAACACCAACGTCACGGCGGGATGCGATGGATATGTTTGGTTTCATCAACGTCTACAAATAGACATATTGGGCTTCAGCGACCGCATCGTGTGTAACATGCGCCCTAGTAACACTGCTTGCTAGATTCAGCCCCAGACCTGCTCGGCCAACTCAAGCACCGCACAAAGGCAGGACAATGTCTCACATCGTCTGGCTGCCGCTATCAATTCGTAATCTAGGTGCTGTATTAGATACTCTCGTGACGGGACGGCCTGATGGCCACTTCCATGTCTGCGGCAATGGCCTTACGCCGCCGTCCAACCCGTTCGTTATGAGCTAGTGTTTGAGGTGTCGAGGTCTAAAAACAACTACCAAGGTCTATCATGAAGATATTCCCAACTCAAGTACCGCGTTCAGCAGTATAAGAACTCAAGAGGCAGACTGCATATCACAGCTTCTATCCTCATCACTACTCACTCAACACAGCATCTTCTTTGTCAATCCCTCTCTCATCATCATTCTCGCTAGCCGAGAATCAACGATCTTCGTCAACAGGTTCTCATTATCATTTTCCGCTCCCATCGCTAAACGAGAAGCCATCACCCTTACTCTCTAAACACTACTTTTTTCCATCAATAACCCCACCCCCCCTTTCTTCAATATGGCCAACTCTATGACCAGACACGACAGCGGCAACAACGCCACCTGGACCAAGATCATCGTCTCCAAGACGGACTACCGCGACATCATGTGGACCGACCTCCTCGAGATCGCCGAAGACCACTGGAAGTGGGTCCAGGCCCAACCCGGCGCCTACACCCGCTGGGAGTCCTGCCTCGTCGCCGCCCTCTTCCTCCCCTCCACCAAAGGCGGCGTCATCTTCTTGTCTACCATCCCCCGGGGGAGCAAGCACACGGAGATGATGAACGGCGCCCGCGCCGCCCCGGCCTGGTTCCACGCCACTACGGGGGGCACCAACCGCAACACCAACCTGCAGCTCCATGCCGAGGATGGCGCCGAGTTCCTCTTCGAGACATCACCGTACGCCAGGGGCATCGTCAGCAGGAACCTCCAGTACGTCACCCCGGATCGCGACAACGCGCACAGCCGCATGAAGCTGGCCGTCTGGGGTCGCCATAAGACCTCGCCTGCCCAAGGCGAGAGCATCGCGCTGTGCACGGTTAGCGAGAAGCAGCCCAAGTGCCCGGCTGTGGCGCGGGCGCTGAATATTGCCTACTGCGAACGGTACAAGGTACGGTTTGAGCAGCAGCACAGATAAGCAGCTTGTTATCCTCCTACCTTGGCAGTGGTAATGGCTTAACGAAGCAGTGGAGAGAAATGGGTGGCGGTCTTTGGAGTTGGGCGGTAGCATTTTGTTTTTGCTTTTTTGAATTTGGGATAGACGGGATGATAGTATGGTTCTGGATACGAGTCTGGTAATGGTGGGATTATAATGGCTGGCACCATACAAGTTGGATTAGCTAGATTAGGTAGCTTACTGGATACTCTTAAATATTTGGATAGATATCTGCACATCAGGCGCGCTCTTAGGCCCTCTTCCAACTTTCACTGGACTTTTGTGCAACACCACGTTTCTGGATTTAGTGACTGAGTTGAGCCTTCGCTTTTGATACTAGAACGTACCTCTCAGTTCTTATTTTGCTTCAGGTACAGTACAAGGAATCCGTACACTGTGAACATACTTCTTTATTTCTTAACTTTCATATTATCAAACATTTCGGGAGATTCCTAAAGGCCTTAGAAACAAGTCACACAAATACTAATGACAGAGTGAGAGACAGATAAAAGAAAAGAAAAGGGAAAAAGGTGAAGAGAAAGAGAAAAAAAGAGAGAAAAAAAGAGAGAAAAAAAGAGAGAAAAAAAGAGAGAAAAAAAAAGAGAGAGAGAAAAAAAAGGAAAAGAACATCACCCTCAAACAGAAACAATCCATCATCAAAACTCCTCACAAATAGACATCTGCCGAAAGGCCTATTTCAAAGTTTGAACCACGCTTCAGAGACCTTTTCATTTCCGGTAAAATCTTTGTGTCTCGCTATATGTGCAATGGGTGCTATCATGACTTTTGCCCTACTAGACTCTTTTCCCTACCCACTTGACCACACGACCATGTGCTGAAACAATATCTCGGTGAAGTCAAAACAAGAAGTCTATGAGATCAAGGATATTGCGACCTGTATTTCAGGACACCCATTCTCAACCTGGTCTGGCGATGGAGTTTGCAAAGTGCATATGCGTGTGGATAGGTATATAGGTAAGATACCTTACGGAAAGAGCTTTTCTAGCAGGTAAAATTATGCGAGTATGCAAATAGTTTGTAAAAATATACTATGCTTAGTTCCCGCCCACAGCACAAAAATATCCACCTCCTCTCACTCCCACTTAAACAGGCGGCACCCTCCCCCCCTCACAAACCCCCGTATCCGTATAACAAGCCGTAAACAACCTATCGCTCGCCTCCCCAATCCAAACCGTATACCTCTTCCCCCCAACCCCCGGCACAACCCAGTTCTGCAGCTCCGTGTCCCACACGCTCAAGTCCTTCCTGGTCAGCTCAACCGTCACCGTCTCCTCCTCCCCCGGAGCCAAAACCCTCGTCTTCTCAAAGTCCCTCAGCTGCACAACAGGCGTATCATACGGGATCCCCTCAGGATACTGAACATAAGCCTGCACCGAAGCCCGTCCCGAGAACGTATCCCCAGTGTTCTTGACCGTAACTGGGACACGGAAAGCAATATCCCAAAGCGCAGGATTACCCCCCTCCCCGCCACCGGCTGCGGGACCGGGCTTCTGGGCGGTGCTGTACCCAGCGGGATAGTTATACTTCTTCACCCCGGCGATACCAACAGCGTAGGCGTTATCCGCGTCGTTCTTGTTGAGCCAGGAGTAGAGGTACCGCCAGATCCTGTTGAACCCTTCCGGCCAGTACGCCTCTGAGGCGGGGGGGATTTCGGTCGAGTACACCGGCGTTGAGCCCTTGGGGGCACGGGCAGGAGGAACCAGAGACAGTGGAGTGACAGACTCGATGGTGGCATCAAACGAGAAGTTGGTGTAGCTGAGACCGTGGCCAAAAGCAAAGCGGGGCCTGATCTTCTCCTTGTTGAGCCAGCGGTAGTCAATGTACAGGCCCTCGCTGTACGTGTCCTGGACCTGACCAAAGGCAAAGCCACGGAGGTTGGCGATGCTGTCGGGGAAGTCGTTGGCGCGCTTGGTGATGGAGTAGGGAAGGTGACCGCTAGGGGAGACATCGCCAAAGAGAATGTTGGCCAACGACTCGCCCGCTTCTTGACCGGGAAGGTGCTGAAACAGGACGCCCTTGACGCGAGGGTTGTCGATCCAGGATTCGAGATCGAGAGGGCCGACGGTTTGAGCTACCACAATAACGTTGTTGTACTTCTCGGCAGTCTTCCTGACCAGCTCGTCACCGTTATGCCACGCAGCCAGCTTGGCACTGTTGCGATCACCGTTGTTGCCCTCAACAGTGAACGAGTTCTCTCCAGCATCGGAGGTGATGAACACGATGGCAACGTCATCGGGCGACGGTGTAGGGTGGAACCAAGGGAAGCCGTCGGTGTTGAAGAACTTGACGTCGGGAACCCGCTTCCTGATAGCCGAGATCGGGTCATCCAAGTAAGGATAATCGGCAACACCAGAACCCCAGCCCATGCCAAGTGTTCCTTTGTTGCAGGCGCGGTTCATGCAAGCGTTGGGCCCATCGGGGTTGACCTGGGCAGCAGTACCGAAGACATGGAGAGACTGCGAAGTCGTCAGGGGAAGGAAGCTCCCATTGTTCTTGAGAAGGGTGATGGCATCCTGGGCGACCTCTCTGGCGATCAAATAATGATCAGCCTGAACATTGACAAACCAGTTCACCTGACCCTTGGGGGAGAAGAGAGCTGCAGGATAAAGCAGACCGTCACGGTCACGGGTGTTTGACGAGAAGTTAGGCCTTGGGTGGTCCCTATCCTGACCGAACTTGTACCATGTCGCGACGATTCTGGTGACCATGTCGTTCAGTCTGTCAAGAGGCACAGACCCGTTGAGAACCGATCTGCTGAGCTCATAGTGCCAGTTGCTGAAACCAAATAGGGGAATGTTGGTGTCACCTGGCATGTTCATGTCGAGACCTGCCAACGCGGAGTCGACTCCGGAGATGTGGGACAGCCAGTCAGACATGACGAAGCCCTGGAATCCAAGCTCATCCTTCAAAATACCGTTGATGAGATAGCTGTGCTGAGAGCAAGCAGACCCGTTTACAGCATTGTAAGCTGTCATTGCCGACCCAACACCGGCATGGACGGATTCGGCAAAGGGCCACAGGTAGAGCTCGTGCAGAGTCCGATCATCTGTGGGGAGTCAGCCTTTTAGTCCGTCAAAGAGCAAGAGTCCACTCACCAATATTGGCGCTATATCCAGGCTGGAAGGGGTTGTACATTCTATACATCTCCTGCTCGTTGCCGATCAGATGCTTGATAGTAGCAATGATGCCTTGTTCCTGAACGCCCTTGATCGTCAGGGCAGCAGCCTTGGCTTGAAGAACTGGGTCAGATCCAAAGCCCTCCCAGTTGCGGCCACCCAAAGGCTTCCGCCCAAGAGGGCCTACGGAAGGACCCAGATAGACATTTGTGCCCTTGCCGCGATGCTCTTCACCAATAGCAACACCACGAGCATAGATCAGCTTCTTGTCAAACGTTGCACCAGTGGTGATGCCAGCAGGAAACGCAGTGACGTTGTCAGCCGACGACACACCCAACGCAGAGTCCTGAAGACACATGCGCGGGAACCCCAATCTTTCTGCGCTTCCAGTATTTCCTACGCATGGACTAGCGTATCATGTGTTAGTCAAAATCAGAAAAACGTCTCATTAGGGTGGTGGCACTGACCCTATTCACATGTCAGTCAGTCTCTTGTGCTTTTATATAAGCCATGTCTGGTTAATAACTCACCCATAAAGATGCCAATGCCTGAGGTGATGTTGGTCTTTTCAGCCAAGGTCATCTGCGAGACCAAGGCTTCGGCCTTGCTGTAAGCCTCTTCCCACGAAGCGACCCATCCTCCATGAGGCGCTGGATAGTATGGGGCAGCGACGAATCCAGGCGGAACAGGATCTCGAGGCGTCACGACGCTGGCGGCAAGAGAGGTGGAGGCGAAGGCGCCCAAGACTAATGAGCGGTATGCCATGTTGAGTATCTACGCCGGTGAAGCCCTCGCGACGGGATATCGAGCACAGACGGCGCACGTATTCCAAGCTCCGGGTTCTGGGACCTGAACCTAGGAGGCTTGAACCGAAACGACAGATGCAAGCTTGCGGGGTTGGCAAAGCAGAGCAAGCTGGCCGGCGCGCCTCCCGACCTGGTGGTTATTAATGCACTTCATGTCTCGGACGACTCCTCTTTGACGTTACCTTCCCCAAGGTCAGTCGTCCAAGATGGGGGTATTGGGCGCCACAAACACATGGCACCCAAGGAAACACTCTGTAGCATGGTGGAGGCTGAACCAAATAACGATGGTCAATACAAGCGGGCATAAACCGCTTTGAGATTACGGTGTAACCGTCTTTCCCTCGATCAGGGAATCGTCGACGCGTTGGAGCGCTCTCATTCGTCCGCGTAGCCATCGCGACCCAGAGATCAGCCTCATAGGAGCAGCCAGCAGCAGGCATCACATTGATGATCACATCCTTCTCGAGGCCTGCATAATCGGTTCCTGAACATCCCTCTTTGCTGAAATATTGTCTTGGGCACTCATTTTCCACCCTCACCGGCATCGTAAGGTAACGTCAGGCAGCATAAAGTATGGGGGAGGTAGCTGAACTGGAGCAAGACTGAGGCGGGGAACCTTGCCCGGCCCGCCGTCCTGCGGGAGTGACGTCGTCAAAAGGCCCGTTAAAGGCGGGAGAGTCGCATCCCCAGATCAGGTGGTTGCCATCTGCAGGTCCAACAAGGCAGGTTTGGGGAAGAGCCCCGGCCAGAAACTCCAGGTGGGTGATCAGATCATAAGCATGTGCTTCTTGTTGATATGCTCCCGCGTATATGACCATGTCCAACGGTCCGCGTATCGTGGGGTACCAAGGTGAGCCAGAGACGATTCAGATTGTTCGGATGGGCGCGATGCAACGTCGAGGCGGATTAATCCGTCGAGCGAGTGAATTCTCCCGAAGCAGTCGGCTGTGGTAAGCGATGCTTGGCCAGGTAGGTCTGTGGGTCTGAGGGTCCGCATGACTTGGTCTGTTTTCTTTGGAATGTTTTGGCGTGGTTTGGGGTGAAGATGTGTGAAGATGCTCCCAAGAACACGGGGCGCAGAATGGCAGGTGTTTTCTTCCTGTCCTTTTCTCTGCAAGCGATGTCTTCGGCTGGGTCTTGGCTCTTGCCGGAAACCTTCCCCCACACGGCCCCCCCTAGAAGATGGAACTATTCCTCACAGGAACTCGTAAAACAAGAGCCAACAACTCTCGCTGCATCTCCTTCTCTTGTCTTTTGTTTTGGCAGTTGTCTTTTGGAAAGCACCTCGTCGTCTGTTATCGCCTCGCCGGAGTCGCCAACCATCCCATGTAACGCAAGACGGACGGTCTGTGCGGCAACAAGGCCTGGGCTCAGCGAGCCGTCGCCGTTTAAGCGCCCTATCGGTTCCTGAATATCTTCAGTGCGCACGGTCGCCATGACGCTATTCAGGGCATGAAACCACACGGGGAGCATGGCACAGCCCGCATATCGCGTGCAGGTGGACGCGGGTCCGCAGAAATTAATTTGTTCTTCAACCATTCTTCTTGCCTTCCAGTTCCTTGGCGATTTCCATTCCCGCGGCCAGTCCTCAATGCTAACCTGGGTCGCAGCGTAACACGTTCCCAATCATGGCTCATCCGTGGTTCACGGCATCTCGCCTGTTTTCCTCCATGATCGCCGTCGAATATTGCTTCATGGAACATGTGTATGGATATTCTGGAGAAAACTATCAGTACTATCGATTACAAATCCTCTTGTTCTCCGCTTGCCATATCGTGATTTGGTAGGGGGCTCACCTGGATAGGAAGTTCCACGGTTCAAACGGCCATCTCCCCACCACCGATTCTAGCCTGTAGCCGGCGTTGCCCTCCCTTTTCGGTGAGCACGGCGGGGCAGAGAGACGGATATTGATCACCACCGTTCCTGAACTTATCGCTAGTCTTACTCGGCTATCTTGTGCTTATCCTAACCCCCTTGCGTGATGCGAACCCTTGTGGGGGGCAATGAGACATCCCCCCCTTCTCAGGATGTATTCCCCCTGCCCGGGAGGGCTGGCATTGTTGTTGTATGAATAGTATATAACAGCAGGGCGCATCGTGGTATTACCCCAGATATTCGTCCCAACCATCCCAGGCCTCTGTCTCTCTTTTGTATTCTTGGCCCTATCAACCTTCCTTTAGTTTCCAAGCATCATGAAGGCCTCCCTGTTTACCAGCCTATCCGTGGCTGCCCTTGCCCTTGCGGTGCCCCAGAAGCGGAGTGAGTCAATCATGCATCCACACATACAATTCAGTGAGCTATCCTGACCAACTCCTGATAGGTGTTCCCACCGCTGCTGAGCTGGCTAGGTTCAAAGTCTTTGCCGAGTATCAGGCTGCTGCGTTTTGCATGACCGAGGGCCAGCCTGCCGGCACCCAGGTCGCCTGTCTTGAGGGCCAGTGCAACACCCTGACATCGCGCAATGTTACCGTCCACTCATCTTCCTTCACCGGCACCATCTTGGATACTCGAGGCTTTGTCTCTGTTGACCCCGTAGCCAAGGAGATTGTCTTGACCTTCAGGGGCACCGTTTCCATCAGAAACTGGGTGGCAGAGTACGTCTTATCCACTTGTCTCTGTGTACCAACATCAGATCATCTAACACCCAAGCAGCTTCATCTTTGTCCAAGTCCCTTGCGACTACGCCTTTGGCTGCCTCGTCCACACCGGCTTCCTCGCCTCCTGGGCCGAAGTCAAGAGCCGTGCCATGGCCGCGGTCACCGCCGCCAGACAGGCCCACCCGACCTTCAAGGTCACCGTCACCGGTTACTCCCTCGGCGCCGCCGTCGGCACCATCGCCGCTGCCGACATCCGCAGGAGCCTCAAGATCCCCGTTGATCTCATCACCTTTGGCTCTCCCCGCGTGGGAAACAATGCGTTTGCCAAGTTCGTCACTGCTGGGGCTGGTAGCGAGTACCGCCTCACCCACGCCAACGACCCGATTGCCCGTCTCCCGCCCATCATCTTCAACTACAGACACACCAGCCCTGAGTACTGGTTTGATGAGGGAGCCGATGGTGTTGTGACTCTCGATGAGGTCCAGGTCTGCGAGGGGCATGCCAACATCCAGTGCAATGGTGGGACGGGAGACTTCAACATGGATGTGCATGGCTGGTATTTCCAGAGGTTCACCGGCTGTGCGCCCACGGAACAGCCTTTCAAGGCCCGTAGCACGCCCATCAGTGATGCGGAGCTTGCGAAGATTGTGAACGAGTGGGTGAAGGAGGACAAGGTGTTGGCCAAGAACTTGGAGCTGAGTGGTGAGGCGTAAATATCTGGTGGCGAGGGAGTGCGTGTATGATACCCTATGATCTTGGATATGAATCATGATAATATTGGAAGATTTGCAGTCTCGGGGAACTGAACCGGGTCCTTGGGTCTGGGTGCCATGTTTCATGCTGTGTGACGATGGATGGTTTAATGTGGGGTGATCAAATATGTGGTGGTCCGTCTCGGGATATCTATGCCAGCCATATATCTTGAAACTCTGAATCATCCTCCATCGCCTCGCCGTCCATTATACTGTAAACGTAAGCTGCTCCAACCATATGATGCACAACATCTCCTCCCTTCTGCGTCACAGGCCTGATAACAAACGGCACATGCGCACCGGGGAATATCACAACTTGGTCACCGACCTGGACGTCCTGCAGCGTGGTCCCCGGCCTTCCCGTGCTGTCAACAAACGAACGCTGTCTTTGGACCTTGCAAGCACCGAGATACATGAATAGGTCATTGGGTAGCTCTGTTTGCTCCTCGTCATCTACATCGGACCAAGACTGTTTCTTGCCTGTCAATATCAAGGTTTCAAACCCGGCGAGAAATACTTCTCCCCAAAGGCCATCGTCCGCTCGGGCCGTCCCGTCCACGTCAGAGTCGAGAACGGGAACCCGCCAGACGTTCTCGAGAGTCGAGGTTAGGAATTCCGAGTTACCTGCGAGAGAAGCTCGGTACGTCTCGAGCATATCGATGAGTTCAAACAGCCATTTTGTCACAACTGCGTACCACTCTGCCGAATACTTCTGGACGGTCATGTCGACCAAGGTCTTCCCAACGTTGGCAACTCGGCCAACTATCCGCCCGGGAAGAGAAATGCGCGGCTCCCCATACGCAGCCTGACCGATTTCGGATCTTGCTGACCATTCCTCCCAACTCGTCCCCTTGGTGGCGTGATATAGGTTGTTTATAGGATGCCGATCCTCGACTTTGACTGCAAGGGCGGTGAGGAACTCAGATGTCTGGTCAATGACCCATGATGGGATCGCAGCAGGGTGATGCTTGACGCTGAACAGTCTTTGGTAGCTGCTTAAAATGTTTGGGCCGTACTTCATCAGCAAGACCTTGCTCACGTCGAAAGACGCTCTTTCCATGGTGTTGGTGCTTGAGTAATCAACCGGGATTTTGCAGCGATCCTCGGGTTGCACCATCCCCAGGATGCCGTATATCATGTCCCTCTCGTCGGTAGCGGCAACCGTGTTGGACTGGAAGGTCACCTCCAGAGCCTCGAAAAGGGAAAGTCCGGCCTCTCCTACGCCTCGTTCCTGGGCATTGATCAGGCTGGCCTCGTATTTCGTACTCGCCGCCTCGAGATGGCCAAAGATCCCGATGATGATGTTCACGGCATTGGCCAGGTTAGAATATTTGTCGTCCCCGATGCGCAGTACTCGGTGCGACACCGCCAGCAAGACAGACCAGATGTCTTTGACGTCTTCCCAGAGCACGAATTCATTCCCACAGAGAACCATCGCCGCCTTGGCGAGCACAACCTCCTGAACGACCCACACGCGATGCCACCACGGCCGGTCGAAGAATAATTTCCACAGAGCTTCAAAGTCGAGTCGACCATCTTCATCACCACCACTGTCGGCGAGCTCGACCACCTCCTCTCCCAAGCGGGCCATTCGCTCCTCGAACTGGAGGTCCTCCCGGTCAGTGATGGTCTCAATATTGATGTACCCTTCATCGGTCGAGTCCCGGTACATAGCCGCCAGTGTCCTGATTGTCTGGAACGCGCCCCCGTCCGGCTCGGGCCCGAGCCAGATCAGCACATTCTTTGCAAGAGAGTACACCGAGCTCATGAGCCGAACCTGCACGGCCTTTTCGTCGTTGTCGGACTGGTTGATGCAGATGGCGTCGATCCATATCCGCGCCCTCACCTGGGAGGCGTGAAGCTGGGTGAGGGCCGTGAAGAGGTTTTTGGTGACTTGGAAAACATGACCGTCGAGGATGATGGGCCGGGTGTCATTTGCGTCGCCCCAAACGTAGGAGAGAGCATTGTAGACCGGTGCAGGTTCGGCATCGAGGAACGCGTGGCTCAAGCTGAGGTTTATGGAGGGTGAGTCGCCTAGATTCTCATGGCTAAGGGGTGGGTTGACAAAGTTGAAAGTGAGAAGGCGAATCTCGTGTCGGTCGTGGTCAAGGGGCGTATAGGAAAACATGTTCATTGACAAGTTAGCGAATTGTTCTGAAGGGTATTTCTCATGATTCGCATGACATTACACAAGGCTTCTTTTTGGCTTCAAGAGGGGTTTCATGACGTATACCTGTTGTTTAGGCTATTGTACTACTTGGCATTCATCAGCCATCCCATAGCTAAACCGGTGCTTGAATGCTTGTCTTGGGGATAGTTCTCACCCACCAATTACAACCGTTCAAAATCACCAACAACACCCCTTTCTGTAGTTGTCAGCACCAAAAAAGCATCGCAGTACTTCCAATTGGATGGCAGCAGATAGAAAAGGTGAAAAAAGAGCCAAAAACATACAACACCAGGGATTCCCCAGTGGTCACCCACCTGAGTACTGGTCTGGCCCTTGGCAGCTTATCTAGGGGAGAGCGGACGGGATCCCGAGTTTTCTGCCAGGTATGGTCGTATGTGGTAGTTATAGCTAAAACTTGCTATTATGAATGGGAGCATGTCCATCAAACTACTTTCCCCTTCTCCCCACTCCCTTCTTGCCTTCCTAGCCAGTTCCCCAGAGCCGATTCTTAACATGGGCAGCCAACGTCGAGAAATACCTACGCAATAATCAGCTCCCTCTCTTTAAACTTACAATCCACAAACTTTGTTAATTCGCCCATGCCAACCCGGACGTATAGATCCCCAAACTCAGCAGAATTTTGCTTAACCAACAGCACATTCAGAGACTGCCTCTGCTCATCCTCTTCGTCCACATTCCGGGACACAACAACCGCCATAAAAGGGCCAGCAACCCTATCCCCACGATCAAACACCCCCCAACCAAGGACCTCCTCAACATCACCACCCAACAGAGCATAGCACGCAGAATGCTCCTCAAAATCGATCACATAAGCATGGATATCACAACCCACATTCCCCAACCTCTCACCAGAAGATCTCACCACCTCCACAGTCAGGCCCCTCAATAACAACCTCGCCTCTCTAACCATTTGATCATCAGGCATCACTCCAGACGGCACACCCCCTTCAATTTCCACACAACACTCCACCCTGCCCTCCGGAACAAACGGCTCCCACGCCACCGGTCCTTCCAACGAAGCCCAAGACCAACTAGGTGCTCGCCGCGTCCACTTGGTCGTCTCCCTCAACTTCACTTCCTCCATCGCCCGATTCCCATCCGCACGCCACATCATATTCACCGCAAGCATGTCACTCCCCGGACCCCCAGCAGCCACCCCTGCGCAAAACGAAATACTATTCCTCATATCCCTAGCCTTGACATTGGCAATCATACCTTCAACAGCAAATAACTTATCCTCGCCAAAGGTGAGCTCACACGCGGTGTAGTTCTGAACAATGGCGCACCACGCCCAGGCGGGACCGTGGGAAACGGAGGCGCTGCTGCCGAGGCGTTTGTCTTGATGCTGCGGTCACCAGTCAGTTACATGCATCAAGGGAAAGGGGGACGGTTGTTGATCTCACTGCTGCCAAGACAAGACCATCCTCAGCAACACTATGCCGGATACACTCAAAGAACAGCTGTCCAACAGAAAACAGGACAATTCTCCGGCTCAGATTTCGTTCCTGGAGGACCCAGCCCCTGCTGTTCCATACGCTCGCAGTGACGACTTTGTCAAAGGATGGGGTATGTGGTCCTACGAAGAATGTTCGGGGCTTTGTACGTCCCGGTGGTAGGTAAGAGAGCTCAATAACGGGCTGACATGGCGGATATGTTTATTCCCGTGGTGGTGTGTTCAGCCAAGTTCGACTTGAGGGTGCGAAGTTGTGTGGCTGCTGGACCCCAGCAGTAGCTCAACGCCGCGTATCGTCCCAGTGCATTCTGACGATCCGTCAGTTTGACAAAGGGGGTGTTGTTAGTCCCGACGTCCAACAGCCTGGTGGGAAAGCGGGTTGTGGATGATGTGTCTGCATCCGCTAAGGGCACAGAGTTGCACTCTGTATGGCTTCTCAGACAGGTTTCGAGCCATGTCTGGATTTGGCGGAAAGCTCCAGGGGAGTTTGGTGCTGGATGAAGAGCGTGGCCGGCAATATCCCCAGATAGAGCTGCATCACTTGATGGATCTGCCCAAGCGTGCAAAAAAGCTCGGGCGTTGGAATTAGTTACGAGAACTGTTATTACACAGAGCTCACGTCTTGTGTGTTCTACCCTGTGGTATTTGTCTGAAGACAGAAGTACCTGGTGTACCCTCCCTTTCTTCAGCTTGATGGTGGGGCACGAGGTTTTGATTAGCTCGTCAAGTATTAACTTGCAAAGCGGACAGAAACTTGAAGACTGCCCCAGGTCTTGATAGGTTCGGTGGCGGTAGCCGAGCTGTTGACCGGTGGCTGTTGTGCGTATGGATGAGACTGTAAATGGTGATACACCACGACAGGAATCGCAGAGGCCCGAGGTGCTTTCCGTGTTCAGAGAGCTCATGTTTGCCTGGTAATCTTGACACGACTCAACAGTAAGGTCAGGTATCAAAGGTGGTGATACTGGTTTAGGCTGGAAGCAAAGGAATAGACGCAAGTCCAACAACCAGACCAATGGTGCCTTTTCTCGCCGCTTTTTGCTCCAATCAAGTGACGGTTCCCTGTACTCTTTACTTGGTCGCTATCTACAGACAGCTGCGCCGCTCACAAAAAACTTACCCACGCCGCATAAAAGAATCAGCAAAATATCTCCACGGAACGTTACCACTATTGTCGATGTTGGTGTTTGGATGCAGCAACGTTGGTTATGGTGGGGCTCGGCAAGTTTCCCTTCCACATGACGGCACGGCACGATGATTTCCAGCCAGGGTTTCGGGACCCGGCAGCTGGACACGATGGCCCGTGCCAAGAACATTCCAACGAGAATCGAGAAGATCATCAAAAATAGATCCATCTTCACCCGGGAGGCCAAAACAATCGAAGATCTTTCAAGTTTCACTTCAGCTGAAGATCATGAAGATCGACCTGAAACCACCTGGAATGTGATGAGTTGGAGGCTTTGGAATCGCAGATGCAACCACAACAGTTCGGCATAAACAAACTGAACGAATCGACGGAAATCAGAACAGCCACCTCCACATCTCCTCCGCAAACCTCCTTTCCACCACCACGAACCACGACAAGGGTTGTCTTCCGAAGGGCACAAACGGGCACACGGGTAGGAGCAGATGGCGCAAAACAACGCCTTCTTGCATCCCCATTCCCGTATCTTTCTTTTTGCCGACGGACCCCTCAACGTCAATATTACCGGCCCAATTCCTCAGAAATGGATGCCTCGGACTTCGGCACTGGAGGCAAGTTTGAGAGGTCGATAAAAAATCCCAAAAATGGAAATGCAAAAATACCGCTCTGACCAACATCAAAAGATTCAGGTCCCCACTGTCCCATCAACGTGGCTCGGATCAAACCCCAAGCGTTCTAGGCTCTTGGTTGGCGTTCAATAGTGACAGCTTGGACAGGAGGCCATCATGCCAGTCACTTGTCTGCAGCCCAATCATCTCGGGGCGAAATCGAATGCCCATCCCCATACACAACAACTCCCATCTGATGCTGGCTCTTGGGGCTTCCCAATGTGGGAGGTAAGGTGTTTGCTGGTCACTGCAGCGAGTGCAGTGTGAGCGTTATTCCGGGCATCCAGTGCGGCTGGAAGCACTGATGGTGTGGATTGGCGGTGATGGAGTGATTCGAGATGAGCCCAGCCAATCACATCGGCTCCTTTCGGCAAGCAGCCCCTCTTGGCAGCTCTTGGACCCTGGGATTCAGACGAACAAGCACCCCTGTCCCCAATAATACGAACGTGGGAAGCGAACAGGGGGGGCCGGATAGGATAAGGCAGAGGTCGAGGCTTGGGTGAGATGCGGGATCCGCATTCGCCAGGGGGTCACAAGGTTCATGCAGGCCTCACTCCCAATCTCCTCTCTCAGCTCGTCGACGGAAGAGAAAAGAAAAACCGATATGAAGAACGCCGCTGCCGCTCACATCGGCCTGTGGGTCGACTCCTGTTCTTCTTCTTCTCTTTCTTCTCGAACACCCCGTTTGTGCGACAGAAGAGACGTTCAGTCTTTCTTCTTCTCGGGCATTGTCGTCTGCTGTTGTCCGATCTTACATACGTTCGCTTTCCGCCATATCATTCACTCGCTCACTCGCTCGAATCCGAGACGAGATCTCACACATCGTACAACCCTCGCTATATAGACTCGACATTTCCGTCATAATACCTAATGTTTTAGACAAGATCGCAACCAGAGAACCGAGACACAATGAGAACCAGAACCAGCAAGGGCTCTATCCTTGCCGGCCTGCTCCTGGCAGCGGGAGCGGGAACCGGCAGGGCGGATCCGACATGGCCCGCACCTACCGATCAGATGGAGGAGATTGTTTTCCAGCTTCAGGGCATGGACGGGAGTTTGTTCAGTGATAACATCACGCCTTGTGATAATGAGGCCGCTGGGCCGGGGAGGGTGACAGCTAGCGAGTGGCTGCGCGTTGCTTTTCAGTATGTGACTTTTTTCTTTGCGAGGACGGTCTTTGAAAAGGGCAAGAGAAGGGTTTATTGAGATTGAAGATGGAGGGGGTGGTTTTTGGAGAACTGGAAATGGGATGAGCATCCAACTTGAGAACAAATGCTGATGCAGACGACAGTGACATGGCTACCCACAACAGGTTTTTTGACCGGGGCGGTCTTGACGGCTCGTTGCAATTCGAGCTTAGAAGCTCTGAAAACACGGGCCCAGGACACAACACCACACTCCAGTTCTACGCGACATATTTGTCCAGCCGGTCAAGTCTCGCAGATCTGATCGCGGCCGGAGCGTATGCCGCCGTTCGCGCCTGCGGAGGACCAGTCATTCCACTGAGATTGGGACGCAAGGATGCGCTGACGGCCGGCTCCTCTGGTGTTCCCCAACCAGAGAACTCAGTTGGCAGTTTCGTATCGCAGTTCGACCGCATGGGCTTCTCCCAGGCTGAGATGATTCAAGTCGTGGCCTGCGGTCATACGCTCGGAGGAGTTCACAGGACCGAGTTCCCCAACATCATTCCCGCCGGCGTGTCCAATATTCCCTTTGATACGTCCAAGGCCACCTTTGACAACAGGATTGCCACCGAGTATGTGTCTGGTAACACCACCAACCCCCTCGTAGTTGGTCCAGCAATTGCTATCAACCGCCATTCCGATTTCAAGGTCTTCAACAGTGACGGAAACGCCACTATCAACACCATGACATCGCCCAGTGCTTTCCAGAGCATCTGCCAGACTGTTTTGCAGAAGATGATCGATGTGGTACCGTCCACTGTGACTTTGACTCCACCTATCGCTCCGTACACCGTCAAGCCGCAGGATATGCAGCTCACTCTTCAGTCCGGTGGCGCCAGCTTCCTCCTTACCGGAAAGATCCGTGTCCGGACTACCGAGATTCCCGGTAGCACCATCACCAACTTGGTTTTGACTTGGAAAGACAGGAACGGTGGTAACAGCTGTGGCTCTTTGTCATCCTGCTCCACGACCGCTACTCTTCAGGGTATTGCCAACGGTTTCGATGACACCTTTGCCTTCTTCCCGATTGAGGCTACCATCCCTACATCGACCGGCATCTCCTCTTTCACAATCACCATCAACCGCAACGATGGCTCGAGCCAGACATTCGACAACAATGGAAACACCTACCCCTTGTCGGACGCCGTTGTCTTGCAAAAGACCCAGAGCTGCCTGTTGCAGACATCAGGCCAACTCACTGTTGCGGCCGTTGTTCGCAACGATGTCGTCGGTGTTCCAGTGAACCTCGATATCGAGTATCAGACGCCCCGTACCGGTAACAGCGGCAACCCAGTCCCTGCCATCAACACAGCTACTGTTCAAATGACTGAAGGTGACTGTGTCGGTCCCTACACTTTCTACTCGGCCAGCTACACCATCCCCGGCGGCCGCAGCTACAACGCCAGAATCAGCATCACTGCTGGCGAGCACACCGATGACTTCAACAAGGCCAGCATCTTTGGCGGTACATGTGGCAGCTTTACAGGCACCCTTGCCTGCGGCAACATTACTGAGCCCGTTAGCACTACGAGCTCCTCGGCCACCGCCTCCAGCACCTCGACCTCGGTCTCGAGCAGCGTGGTCACAACCACGACTACCGGCAGCACCGGTGTTCCCACCCCTAGCATCAGACCCAGCGTTGGTGGCTACAGCTTTGTTGACTGCTGGACCGAAGGTGCTGGTGGCATCCGCGCTCTTGGCGGTGCGTCTTTTGCCTACGATGAGATGACTCTTGAATCCTGCGCCGCCAACTGCACTGGTTTCGATCTCTGGGGTACTGAGTATGGCCGTGAGTGCTACTGCGGAAACAGCCTTCACTCCAGCAGCTCCGAGGCTCCTGAAGCCGAGTGCAACATGCCCTGCGGTGGTGATCCGAGTGCCTTCTGCGGTGCTGGCAACAGAATCCAGCTCTATTCTACCACGGCCACACGCAGCACGTCTGCTACTCCCACGCCAACTGCTACCTTGAGCACCAAGCCTACTGTTGGTGCTTATGTGCGTGTTGGATGCCAGACTGAGGCCTCTGCCGGTCGCGCCTTGTCGGGGAACAGCTATGCTTCTGATGACATGACTCTTGAGTCTTGTGCTGCTTTCTGCAGCGGCTTCACGTATTTCGGCACTCAGTACTCTCGTGAATGTCAGTTCTCCAGACGAGATTAATTTATAGGGATATCACTGACATAACAACAGGCTTCTGCGGAAACACCATCAATGGTAACAGCGCTTCTGCTCCCGATGCGGATTGCAGCATGACCTGCGCCGGCGACCCCTTCTCCTACTGCGGTGCTGGCAACAGATTGGAGCTCTACATCCTGGAGACTGCGTCCACCTCAACCACCGGTGCCCCTCCTGTCGAAGGTTAGACAGATCGCCTTTTTCCGAATCTTGGACCGACAATTTCCTAACATCTTATCTAGTTACGACCACGGCTACTGCCACTGCCACGTCTACCACTTCTGCTGCCCCCACAGGAACACTTTCCCGCGTGCCTACCGTTTCTCCCTATAGTTACGCCGGCTGCTACACCGAGGGCACTGGCTCCCGCGCCCTCACCGGAAAGAGCACTTATGACTCCGAGATGACCCTCGAGTTCTGTGCCAGCTATTGCTCTGGTTACAAGTACATGGCCACCCAGTACAGCGCCGAGTGCTTCTGTGGGAACACGCTTCACTCAACTGCCACTGAAGCCGCCCAGGGCGACTGCTCCATGACCTGCGCCGGCAACGAGTTCCAGTATTGCGGAGGACCCAACAGACTCGAGCTGTACGTCCAGGAGGACATCGAGGCCCCAGCTGCCCCTTCCCAGCCAGAGGCCGTTGGCAACTGGACCTTCTACCAGTGCAGAACAGAGGGAAGCCCAGGACGTGCCTTGGCTGCCGAGACATACGCCGCTGACACCATGACTCTCGAGTCTTGCGCCGACTTTTGCGCTGGCTACACTTACTTTGGTACCGAGTACGCTAGGGAGTGCTTCTGCGGTAACTCTTTTGGTGTTGGCTCGATCGAGGCGCCTGCGGCAGAGTGCTTCATGACTTGCGCGGGTAACGGATCGCAGTTCTGCGGTGCTGGTAATCGTCTGAGTATTTACCAAGCTGCTTAGAGCAAGTGATCAGGGTGTTTGTTGGGTTGACGGTTTTTTTTTTTTTTTTGGTTTTTTTGGGGGGTTTCATCGTGTATATATTTGTTTTAGTCTTGCCCGTACATTAGGATATCTTGTGATCTAGGTGTATACTTCCTGGTACTTTTGAATACCTCAAACATGCAAGTTTGTAAACAGACAGATCACCAACCTCTCCAACATTGACTGATCCAGACATTGGCAGACGTATATGTTTTTGCTCACTTGACACTCAACAACCAACCTATCCAATCTTCCGGTTTTTGTTCGGTTGACCCAAACCACCCAAAGCAAGGATCGCCATGAAACCTTTGTGACATGCCGCATCACATCACATCTCTCAGCCTCACCTTCAATTTGTTGCAGACCGTCTTTTCGAATACTCGATCATCAAACCAGTCTCAGCAACTCCAACAAGTTGCTGGCTTACTACTTTTACTAAACCTCCCAAGACCCCCTTGGCAACCACACAAATCCAACCCCAAAACCTGCTTCCAACATGCAAGCCAAGCGTCCCCTTTACCTACCTAGCGACAAAACACTCTAGGGATTTTCCCGGGAAAACCTAAATTCCCACTCCTCTTCGTGTTCGTCGGGTGTCAGTTGTCATCAATCAGTCAGTTGTTTTGCCCCAAAGTTCCAGACCCAGACCCAGACCCAGAACCCCTCACGAGTTAGTAGACCGGAGCCCCCTCCGCACCAACAACTGCTCCGCCCAGACTTTTTTTCCCCCACAGGGCATTGATTGCTTGGCAGAGACATGACTCTGGGGAAGATGGGGTAAGGGGCCAAAGAGGGAAAGGGCTCATGTGATGACGGATATGAACAGCTTGTTGGTTGACAGTGACGGTTGGATGGTAGACTACTGTGGTTGATATCACCAAGCGAAGAAACAGAGAATAAAGAGTTGGATTGGTGAACCACCAGGAATTCGATCGTCACATAGGTAAAATGCAGGTTTGAACAAAGCACCCAAGAACGACTTCTCCTGCCTGCCCCATGTCAAAGGAGGGGGCTGCACTAGGGAGCCCAGAGAACCAAAAAGCTGGAGGAGAAAAAAGCTGGAGGACAGGCGGAGGTATCCGTACCCAAAGCTCCACCAAACTTTGCATGACAATGCAAAGTGTGCTAGCTTTGGGCTTGGTTCCCCCCCCCCCTTTCCGTGTCCTTTTCCCCAGCTTTTTCTCTTTGGTTTGGTTTTGGGCAGCTAGCTAGGTGAATCCATGAATCGTTAATTAGATCGCCAGCAGGCAGAGCGAGTTCGGTTCTCGGTCTTGTCAATTCATCAGCCTCAGTCTGTGTGTGTTCGTCCGGTATTACACTACCTACCGAAGTGGTGAAAGTACCTTTTAGTAAAGTTCGGTACGTACCTACCCAAAGGGACAGAACAGACAGACAAAACCGGCCGGCAGATGCAGAATGTCTGAAAAGGGAATAAATGACTGATAAGCATCTGATTTTCTTGCTTTTGCATACATACAGCAGCATATCGATCGTTTCGGTTTACACGCCTACAGACGCCGCACACCCTTCGTCTGTGTCAATTGCAGTGACATCCAAATTGATGAGATCTAAATCCCCATCTCATTGTTCACCTCGTGGTTTCGCGGTTTTTGTTGCAACAACAGGTGTGTTGTTGTGTGTGTTGTTACCAAAAACTCTCTCGCCACTGCGCCATGGCCTAGCCTCCTCCACATCGATGGGGTCTGCCCAGCAAAGCTGAAGCTGGAGAAAATGGATCCCCCCCCCCTTCCATGGATCAAAACACAAGAGATATCTAGAGAAGGTTTGACGTGTCTTTCTTTCTCGCGTCCTCCGGGGCCGTGATCCACCACTTCTCCTCCGCCGCCGTTGGCCAATAATTTTCCCAATGGTTTTACTTGAAACTTCCTTGTCACGGACACGTCCACACCTCTTTTTCTTCATCGTCAATGAGAAGATCCTGTGCTTGGAAAGTCAAGCTAAGAAAACTTGACTAGCTTCAACACCACTGAACACACCCCCCCTCACCCCCCCTCTTCCGCATCTCTCCCACCCAACTCCCGACCCCGACCCCGACCGCCGGGAAACTACGGAGGTGGGTTGGGGTGAAAAATGGAGCCCTCTTGGCCCCCGGGGATTAAGTGGATTGAGGCAAGCGGTGCGGACATTGCGGAGGAGGAGGCGGAGGGAATGGCGGGCAATTCAGTGGAGAAAGCAAAGTTGACAAGCGGGGAGAAAGGCTCAGCCTCTTCATCAGGAGAGGTCCACGCAACACTCATCATCAAGATCGCACACAAAATTGACCCAAACCAAAACAAACTTGTCGAAAAAACAAGGGGCAACAAGCCCACCTCCATCCGCAAAACCTGTCCAGGTTTTGGATCCAAGGTAAGGTACTGCTCCCCGAGAGAATGAATACCCATCCGATCGCCGATCTTATCAAATCATAAATCCTGCCGAAGAAATACATGTACCTACTACAGTCACGACTAATAAGAACCAACCAACCCAAAAGAGAGAGAGAGAGAGTCCTGCACATCTTTTTTTTTTCTAGAAAGAAAAAAAATCATCAGCATACCTGCTGCAGTAAATAAAATCCCTAGTTTCAATTTTCGGGTCGGGGTTACGCTCGGTAGACGACGGAAACAAGGCAAGTTAAAACTGAAATACCAACCAAAAATACGGCAAGGCAAGGTAGTAGCCATGGCGTGAAATAGCCTCTTGGCTCTGTTTCCAGGCGGCGTTTCTGAAATCCCAAAAAGGGTGCGTGTAGAGAGCGAACATGGTGAGGGGAACAAGGTGAGGATGCACCTTGATAAATCCGTCTCCCGCCTTCGCTTCGACGTCTCTCTCTCGTCATCAGGCGCTAGTACTGAACAGTGTTAGAGGTTGATCAATTTCACGTGTTTTTCTTAGTGTGAACTTGCTTTTTGCTCTTGGAAAGAAAAGACAACGGTCGTTGGTTGCTACATTGGGGGTAGTAGTGCATGGAGATACTTCTGACTTGTATAAAGGTTTGACATGTCTAGTTTTCTCTATGACCACTTGATATGTTCAGCAAAGCAGCTGATCAGCATCTCATCAGAGAACCACATCACCAGCCTCTGTAACAGCAGCAAGAAGCAAACCAATTCTGATTTGTGGGGATGAAAAGCAGGGACTCTCGAAACGGCAAAAGCTCCACCGATTGTGTGGCCCAAACATCGATCCGTAACTTTCTTGTTCCTGACTCGAAGCCGAGACCAGATGACAGATGACACAGAACTTACAAAAAGGTACCCAAGGGGCACGATCCGAAAAGTAAAAAAATAAAAATAAAAAGAATACAATGGTTGCAATGGACGGATGGTGACCACTGTGTGTTGTGCATTATCTCCTTTGCCCTTTGCGTGCTCACAGCACAGGAGATAAGGGCCTGCTTTCGCTCCATCACCACCTTCAAGTCCAGTTGCCGAGAGCACATTTTCGATATTAAAACTTCCCGTCTTTCGAGAAAAAAGAGCGAACCTTGGCCGACATATTCCCTTTCTTCTCCTGTTATAAATCTTTACCTGATATGTGTAACCCATCCAGCTTTCCTTTTCAACAACAAGACACACACCGAACATTGTATAACGAAACCCCCCTGCGGAAAAATATCGGGCCAAGAAACATATCACGACACACACCACCGGGGTGGTCGTTGCTCGGCTCGGACCAGCGGAGCCTGTCGTGTGATTGGCCAGTCTAGCCCGCTCGCGTCTTTCGCCTCTTTGGCCGTGGACGAGAGGAAGTTTTCTACTTTTTGAGAAAAGAGAGACCTGAGAAAGAGAGAGAGAGTCCTACCGCTTTAATTTGAGCTACGACGACCAAGTACTACTTACATAACGATACGAGGCAAAGTTGTGTCAAAATGTGTCACATTCTCGAGCGGAAATCGCAACTTCTTGGCCTTCCCGCTCCGTGTGACAGAATCTCTGACATGTGCCGTGCTCCATCCCCAACGAGAAGAGAAGGTGTTGTCCGCTGTTGAAGATGGGACAAAAACCCCTGGGAGGAGGATGGGGTGGAAAAAAACAAAAAAAAATCAGAGATTAGCACGTGCGCAATCGCGGGGCTGAGCGGAGCAGAACGGATCAGCTCGGGGCGGAGACACACGAACGAAGCAGCAATCTTGGGTTTCTTGTTGTTGCTTCTCTTTCGCGATTGCACCGATCTCCAGCAGCAGCAAGCAGCGGCATGGGGCAAGCGTTTTTTTGATTTTCCCTTTTTTTTTTTGGCTCCACCGGTTTAATTCTTATTGGATGCTCCACAACCCCAACGGACGGACGAGAGAGAGAAAAAGGCGGGGCCGTAAATGACAGCATCTGGAGAGAGAGAGAGAGAGAGAGAAGAATTGAGGGGTTGGCCAATGGAAGCTGGCCGATTTTGAACCACACGCACACACCACACATGGTTTTGGCGAGGGATCAGGGGTCGGATCAATGGCTCGAATTGAGAAGCTGATGATACGGACGGACGGTGCATGTTCGATGCGGTGTGGTGGTGGTAAAGCTGGCAGGTGACTGAGCATAAACTTCACGCAAGAGGAGAGGAGAAGGGGGGTCCATTCTGAAATAATCATCTGCTGGGGTTGAGAGCAGCATGTGGTTTCGTGACGACGACTTTTTGGGAGTGTTTTGTGTGTACTGGCTCGATTCGACATTTTCCCTCGTGATCGCATGTGAGTGGCCCCCCCTTGAACAACTATGTAAACCCCTTCCCGATGTGGGGACGCCTTCTTCGATTTTTCAGATTGATCGGTTTCTGTAAGGTACATGTACATGTCAAGCAACCTGAATTTCAGGTGGTTGCCGCCTGGATGTATGTATATCCACCAAAAAGAGACGCGGTCTCTTAAGGGAAACGAGAGGCTCAATGGCTAATCTGAAGACTTCATCCACGACATACATATAAAAAAAACCTGCGGCATTTGCGAGCACACGAGCAAAATGGCAGTCCAGGACGGGAGGACTGCAGTCAATCTATCAAACTGACTTTGGGCATTCCGTCGTCACCGCTGCCAGACTTTCGCAATGTTTGGTTGCAACCTCGAAGGTACATCGCATTGGCTTGCGAGTTCAAAGCAGGCGATCCGCCCGCCCCGGTACGTACCCACATGGCCATGGCCAGCCAGGGCCAACCTCTCCACACCTTGTCCGCTTCTTCCTTGTCGAGCCCCCCCAGATTACTCCATCCAACCAGGGATGAAGGAGAGTTCCAGCAAAAGGTACGTATCGTCGCCAATGTGTACTTGTGACTTCCTGGAGCCATGAGGACCATGATGGCTGGCAAGATATAATCTAGTGGTAGCCCCGTTCCCTCCTGTTTCCCCCCACCTTGCTTCTCTCTTCGTGACTCGGAATCTTAGACCGACGGGGAAGTCTAGACGCAGTACCAACGACGACGACCTCAACTTGTAAAGCATACCTTGACATTGCTTATACCATTGTTCTCTCCATTGAAGTGCTTCACTGTCGTCATCACCACCACCCCATCCAGGGTTAAGCTCTTTTCATCTTAGCGACTCGGGTCCATCTTAGAGCTCCAACGACAACCACTTGCCACTTAACAAGCTTCCGCTTCGAACTGGACGCTACCTTACTCATCGCCATTGTTTGCAAGCTCAGGGGGTCCTTCTAACCTTCGAACACTGCTCCTCACCACCATACCACACCACCGGAAAACACACACACACACACACCCATCACATCACAATGCCCGGATCAGAGTCACCAGCTCGGCAAATATCACCCGAAGCCGAAAACATGCAGCCGAGGTCGCCTCCGTCAGGCTCGGGCTCGGAGCCCGAGAGCGGTAGCCAGCAAGCCGGCACCGCCGACAGACCAAAAACCACCAAACGCCGTGCCGCGAGAGCCTGCGAATCATGCCGGAGACGCAAGGTTCGCTGTGATGTTGTCACTCAGAGCCCTTGCACCAACTGTCTGTACGAGAAGGTGGAGTGCCTGGTTCCAGAGTGCAGGAGGAAAAGGTACCTTCAAAACAAGAAATCACACTTTTCCTGTCCTTCTCCCGTCGTCTTGATCGTCATCAGTGGCTGACGTATCTCTTCTTCACTTTCTTCTCTCTTACAGAAAGCATCACTCAAGAGTCTCAGAATCTCTCGGCTCGAGTGTCGGGTCGAGTACCGAGGCTTCGCTCCTGCGGGCCAAGTGCCTCGGCTCAGCCGCGCCAATGGGCTACGCTCAGAACGGCCAAAATCTCGACTTCACTTACACTGGCAACCCTCTTTTGAGGCAGCAGCTGTTTTCCCAGGCCGGGAGTGACGCGATACGAAACCAGCAGTGTAAGTTTTATGCAAGGTCTGATAGGTGCAAGAATAACGACTCTAATTCGCCCTTGGCTTGGCAGATCTGAATCTCTCCTATCAGAACGGTGCAGCCGGCTTTGGCTCAAATGCTCCTCTCAGGCCGAGGGTGTCTCCCTCGCTGCTGTACCAAAACACCGGCTTCCCACCGCTTCAGCCTGCCATCGAAGTCAGCCAGCAACTCAAATCGGTCCTCGAGGCTCAGGCACCACCAATAGCACCGGCGGAGCCGCAGCTGCCGGCTTTCATCAAACCGATTCCCAAGGCTGTCTCCCCCGAGGATCTCGACTACCTCAATGCCAAGAAGGCTCTCACGCTCCCGCATCCTCAGCTACGAGATGCCCTGCTCAAGGCATACGTCGAATATGTGCACCCGTACATGCCCGTGATGGACGTCCATCCTTTCCTCAATGCGATCAACGACCAGACGGGCCAATCCGGCAAGATCAGCTTGCTGTTATTTCAGGCCGTCATGTTTGTGGCGACTGCTTTTGTCGATGAGGACTTGTTGAAGGCCGAGGGTTATCAGGACCGGAGGGAGGCGCGGAAGGCCTTCTTCAGCAAGGCGAGGGTGAGTTTTTTTTTTTTTTTTACGTCTTTCTGTTGGCTTGGGAGGGGAACGTTGGGTAAGCGGGGGATGCTAACCATCTGCTCCCAGGTTCTGTATGACTGCGATACTGAACTCGACCGCCTGCACCTGGTCCAGGCTCTTCTCATGATGACTTACTGGTACGAATCACCAGACGACCAAAAAGACACCTGGCACTGGATGGGCGTGGCCATCTCACTGGCCCAAACCATCGGTGTGCATCGCAACCCGGTGGCGACGAATTTCCCGCCAGCAAAGAGGGGATTGTGGAAGCGGATCTGGTGGTCATGCTACATGCGGGATCGCATGATCGCCCTCGGGATGCGCAGGCCGACCAGGATCAAGGACGACGACTTTGACGTGCCAATGCTGGAGGAGGGCGACTTTGAAATCGGCAGACTCCGGGAGGACAACCAACTGCTGGGCCCTGACTGCGCTCTGGTCCGCGACGTCGAGATGCAGAGGGAGCTGGCGTTCATGTGCATCGAGATGGCGAAGCTGTGTCTTCTTGTCAGCGAGATGCTCAGGGCGCAATACTCGATCCTCAGCCGAGGCGGCATGCGGCCGGACGTCACGACAGCGAGCACGATGATGCTCCTGCCCAAGAAGGACCAGAACCCGGACGGCTTTGCCATGACTCAGCAGGTCGACGCCATGCTCAACCAGTGGGCTGTCGGCCTGCCGTCCTGCTGTCAGCGCCAGCCGGTGCCCCTGACCCCCATCGAAGAAGGGCGCAGGCCTGTTGTCCTGCAGCGCCACCTCTTGCATCTCATCTACTACACCACCGTCTCGGCCCTCCACAGGCCGCAGTTCCTCCGCCCTCAGAGAGCCGAGCCCGTCATCCCGACAAAAGCCCAGCAGTACTCCCAAGAACGGGTGCGTGACGCATCAAGGGAGGTGATCAAAATGGTCACCGAACTCCGCCAGCACGGTCTAGAGCGGTGCCTCCCCACCACCGGCGTCACCGTCCTCCTCCCCGCAATGATCATCCAACTCCTCGACTCGACCGCCCTCGACGCAGACGACCAGACCAGAGCCCAAGCCGCCCAGGGCTTCAAGGAGCTCCTCGCCGTCATGAGAAACCTAAAGGAAATCTACGCCGCGGCATCCTACGCCGTCAACTTTATGACCTGTGTTCTCCAGGGACGGGCCTCGCAGCAGCAGGTGCAGAGACCGCAGCAGGCGTTTCAGAGCGTGTCCACTGCTACTCCTGGTGGTGGGATGAACATGATGCCTTCTTCCATGCCGGAGCGGCCGTCGACGCCGCCGCCGGATGACTCGCAGTTTATCAGCTCGGCTATGCAGGGGGTCAATAACCTTTACAATCACCCCCAGCATCAGACGCCCGGGTTTGCGGGGAGTGGGATGGCGGCTGGTGGTGGTGGGGAGATGGAGGATACTATCATGATGATGGGTGGGCAGACGCCCCCCGGGACGGATTATGACTCTGGGTCGCCTGGGGCGGAGCATGGGGGTAGTGGTCTTGATGGTGGCGGGGAGGAGACGTTGAAGCACCACTTTGGGGGGGCTCAGCAGAGCGCGACTAACGGGGCGGGGAATGAGGTGGTGTATAGTGAGTGGTTGGAGGAGTATCCGGGTGATATTGGGGGGCCGGATGGGGAGTTTTTGGGGATGGGGATGGATATGGGTGGTTCGGGGTTGGGTGTCGTGGGGGAGGAGGCCAATGCGAGGTATGAGTGGAACTCTATGAGCATGGGTGGTTGAAGAAAAATATGTGATGGGGGAGGCGACAGAAGGAGAGAGAGAGAAGAAAAGCATTACGATATACCCTCGGGGGGTGTTGAAATCGCAAGGAAAGGAAAAAGAACGGAAGGGAATGGCATGGAAAGGACATGGGCAAGGGCGTTTTTTGGGATGTGGGTTGAAATAGGCATTTGGGATTGATTGGGTTATATAGGAAATTCTTTGGAAAGCGATTTGACGGGTTACATCTTGAAGATAGAGGAGGAGGAAGTTTGGAAAGAAGTAGAATCGGATGAGAATGACGACGACTAAGACTGGACCAATTGGTTCGGAGAGTTGAGAAAATATTATTAATTTTGATGATGACCCTTTGGTTGCCCGCCCTGTGTGATGATTGTGAATGGCTTCGAGACATGTGAGAGGACTCCGGAGACAGACTGAGACAGTCCACCACACAACTCCGGCGAAGAGTGGATGTTGATGATTCAAAACTCAACATCGTTCCCTTGTGAAGAGAGGTTTGGTGGAGATTTTCCCACGTCATTTTTTGTGAGTGTGCGCTTCGGCCTCGTGTCGTTGGAAAGCGAATGAGTGTGGATCAGTCAGTGGATTGTGCATCCCCTGCCGTGGGCGTTGCTGGGAAGATGAATGACGGGAATTAGTGCGGTTCGGGAGTGTTGCTATCTACTTCAGGGCGAGAGGATGCTGGCGACGTGTTAAGGGTGTCTCATCACCAACCTTGTCGGTCTCATGTCCGTTTGGGCCTAGCCCGGACGCCCCGGCTGCTACCCGAAATCACATCCCCAGAAGAAGGCGACTTTGGGGAGGTCCAAGATGGAGATCTGGGTGGGTTGTGTTACCAACCGCCAATTAAATGAGGCCGGGGTTCCTCGAAATACACTGAAACTGCCCTGCTCTGTTACTTTCCACTTTGTCGTCTCTTTCTCTCCCTTCCTTTCGGTGTGTGCGCTCACCGGTCTAATCATCAGTCGCTCTTTTTACCTGAACTGTGTTCGTTGTTCTACTGTCGCTCCCTTTGTCTACCCGTATCGCTTTTGCCCAACATCGCATTACTCTACCTGAATAACCCAATTGCCAATTGGGTCTCAAGTTCTGCGACCTCAGCCCTGACGTGTTGCGGTTTCATCGAATCTACCCTCTTTATTGGAGGACGCGCTGCCTGGCTCTGCTCTTGACACCACCCACTCGGATTAGGCTTTGGGCGGAATCGCATACGGCGTCTCGCCTTCTTTTTTGACAAGTCGCCCTAACCCAAGGTTTTGCGCCTGGCGGACAACGCACTGAGCGGGCTTTCTACAATCTGCACGTGCCCGCCACCAAGATTTCCTGTTTGTTCTGGGCCTTCTAGTTGGATCGGGGCCTTCTTTTGCTTGTTCTTCCTTGTTCGTGTCGCCCTTTCAGCGAATCATTTGACTGCCTGTGGGCACCTGCAACGGAACGCAAGGCGCAGCACGAAGAGCGAATCACAGCGGTCAAGCTTTCCCAAGCTTCCGGAGCTTCAGCAGCCGCCAAAAACGCCCTACCTCTTCCTCCACCCTTTGTAAACTATGGGACGCTCCGAGCAGAGGAAATCATACAACGTCTCGCCAGGCTCATAGGAGGGCCATTATGTCGCGCGGCGACCTGCCCCGAGATCACCACTGAACGAACATACGAGAAGAAAACGAAGAAGAAGAAGAAGAAGCTCGACCGACACCACGACAGACCGACGACAACTACACCGACGACGACGAAGAAGAACAACACCAAACAGCAGCAGCAGCAGCAGCAGCAGCAGCAGCAGCCATGGATGACCCACCGCCCATGACGGCTGCTCACCACCACTACGCAGCACCGCGGGGACGCCAGCTCGGCACAATTCCAGAACACCACGCGACGACCGCCGGCGGACCACGGACAACCGACGATTTGCTTCTGAACCTGACACCACGAGCTGCCGTCGAAGCTTTCCAGAACCCCTCGGGTTCCCTCAAAACATCCATCGATGCCGCGACACCCTTCGAACAGGCCTTTGCCATGCGGGCCGCCATTGCCTCGAGCAACATTGCGGATTGGCTCGAAGACCTTTCCAGCTGGCCATGGCCCAAGGGAGGAGGTTCTGCCGGATTTGAGATGCCAATGGCAAAGAGGAGGAGAGTTTCCAATGGAATTGACCGGGCGGACGAAGACGACCAGATGTACATTGGCAGCCTCGAGGTCTCTCAGGTGGTCCGGTACGAGAAGCGCATTGACGAGATCAACCAGGGTCTGGAGAAGCTCGACATTGAGGAGATCAAGACGCAGGTGCTACACAACCACATCATGCCGCTCTCTAGACCGGGGACCCCGTTGTTGGACTCGGGCCGTTCCGTCTCATCTGCCCTCTCCACCTTGGCAAGGATGGACGATCTCACGGCGCTGCTCACGGCCACCCTCATGCAAGCGCTGCCGAATATCTCCAAGCTCACCAGGTTGCTGAACATCTGGACATTTCGCCTGCTTGTTTTGCGCAGGATTCCCGTCTTTTTGAAGTCGCTTGCTGATGCCGAAGTGGCGCTTCAGTCTGGGTGGCACGCGATTGGTGTCAAGTCTACGAAGGCGGATGCTGCTGATACTGCCAGCTCGAACGGACCCCCCTCGGGCCCTAATGGAGTCACGGTTCTTTCCCAGAAGGAGCACGAAGTGATGAAGACGGTGCTCGAGCGCAAGGTCGCCAGAACCGGCCGGGACTTGGATGCCATGCTGGACCTGCTTGAAGGGCAGCTGGACACACTTCCTGAGGAATGGATTGACCGGGTGGACTCGTTGGAGCATGAGTATGGCGAGTGGACTGTTGCATGCGAGCAGAAGATTAGAGAAGCTGAGCTGGCAGAGCTTGCGCGGACGACACCTGAGCCAAAGACTCGGCGGGTCGCTTCTGGAGACAAGAGTCCCATTCCTCCCCCAACGCCAGAGAGCAAGGCGGCCACAGACATTGCTGAGCCGGTGGTTGTTGAGGGGGAAGGGAACAGCATCTCTGAAGAGTTCAACACTTCTGCCTCATCACGGCGAGAGTATTTCCCTTTGTTCGGTATGCCAGAAGAACCAACAAAATCAGAGCCGCGCTCACAAGACGGCATCAACAACGCGCCACAGGACCTCAGCAAGCGACTGGGCCTGCCCATCAAATTTGACCGACCTGATTGGCCAGCCATCAAGGTCCACGAACCAGCCGAGGAATACGACACCAACCCCATCCGTTCAAGTCTCGACGGGACCCGGAAATGGTCTCGGTTTGACGGAAATGGTCACCTGGTATCTTTTGATGGTCTCGAGGAAGAGAAGAAGAAGGATTCCACTGGCTTGGCTGGTTCCTCTTCTGAGGAGGACCGTGTTTCGGACGCGCTCGACGGTACGAGCGGACTAGACACGACAGGGACCCCGTCGTACCGCTCCGAGGACGAGTACGAACTGACGGATGGCTCGGATGACTTTGTGCCGCAGCCGGATCTGCCGGTATTGCCCCGTTCCAGGAGAGCAAGCGATTCCGGAACGGTGGTCCATGAGGCCAGCTTGGCTAGGTTCATGGATTTCTCGAGCGACAGCCTCGACCAAGGCACCCCTGAGCGCCCTCGGCGGCGCGACGTTGATCTTGCCAGAAGCCCCGCCGAGAGTTACCGATCACCGAGCTCTCCACCAGCTCTTAACCGCGTGGCTAATAGATCCATGTCGGTTAGCTTCAACGAGGAGCCCATGATCCGACATCTGCCCAGCATCTCGAGCTCCCCCAAGACGCCAAACTATAACCAGTCCTCGTTGTATTATGATGAGATTCCAACACAGCCCAATACCCCCGACAAGGCCAACGGCCCAGATGAGAAGCTTCAGCAGCAGATTAGCGACATTCTTCAATCGGTCCCAGCTAAGATCCGGTTGACCTCAGTACTGCCGCCGATCAACCTCAACCCACCCGACTTCAAGATGCCTACGGCACGCAAGAAGATGTCCAATCCTAACCTCAAACGCAGTGTTTCCAACATGTCCCTGAGATCCAACGGCTCGCGAGCTGGCACCCCTTCTTTCACTCTTGCACCCGCTCTTGGCCGCACTCCACGGCAACGGCCCAAGCCCGGCAACCCGGAAATCAAACTCTACCACCTGTCCCGTTCTAACGGCGAAGCACCCATCAAGCTCTTCATAAGATGTGTCGGCGAGCGCGGAGAGCGCGTCATGGTCCGAGTAGGCGGTGGCTGGGCAGATTTGGGCGAATACCTCAAAGAATATGCCAGCCATCACGGCCGACGATCCGCCGTGGCCGAGGCAAGCAAGGTGGAAGTGAAGGACGTTCCCAGATCTGCTACCGCCATGGCCATGCACGCCGACGGCACCCTCGGGTCGACACCTCCCAGCAGACCAGCATCTTCCCACAGACCGATGTCCTCCCACGCGACCAGGAATGACGACTCACTGGGTCAACTCAAGGTGCGCAAGGTGAGAAGATCCAGCGCAGCTGTCGGGAGTGAGACGCCACTGGCAACGGTGACGGGGCCAGGCAATCGCAGCAACACGCCTTCGACTGGTGGATCGAGGTCGAGTTCTAGGTTGAGCTGGCCTCAGGCTGGGGAGAAGGATAAGGAGGAGGAGGTTGTGCTTGGGATGGCGGGGCCGAGGGCGAAGCAGATTGAGATGAGCGAGGAGAGCAAGCAGTGGGTTGAGAGCGTGAAGCAGAAGGTTAGGCTTGCCAGTGGTGAGAAGATGTTGCCTGCTTATCCCTCTGGGGCGCCGGATTTGGAGAGCAGGTTTGGGGAGCTGGGGAAGGTTGGGGCGACGAAGAGGCTGTTTAGGAAGCCGGGTGGGCTTTGAAATATCTTTAAAGGATAATGCGAAGGGGGGGAAAGGAAGGCGTACTAGTATAAGTCGCCGGGTTGCTGGTTTATGGATAACTATTGTCATGGATTGGGGGTTGCATCATATGGTATGATGGAGTGGAGTCAAGAAACGGGCACCAGGAAAGGGGGGGGGGGGGGGCATCATACGATGATGGACATGGTGTTTTTTATTGAATGATGGATGGATGGATATAAAGGGAGGGAGGGGGTTCACGACACGACTACGAAAAACAACAGCATTTGCGGCGGTGGATGGAAGGGGTTTCAGACTCTGGAATGAGCCATGGGCTCTCTCACCCACACACCCACACCCGTGGAGGAGTTGTTTGTGTCTGCTGATTTATCTCTTTTCCCTTTGTTTTAATTTCCTTGCCTGTCGGGTTTTATCATTCTTGCATTGTTTTGCATAAAGGTCTATTTTTTTTCTTTTAGGTTGCTATCAATACCCTGTTTCCTTTTCGGTTTTTTATTTTTGGACATGCATTTGGCTCATGGAGCATTGCTGGTGCTATAGGATGGGGTGGGCAGTTGTGATTACACTTTTAGGCCTGTTAGACCTGGGCATTTTTTGAGAAAAGGGAGGATAAGAGATTGTTAGGTTAGGTTAGGTTGACTTAATTGACAATGAGAGTATTAAAACTACCTTGCGTGATGTGTTGATCTTTGCAATGTAAATGTTTGTGATTACATGTGATGAGAGGAGAACCCAAACCCCCACGCGATCATCATATCGCTCTACAAACTCGCGATAGCTGCTGGATTCTATTTACTGGTCCCTTTAACCCAACTCTGGAAGCATCGTTCACTTTTCCCAAAACCTTTCTAACTGCTCATGTCAACCAACCATACACTACTTTCGGCAGTGATATTATGCGTCTAGAGGTGAGTGAGGTGAGGTGAGGTGATATTAGGGGCACCCTCCCGATAATACGGTCGGATCAGTTTGCGGCTCGTGCAGAAAGCCACCCCCCGCTTGTCAATTGCTGCTTGCCGATATCGTCACCTGCTGCTGACCGCTCCGCTATCGATAACAGGGTCTAAGCTACTTATGACGGTGCGGGGAAGCGGAGAGACCTGCCAGCAGGATGGAGGGGCCCCCAGTTGTTGTTATATGTGATAGCTAATTGTCCCCATATAGAGGGTGCTTGAACTGGCGAGAAGGGTCGCTATATGTACTTCTAGAATCTACCTTTCTCATCCTATCGTTTAAAAAGCAAGGCTGGTGTGGCTGATGTTGATTGCGCTGGCTGGTTGGCCTGGCTGCTTGTGGAGCGGGCAGGCACTGCGTATGAGCTGCGTCACTGGTCTTGAGCGCATTCTCGGAAGCCGATAGGCTCACCATCGAATGTTCTACAACCTCCTGCCCACATCCTGCCCACGTCGCAGCCACTCCGGCCAGGTGCACACCACAGCTTCCCTCCCCGCCAAGGCATTTCCTTACTTACTGGCCTTTGTCCTTCCCGGTTTTTCTGTGCCTTCTCTCCTCCCTAAGTTTCTTTGTGATAGCCTCATTGAACGTTTGTTTGACCCAGTGAAGGATTTTTGGCTTCTTCCTTGTAACATAATCCATTTCGACCTCGACGGAACTGCTTCGCAAAGAAAGAAAGACCCGTCCGCTTCTTTGTTGACCACGCGAGATCAACCAACTTCCCCCCCCCCTCGACGAGTGTTACAGCTCATCCATTCTAGCTGCAACTAGCGACCCGTGCAGCGAGCGAACCAGCAGTCTAGCCTTTTCACCCACTTTCACCCACTCTATTTACTCCAGTTCAGCTGCAAGCAAGAAAGCATTTCCTGCAACCCAACTCATCAGGAGTCTCTTCCCTTTCGCGCCAGTACCTATTTTCCCCGACCAACCCCCACGTTCCCCCCCAAACCTAACATCATCTTTCCCGCAACAACAAACATCATGTCATCGTCACTCCACTCTTCGCCAACCGATATATACCGCACCGACAACCACATAAATCACCAAAAATGGTCAAAGAGACTAAACTCTACGACCTCCTGGGTATATCCCCCACCGCAAATGCAGACGAGATTAAGAAGGCCTACCGGTGAGCTTCCCTCCTCACACCGCTTCCCTGCTCCTCCCCCCCCACCTTTTGCCACAGTTTCAAGTCGTGAAGGCAGCTACCCGCACGGATGGGCTCAGAAGTTGCTTCTGACACTCATTGAGAGTGCGGATGTCTGCTTCTGCTGCCGCTGTCGTTCTACCTTCTTTGTTGTCTCGTGGCGTTTGCTCGTCTGCCTTGACGAAACACGAAACAGTTGTGGCCCATGCCCACGCAGCCGGTCTATACTTTGGTAAATGATATAAGCTGACACCCCCTCGCAGGAAAGCCGCTCTAAAATGGCACCCCGACAAGAACAAGGACAACCCGGACGCTGCCGAGCGCTTCAAGGAGTGTGGCCAGGCCTACGAAATCCTCTCTGACCCAGAAAAGCGAAAGCTCTACGACCAGTTCGGCCTCGAGGTGCTTTTGCGGGGTGGTGCCCCGCCTCCGGATGCTGGACCTGGACCAGGCCCGAACCCATTTGCTGGAGCCGGCGCTGGCGGTATGCCCGAGGGCTTTGCTTCCTTCTTTTCGAACGCAGCTGGCGGCGGCGGCGGCGGTGGCGGCACGCGCTTCTCGTACGGCTTCAACTTTAGCGATCCGAACGACCTCTTCCGGAACACCTTCCGCGAGAGCAGTGGTGGCGGCGATCCGTTTGAGGATATTCTGTTTGGTGCTACGAGGGGTGCTTCTGCTGGCAGGTCACGCGGGCCTAGGGGGTCTTTTGGATCTGAAAGCATGAGGGCCAGGCAGCCGACGCCAGAGGTGACCACGGTGGAGAGGCCGCTGCCGCTTTCGTTGGAGGATCTCTTCAATGGCGTGACCAAGAAGATGAAGATTAAGCGCAAGACTTTTGATGAGACTGGGAAGCGGATAACGACGGATACGGTGCTGGAAGTGCCCATCAAGCCTGGTCTCAAGAAGGGGAGCAAGATTAGGTTTAAGGGTGTCGGTGATCAGGAGGAGGGTGGGCAGCAGGATTTGGTGTTTATTGTTGAGGAGGTAAGTCGAGCACCGTTTACGAGACTGTCAGAACAAGGATGAATATTTGCTAACATGTCGTGCACAGAAACCCCATCCGCTTTTTGCCCGTGAGGGCGACGACATCGTTCACACGATCGACCTGGATCTCAAGGAAGCCTTGACGGGCTGGAAGCGGCAAGTGACGACGATTGAGGGCAAGAACCTCAACATTGACAAGGCCGGCCCGACGCAACCCGGCAGCTCGGATACCTACCCCGGACTGGGTATGCCAATCTCGAAGAAGCCCGGCCAGCGCGGCAACTTTATCGTTAGATATAACGTCAAGTTTCCCATGACGTTGACGCCAACGCAAAAGGCAAAGTTGAAGGAGATTTTGTGATTTTGACACACAAAAAGCAAATCTCTGAGACTGGCTCTTTGGGGATTCACACCACATCTCGGTCAACAGCACATATGATCATTACATCATGATATGGGGCGTTTGGGTGATTTTTTTTTCGAGTCAAGTGTGTCTTGTTTTATGTCTTGTGTGTTTTTATTTTTTCATGGCTTTCACACGAGCAAACCAATTTGGCATTTGTATGTACAGGAAGGCTGGTTGGTTGGTGGTGGTGTTGTTGGTGGGGGTGGTGGTCAAGGAGAGAGCAAATTGATATCATGGGGAGGTTTTAGGTTGGGCGTGGTGGATACATACATTGAATCAGTGTGGATAAGGAGAAGAAGAAGGGGAGGAGGATAATAGGTACATATTCTTTGCTCGTGGTGGAGAGGGGAATAATACAGTGTTATCAAGTCTGTCCTTGCTAGATATGCTGCTGTTGGGTGTGTAGGATGGGTGCGGCGTTTTTGGAATTTAAAACGTTGTGCCAGGCCGGCAAAGCGGCGGTGTTTAACCTGCAGAGGCGTTAATATATTTTGCAGTGTTCCAAGAGTTTCAGGATCTGGTAACCGGTGATCCCGGTGAGATAGACTCCAATGGGCCGGTGGTTTGTTTACACGTGTAAGTTGACGTGATATTGGTCATTGGGGTTGGCATTGGGTGATGGATTAGGTAAAGAGCCGGGGAGGCATGAGGTGAGCGAGATAGTGGGATCTGGGAAGGGGAATTGGGATTGGGAACCCTGAATATTCTGAATATCTTCCGCGATTTGCTCAAGAGGCATCCACGGTACCGGAGGATGTGAGATGTGTGTGGTGTGGGTGGTGGGGGGGTGGGTTGGTCTTGGTGAGGGGCTTGGTGAGATCCGAGCAGGACCCTTCCAAGAACCTCCCTCCTCACCTGTGAAGCTCTCAGTTCTTGTGGTAGAATTTTATTTGAAAAGACATAGCAATTGAGTTCAGCATCATCAATCATGGCTTTCTTTTCTTATGACAGCTATTTACAATCCCCATCAACCACCAGATCGGAATTTACACCCCCAGGGTGAAGATACCCCCAAATTTAGCGCACCCATGATATCTTGGCCGAGAGAAAAGGTCCCCTGTTTCGGCCCAATTTTTCAGGGATGAACCGGTCTGGGCAAGGGCCACTATGACGACATGATCGACAGAGGGGTAGGGTGGTTCAACCGTAACGGCCCGCGAATTGAACTCTGCCCCTCGTTTGTTGGTTTCAATTGAATTGGTTTTGATTCCGCTTCCAAAATGCGAGAGGGGAAGACCGCGTGCTGCTATTCCAAGAGGGGGGCCAAGGATCGGGTGGAAAGGGGTCCAACTGAGCGGAATACCTAGATTCTGGGAAATAAAAAGAACACGTGCTTTCCCCCTCGGGAGGTTTTCCGCCTCTTCTTCTTCATCTTTCTCGAAAGTCAAATTGGAAAGTAGAGGGAGATAAGCTTCTTCCAGCCAGCCAAGTGTACCTGCCATCTACGTCTTTTAACTTGTTGCCCGTCCTGTGGATTATTAGACTCTCTGTCTGATAAGCTCTCGGCCGAATCTTTCCCGAACAAACAACAACCCCAATCACTCTCAGACGAACCCTCTCTGTCCACTCTGAATAACCTCACTTTTTTCCCCCGCTCCAACCACTACCACCCAAACAACCATCAAAATGTCTTCCCAAAAGGTATTTCTTTCCCCCGCCCCACCCCCCATTCTCACGGTAGCTAAACCCCCCTCCCCCCAGATAACAACCATCCTCCTCGACTGCGACAACACCCTAGTCCTATCCGAAGACCTAGCCTTCGAAGGCTGCGCCGACCTAATCAACGAAATCGCCACCACCAAATCCGTCCCCCTCCCCCAGCCCTTCACCGGCCCCTCCCTCATCACAGAATTCGTCGGCCAAAACTTCCGCGGCATGATGGTCTCCCTCCAGAAGCGCTACAACTTCTCCATGACCGACGCCGAACTCGACGACTACGTCCGTCGCGAGGAAGACGTCGTCATCGCCAAGCTAAAGGAGAAACTCGTCCCCTGCGTCGGGGTTGATGCGGTGTTGGAGAAGCTCGCAAAGGAGGGGAAATACAAGCTTGCTGTTGTTAGCTCGAGTGCCTTGAGGAGAGTAAAGGCGAGTGTGGAAAAGGTTGGGCAGGATAAGTACTTTGGGAAGGATGTTTATAGTGCGGCGACGAGCCTGCCGGTGCCGACGAGCAAGCCTGATCCGGCGATTTATCTGCATGCGATCAAGGTCATGGGGAAGAGGGCGGAGGAGTGTATTGCTGTTGAGGACAGCAAGTCGGGGACGTTGAGCGGGACGAGGGCGGGAATTAAGGTGGTGGGGTATGTTGGGCCTTATCCGGAGGAGGAGAAGGAGCACATGACACAGGTGTTGACTGAGGCGGGGGCGGTGGTGGTGATGAGGGATTGGAGTGAGTTTGAGGGGGTGTTGGAGAGGATTCAGAAGGGCGAGCTTTAGAGTGGACGACATGTGGGGTAGAAAGATAGAGGGGTGGGTTAGAGGATAGATAATGCAGGTCTAGAGAGATACAGGGAGCTTTAGCTGATGATAAATTTGTTCACTTTCGCCAGTCCATCAAGTAACTGTTTACGCTTTGGAGGGTGGCTCTGCCGGGGTTGGCGTCGGGGACTGTGTTCATGATGTGCCCTAGTTTGACCCGGATGGCAGTCTTGGTGAAGGACTCCCTTTGGTCACTTGCTGACCAAATGTTTCCCTCGGCGTCAAAACACCAGCAGTAGAGAGCTAGAGCGACGCCTACCGAGAGATCTTTTCCTGACCCGCAGAGTATAACGAACCTCTTCTCAGGCACTGTGCCTTCCACGTCTGGTTTTGTCTCGCACAGAAAACGAGATGCAAACTCACAGATCCTTGGCAGAGCATCTCTCAACAGCCTACTGGCAGCCTTGCTCTTCCCCAACCCAACCTCGATATGAGAAGGTGACTTGACCCAAGAATCCTGAGGGGTTGTCTTGGGCAGCAAGCTGACTACACACGTCCCCGGGGTCGCAAGTTGAGCGTCAACCGCTTCGAGGGTGCCTACATAGATCCCCGGAGCAACTCTTCTCACTTGCCCGGCGGAATCACCGGCGGGCCCTTCCTCGGCCACGAGCCTCTCGATAAGCTCGGGGAGGTCACTCTCTGGTGTGGAGACTAACTCATCCTTGTGCTTCCACCAAATCTGCGCCGTCAGACCCAGCGCCCAGTTCTCCGTGTCGTCTCCTGCTCCCTGGATGTACCCGCCCTCACCTAGCTCTGTTCCAGTGACTCTTCGGGAGCTGGTGCAGCAGACTACTGGGTGGAAGTCCTCGGAGAATGCAAGATCGAGAGCGTCGTCTTGGGTTATCCAGAACGGGCGGAGCGGTTTCTTCAGCTGGGCCCTGAGAGGTGCGAGGTCGATTTTGAGTGAGCGAAAAGACTCGACAAAGTCCGGGAGCCGGGCTGAGATTTGACTGGCTTCCGAATCCGAGACTGCGTTTGGTGGGACGTGGAGGGTGTGTGAGGAGGGGATGTCTGGGAAGAGGGCCCGGTTGAGGACTGCACACCAGGTTGGGATTGTTTTGCTTAGAGCGTCTGGGTGTCCTGATCAGGGTGTTGTCAGACTTTGTTTCAGCGAGTGGATGGATGCAAAGGATGGAAACAAAACTCACGTTTGCCTCGCCGGGTAGAGTCAACAATGATGCACCTGCAGGTAGGTAGCCGTCGGATTAGTTCATGATCCCCCCAAACCGACGAGTTCAGTTGGCTGGTAAACGTGGACGGGTAGCCGCATGATAATAATTAAAAAAAAAAATACATGATAGACATTCATACCCATTATGTTCCCCAGCTACACCCAGCAAATGCAGATTTATCCTCCTCGTGCTAAACTTCCACTGGCCGGTGTGCCCATCTGTGCTTTTGAAGTAAGCAGAGGCTGTCTTCCTGGCCGGATCGATATACCAGCTCCCGCAGCGCTCATTCGCGACCAACGGCAGCTGCAACGCGTCAGCAACACTTTCGACAAAAGAGGCGTCGTGTTGGATCGATCTGAGCCGGTTTGTGATGGAAAGGTTGGAGCGCTTGAGGTCTCCGAGAATGCGTGAAAAGTTGTGGTTGGCCTGCTCGGGGAATATCACCTCGGCCAGCGTGGGGGTTGCTGCAGCCATGATGGAAGAATCCTGTCCGGGCTGTTGGCGTTGTGGCTCTCATAAAATTACCTCGAAAGTGAATGAAGCTCAAAGATGATACCAGATTTGATCGTCCCCCGCAGGGCTTGAAAGGGGTGCTGTGGTTGGGCCGTCGTGGTGCGCTAAAAATTCCACGTTTAGCGGGGACGGTTAGCGTTGTCTCGTAGGGCTGAAGATAAACTGGGGAACATTCCATTTCTTTTTCCAGGTTCCGCTCTTCACTTTGAGTCCGAGGTGCGAGATTGCTCACGGTAGAGAATGAATAGCAACCGGTGAGTAGACCTGATGCTTGACAATAGCACAGGCCGCGTATGCCAGATCAAATTCCAGGATATTGTTCATGACGACCACAGAGAGTAGCCTCGCGGTAGAGGGTATATCAGATTCAATCGGCCGATAATAGGACCGTTGCACACAACGGCCCGCTAGCTACGTTGCACGATCGAAAGCTTCCAAGCTTCTTCGGTCATCAAATAGGCATGGTGGCCTCCCGAGGCCATCAGCAGCAGCCAAAGCTCGAGACTTGCCGAAGTGAACCATCGGGGTCACCGACCAGATGCCTAGTTCTTGGTTCTGGCGCCAAAAATATCATCTCGTTGTCAATAATGTCAGATCAACGATATAACTTACAAGAAACACTAAGAGAAACCCATATTTACACATTTGTCAGGCAATGGGTTTGAAACATGGGATTGTTGGGGACACGGAGCAGCGCAACATCGAGAAACGCTTGCTCAACAGTCTGGGCAAACCCCAAAACCTGGCCCCGCGATCTGACTGGCTACTAGTGGTGTGTTTTGAACTCGAAGGATTCAACCAGCTGCGGCCAGACACGTCCCAGAGCTGGCCAAGTATGATTCGGGACCCGGCTGCCACTTATCATTGTGTGATTTTACACAACCCATGGGCCTGGACTGGATCTTTCCTTGGACTATGGGGAAGCGATTTTGGTCAAGCAGGGGAAATAAGGACCTGCTGAGATAGTTCGGACTGAGAGAATAGTGACTGAGGTCTAAGCCACACACATATCTCCTAGCAAGCAGCTTAGTCATCAGATCAAAGCATGGGCGGATATACGAACGTGTGTCTTTCCTCTGTTTACCCGGGGATACACGGAGGATCGCCGGCCTTTGGCCTCACCGCTCGTCTGCACGACCGCAGACCGGCTCCGAACAAGATAACGGACCTGCTTGCACGGCCCCGTTCGTTCGGTGGCAGAATGTTTGCACAGCCTGCCCCACATCTGAGAACGGATTCCAGAGTCGGCTTGGGGAAGAGGGGCCGAAATGCAATGGACAGCACCTTGCAGAGACCGACAGGAAGAAAAGCAAACTTCCCGCTTCTTGGCCACCATTCTTCGGTGGTCAAGCTTATTCCAATCCCTTCTTAGTTTGAGAAAGATACGAACGAGGGATATTGACGGCTAGCTTGATAATTCTGAAATTTGTGAGTACGGAGTGTATTGGCCGTCCCCGAGGGCACATGGCGCGGGATGTGCCCTCATGGCTATTCTCCAAAAAAAAACCAGTGGGAGGGCTCACCGCTTCCACACCACCCACATCATGGAAAAACCTCCCCCAAATCAGCAATGCCACCTCCACACTTGGAAGATGTGGCGCAGCATCTCAGACTGAGGCAGCCAGCCGTTTGAAGAGCACCAGTGACTTCATTTTGCGGGGAGATATCGACGCCATCTGGATTAACCCTGCCTTTGAGCATTCTGAGATTCGAGGCTCGGCATAACCCTGGTCCGTCTCAAGTCTCACTCTCCCAGTCAGCCGGCGAATGGCATCTCACGAGACTCGACCCCCGGAACTCTCCGACGATATGTTGATATGACTTGCCAAATCGGGACACAACTTTCGAGGACCAGACGGCGCAAATATCCCCCGCACCCGACTGAAAGGGACCTGACGATAGGAGATCGAGTGGCTCAGATGAAGTCCGACGAGGATGAGTCTCAGACCTTAATATCAAGCAAGAGTCGACGCATGAATCGCACGTCTGCGTAGGGCTGAACTCGCGACTTGCAGAAGCCACTCGGCTCTGCATCAAGGATTGTCCAATGCCCGTCATTGTCATTTTTCAATGTCTTGACAGGATGGCCATGCATCGATCGACCGGCTGGTGGTTGTTGGTTACGGCCAATTGGTACCATCAAAGGCGACCCCAAACATGGGCGTCGTTGGCTTGCTCATAGGGCTGAAATGGAGGGGCAAGCTCTTCTTTAGCATAGAGGTACCACTCAGGTATGGACCGTGCTCGTCGACCCCGCCATCCATCACTCTCCGCCTTCCCCTCCAACGGCATGTTCCTATCTCCATGATATCGGCCGGTATCTGGTTCGGATCAACGCACCGGCGTTTTGTTAAAAAGACAGGCTGAAAAGCAAGGCTCGACAAGCAAGCCAGCGGCGCAAAGGCTTCGAGCTGGCGGTCAGTATAACGTATGTGGTGAATCGGGACACGATGGCTCTAGACCTATTGTCAATGGAGAAGGACCGTCTCTGACAAATGGAGGACACGCGAAAGTTCCCAAACGGGTGATGGTGAGGGAGGACGGCAGTAGTGTTTTGGTAGCACGAGGTCGCTGCGTCATCACCGTCGTCGTCTGTCCCCCCGTACCCCGTGGGATTTTGGTGGAGGCGCGGTGCAGCTGTCTTGATGCAATACTGATGTCGAAGGGTAAGGTAACGGGCGGGGTCCAGAGCGTGGCGTCTGCATTCGACCCCAATTCCAGGCAGAGCTCCTTCCCATCGAGGAAGACTTGTTCCAAAACATTCCGTCACGTAATAAACGGAGAACCGTCACTGATGATTATTTCGGCAACCAATTACACCCCGCATCAGCCAATCCCGAACTCAAACGTCAGCCACCAAGGTGAGACGATAGAGTTGAGCATCGCAGCCGTGTGACGGCTTGCCACGCAGACTAGCTAGAGTTCAGCAGACACAAGTCGGCATTATTACTATTCTTTGCCTTATTTGCCCTCGCTCGGAGCACTCGATAGGACTGACGCACTGGTTTCTCTCGGACTTTCCAAGATCGATGTGCGAAAGGAAATCATCGAGATGCAATATGCATGGTACATATAAGTACCTACCTTTACCTTAGTCTAGCCCTCACCCCTTGCGAGAAGCGGCAGGGTACCCTGGGCGCTGAGACAGACACTAGCCCGGGCCGCCCGCATGCCCTGAACGACAAGAAAAAGTGGGCTGAACGGCGGCCTGAACGAGCCGTGGTCGCCTGCAGGTATCATTCATATCCCATTATTAACGAGCCTCGCCCACCTTCCCCCTCAACCCCCTTGCTCAGGTTCTGTCTTGCAGCAAAGCTGTGCCCACCTGTCTCCACGACAAGACGTTTCCAGCAGAAATGATGCGCCCTTGAGCTGACCTCCAACATTAATACCTTTTCCCCTGGTGCTCGACCAATTCTCCTCTTGCACACTCACCTTCACTTTGTTTTATTGTTGACTGCAAAGCTGGGGCTTCCCTGTCTCCATACAAACACCGTCCGAACTCAAGCTTCCCTGTTTACTCCATCGATCAAGGGCCGGCCCGAACGACTTATACCAAGGGCTCCGCCAATCGAACAACAACGTGGGCAGTGTAGGTAATTTACAAGAGGTGACAGCTCAACGCGCCCCAAGAATTCTGACAAGCCAAGCGCGATGGCTTCTCTGATGCCAGTCCACGCTGTCTTTGCGCCAGCTGGAAATGGCGCTTCGAATGGTGGTGGTGGTGGTGGTGATGGGCAAAAACCAAAGCGCGCGAGAACCAGCAAACCCAAGGTCAAGACGGGGTGTAACAACTGCAAGTAAGGGACATCCTCCCGCTGTCATCCCGCCAACGAGGTTCAAACTTCCCGGTGATGCATATTGTTGTGTCTGTTGGTTGGTGGCGCTGACCCCTGTTCTCCACAGACAACGAAGGATCAAATGCGACGAACTTCGACCAGAATGCTACAACTGCGTGAGATCAAAAAAGATTTGTTCCGGATACCCTCCTCCTCCGCGCAGCGCCAGACCGTTTGAAGAAATTAGAATTGCACCAAAACCAATTGCCGGTGCCGGTGCCGGTGCCGTTGCGGCCGCTCCCCCACCCGTTCGCGATGCTCTTCAACTGCAGCCTCACCCACGACGGGTGGCCAAACAGCTCAAGCGGACCACAAGCCCCCTTACACCAGTAACACCTCAAGCGTTCATGATGCCAACAATGCCAACCATGCCGGCTTTGCCGATTAACGTCTCGATAAATCTCCCATTCACCGCCGAAGAAGGACTCTATTTCCAGCTGTTCCGTGAGCGGACGGCAAGTGAACTCTCGGGCTTCTTCGACTCTGCCTTCTGGGCACGAAGCGTCCTGCAGGAATGCCATGGCGCATCCGCCATTCGGCATGCGGTTGTTGCTCTCGGAGCCTTGTACAAAACTCTAGATAAAACAAACGAGTCACCGCCGGGGTCACCAAGTTCAAACGCCAGCCCCTATGATAGTGCCAGGAGGCACTGGGAGATGGCTTTCAGGCAGTACGCCAACGCTCTGAGCGCGCTAATCAAGGCCGATTCAGCAGAGTCCTCCAACAGGACGAGATTGATGGCGAGCGTGCTGTTGGCATGCTTTGACTCGTTTGTTGGCGACCACCAGCAAGCTATTGTCCAAATCCAAAATGGGCTTCGACTGTTGGAGAAGCTCCGCCAGGAACGGAGACGGGCATTCTTACCCAAGCCTGAGGAGCCGGTGGAGGAAGAGCTCATTCAGATGTTCACTCGACTAGCCATTCAAGCAAAATCCTACGACATGGCCTTCCATTTTCCACAACCCTATGTCGTCCGCCTGACCGCGGCTGCCCAAGACCCCAGCTCACCGGGCTCTGAGGGCGGCTCGCCCATTTCAACTGACCAAGGTCCCGTCCCAGAGCGATTCTCAACTGTGCAGGAAGCTCGTATCGTATGGGATCGCCTTGTCGAGCGCATCTTCCGCTTCACCGAGACTATGTTTGTTGAGGCTCAACACGGTGTCATGGGCATCCTTCCAACCACGCTGGCGCAGCGCGGTATGCGCTTCAAAAAGGAAATGGATGACTGGGCTCATGCATTCGAACACATCCTTCAGTCCAGAACGGCACCGGGCGTGAGCAGCCAGGAAAAGGCATGCATTGCTGCAGTGAAGATGCATCAGATCATGAGTAGTATTCTGTTTATGATGACATTTTCCGACAGCGAGCTGCACTTTGACAAGTTCACGCCGGATTTCAAGCACATTGTGGATCTCGCTCTGGAAGTTGTTGGTGACGAGGAAAGAAGAGCGGCAGCCAAGCGTTGCCCAGATCAGAGATTCTGTTACCACCAAAGCCGATGCGAACCCGATATCTTTGGAGGCCACGAATACGCCGCACGCCATATCAAGCCCAGCTTCAGCGCGGATCTGGGTATCGTTCCGCCGTTGTATGTGGTGGCGACCAAGTGCCGTGACCCCATCCTTCGACGGCAGGCCATTCAGCTCCTGAGGAGCAGCGCCAGGAGAGAAGGCATGTGGGACAGCGAGCTGACGGCACGCATCGGGATGTGGATCGCCGAGGTAGAGGAAGAGGGTTTGTTTGCCCCCAGTGATTTTACTCCGTCGCCCACCGGTTCGAGCCCTGTACAGCTGTACTCGCCCCGTCCGTCGACAAGCGGCAGTTCTTTGACGCCGCCGCCTTCTGCGACATACAGCGGAGGCCGATCGAGCCTCAGCCCTCAACCTGGGTTTGAGTACACAGACAGCCCGCCTAGTCAGAATGGATATGCACGACAGTCGTCGCTTTCACCCAGTGTTTTGTCGGTGCAGATACCGAAAAAGATTGTGCCGGCAGAGAAGCGCGTCATGGTCAGGGCAGTCGAGTTCAGCCTGCGTGACCGATCGGCTACGATACAACTGGGCTCGCGAAACCTCAGACTGGGGACACCGGATTTGAGGACGAAAGTAACGAGGATTACGTGGTGATGGAATTATGGGTTTATCTTTTTGCTTTTCTCTTCTTGAATATCTCGACTTTCTCATATACCCGGACAAGTGCTCTCTAGTCTTGTACAGAGGAGGTCTTTTTTTTCTTTTCTTTTCTTTTTTCTTTTCGTTTCGCTTCTTGTCGCATTGTTGAAACGATATTTTTTCATGTATGTGATGGGGGAAAAGGGGGCGGGAACGAAAACAGAAACGGGGGGTTCAAGAAAACGGTACACAGGAGAGCATGGGTCGAGCAATTGGATCTCACGATCTTGCGTGTATTTTGGGTGTTTTGTTTTGTTTTGCCTATCTAGCTTGACTTGGTGGCGTTCTGTACTGCCAATGTTGAATAGTTGTTTGGTGTTGGGGGCAAGGAGGGTTAGACAAATCGCCAGGGAACTGCTGTTGTGTGTCTCCCAGCAAATCCGTTCATTTTGGAAGAGCTGGTATCTGAAGAAGTTAGCGGGACGGGATGGGAAAACAGAACGACGATGCTCTAGTCTTTTTTCGCTTGGAAGGAGAAAGATATTTAAATAAACCAACCCATCTTGATCAAATTAGATTGCTTTGGCCGTGATTGAACTCTTCGTGTCTGTCTTGAGGGAAAGGGAAATGCCCGTCAGGCGCGTGAAGCCTTCCCTTTTTTTTTTCTTCTTTTTTTTTTGCTGCATTTCTAACAACTCCTTGGTGGGTTTTTAGAAGGAAATATTCAATAATAAGGCAGGAAGGGGGAATCTTAATGTGGCCAGCCTCTTTTCATGAGGAAACAATTGGGATGAGCTTTCCTCCAGGTTTGGGCAGAGAGATGTGAGGGAAGGGATCTGCTATTTGTCTACCGCAGTCACTCCTTCCTCACCTCATCTCTTCCACATCCTGAGCAACAAGGGCAGGAGCAACCGCGATATATAGATTCCTTCCCAGCTCCACTCCCGCCACAGCGGCACCGGCCAAATGGTCGAGCTGGTAAGCAGGTGAGCTTTTTGCTCCCAACCCACCCCCTCCTTCCATATAGTTATATGACATGCCTTGGATCGTTTGCTTTACCATTTACCGACCGGCACAAATATAATATTGGATCAAAGTTGATGATGAATCCCATCAAATTAGTCGCTCTTCTTCCATCAAAAAGCTACCGCTTACAGCCTAGGAACTATCCATCATCTGACCCCATCATCCGCCTATACACACTCTTTCTCCCCTAGGACATCCCCCAAGCCTGCCCCTGTCCGGGTTGTCCCCCCTCCCCCTCCCACCCTCCACTCCGCTGCTGCTGCTGCTGCTGCTGTCCCTGCCCCTGTCCCTGATACTGCTGCTGCTGATGCGCATGCATCATCTGCTGATAACTCTGCTGCTGCTGCAACTCCCTCTGCATCTGCGCCTGCTGCATCATATAACCATAACCCATCTGCTCATCCCCCATCATCATCTCCGGCCCCATCATCAACCCATCCCCCCCAAACCCAAACCCAAGCCCCAACCCCCCTCCCGGATCAAGCTTCTCCATCTCCCTCATAAAGAACGACCGCTCAATCTTCTCCATCATCACCCTCTTCCCCTTTTCCCGGTCAAAAACCGCCATCGTCTCCGGGTACTTCCTCACGTTGAACCAGTGCGTCAGACTGCGCAGGGCCTGCTCGAGCGGAAGGGCTTCCTCAACCTCTGCGTCGATATCGGAGCCGGCCAGCCATTCGTCTCGCAGTTCTGGGCGGCAGTAGAGGTACACCGCCGTGATTACCCGCATGTTTGACTGCCGCCACTTGCGGCCGCAGTAGGGGACTTGGTTTTTGAAGAGTTTGAGGGTGTACAGCCGTAGTTCCTGCTGGGGAACCTTCAGGGTCTTGCGGAGGATGGGGGATGACTTGTACTGCACCAGCAGCAAGTTCCGGTGGGCCTTGTTCTTGCAGATCTTTTGCATGATTCGTAGATAGTTGATCAGGCAAAAGAAGTTTCGCCGCGAAAAGTCCGTGATGGGCTCGCTGGGGAGAGGGTTGACGGGGTAGCCGAGCTCGTCAACTTCTGGGCGCGTGGGGGGTGCTTGTTGTTGTTGTGCATCAAACGATTGCTGTGCGTCTTGGGACGCTCCTCGCTGATCAGGTGTGGTTGTTGGTGATCGACGACGTTTGATGGGCGGGGGGGCCGCGTCGTCCTCTTCCTCACTGACTTCCTCGACATCCTCGAATTCTGTAGCTGTAGGGTTAGGCATGCCCGGATGGGGTATCACGCCAGCCCGAGAGCCGCAGAAGTAGAAGAAGCTATGTTACCATATCAGCTTCCCATCACTTCCAACCAAGACGAATGAAGATATACACACCTATGCTCGAGACGATCAAGTTTATTTTCCACAACCTGCTGTACGTCGTGGACAGCAAACAACTTGAGTACCAGCGGAATGTAGCAAGAATCCAACAGGAGCTGTGTCAAGTACTCGAACTTTAGAACGTCTGAGGCCCATGTTAGCACACTATCATCACAATGCTCGCTCCTGCAAAGAACTTACGAGAGAGCTTCAGCCACTTCAACAACAGGATCAGGATACCCGTGGCAGCCTTGGCAGCAATTTCCCGATTCCTCATCTCATCCACATCTGCATCTGAGGGCGAACCCGGATCAGGTCCCTTCCCGCCGGCCCCATTAGGCCCAGGCGCCTGGCTCGGCCCATTAGCCCGGCCGGCAGGTGGACCACCACCCTGTTGCTGCCCATTAGGACTGGCAATAACCATGTTACTAGCAATGGCCAGAACCTGCTTCAGCAACACCACAACCGCAGACTGGAGCTGCGGCAGCGCCTCCTTGTAAAACTCTTCAACTGCATCCAACCGCCGCTTCGTGTTGTCGTCAACCTCCCTGGGGCCATAATCCGCTCCTGATCTGGACGCCTTTCCGTCTTTGTCTCCTGGCTTCACCAAGCCCAGTTCCTCCTTCTCCTCAAGCGTCAACTCGTCAAGGTCGAGCTCATCGATGAGATCCTCATCCGCTCCCTCGCAGCCGCCCCTGCCCTCTTTAAGAAACTTCTCTCTCTCGTCCCACAGTTGCCGAGTAGCCCGCGTCATACGCACTCTCTTAGAGAAGAGTTCTCCTGCTTCCATGATCGAGGCTGGCACATCGCTGCCTTCCCACTTCCTCCCCACCAGCAGATCCTGGAGCCCTGCTCCTCCTTTCCCACCTGCGCTGTTACTAGTCGCGTCAAGCGGTGGGTACATGAAAGGGAAATTCTGGTTGGTTTGGTAGTTTTGTTTCTTTGCGCCCTTACCACCGGCTGCCGGGCTCGGGGGTGGTGATGGCGCTGGTGTCGCAATATGAACGGGCTGGTTAAGGATCGATCCTCCTCCCGTCTGGTTAGGAGGACCGGAGATAATCCCAGTTTGGGCGGTGTTTCGGGGTGGGTGACTGGGTAAGTGAGGTAGTAATGATGTGTGCTCTGCTTCCAATGGAATTGCTGGCTGAGGCGGGACGTATGCTGGGTATTTTGATGTAATCTCCTGTCGGAATACGTGGTAGTCCAACGGCGAGGCCGTAATCAGTTCCATGTCTTTTTCGTTGATCTCCCTCTCGCTTGTCGCCTTCTTCGTCTCTGAAAGCTCCTTCATACCACCAAACACCAGCAATATTGACTTCCAAAACAAGAGGAAGATCTGAGTCTGTGGCAAAATCCCAGCCTCATCCCACCTCAGCTTTGCCGTCGCCAGCATGAGAAAGTCCACCAGGTTGGGGTTCAAGGCAACTGCAAACATGTTAGCAACCAGTCTCCCTTTTCTTCACCAAGAAAAAAGGTGCACTTACGCAACCTCGGCCTGACCTCCTCCATCCCTTCTGAATCCTCCAGAGTGACCTGAATAACGACATACATGACCGTCATCAAATGAATCAGCTCCTCCACCTGCATCTGCAAACTCTGCGGCGGCTCATCCGCCCAAAACGGCTCAAAGGCCCCTCTCAGCGCATCCCACATCACCTCCACCCCTCCACACTCCGCCAACACCCTCACCCCCTCCTTCATAGCATCCAACTGCACCTTCGTAGCCGCACTCTTGCACTTCCCCTCCACAACCCCATTCAGCATCCCCACCTTCCTAACAGTCACCGCCTCCGTCCACCGCCCCAGAACAAGATATACCACCGCCCCAATCGCCTCCCCTCTGACCATCCTATCGTCTTGATCATCGCTCAACGGCTTGATATGCCCCAAAATACTCGTGACAAACTCCTTTCGTTTCGAAACATCCACCTCATCCCATCCCGGCGGGGGCTGAGCCTGGCTTTCTGTAGGTGAAGACTCGGGCGAGGCAAAGTACTTCCCCCACGCCGTGTGAAAAGCCCTGTTGGCAGCGTTCAACCTAACCCACTGCCAGAAATTATACATGAACCACTCGTCGATTTCCTCCTCGAGGGGGCCCATGTCGGTGTATTCGTAGTCGTAGGCTATCGGTTCTCTGTTGGGGAAGTCGTTCACAATTCGTCTAAGTTGTGCCAACGAAAGGGAGTCGTTTGGTGAGACATTTTGTTGTTGCTGCTGCTGGGATTGTTGACCCTGCTGCTGCTGCGGTTGAGAGGCATCATTGGTCTCGTTGCTGTTAGCTGTGTTTGGAATCGGTGGTGCGGGGACAGAGGGGACAGCTGGGGGAATGGAAGTCGCTGAGGGTTGTTGGTTACGGACGAGGAGGGGGCGCTTGGCCAGGGATGTGGGAGGAGGAGGGGGTGGTTTTGATGTGTTGGCGGGGCCAGCAGCGCTGGCGTCGACCGTGCCATCTTGGTCGACTCCTGTTTTCTGAACTGGTGGCTCAGCTGCAGGTGGCTGCGATGCTTCTTTTCCTTTCTTGGATGCGTCATTCGCAGCGCTCGAGGCACGGGATGGCCAGAGTGAGTTCATGATATCGTTTCGTCTGGAAGCTCCCCACAGAAGCTATGAATGGTTCGGCGGTCAAGAAGTTGCGAGGGGTACTGTCATTTTTCGTGGGGGATTAATTGAATAATAGCGAGTGTTTTGAAATGGCTGCGTAATCTAGTTTCGTCGGAGGTGTTGAAAGTACAAATAATCTTTTTGATTTCGTGTCACGTAACGTTGACGTCGGACGAGGAGGGAAGCTCTTCGTGTTCAGCCTTGGGCGGCAGGACCCAGAGTGTTGGTGTACTAATGGCGGGAAGTGGGTCATTTACAATCTAATCAAAAGTGGGACACTGCATGATCCCTTGTTCACATCAACTTCATTGATATTCATCAGCAGAAAAGGATGCAATTTTTTATTATAGAGCATCTTTCAAACAATCCTCAACTCCGAAACGTGGTATACCCTTTTCTTTTTCCCGTGACGCCAGCACAATCATATAAGACAAAAAATCAAAAAGAACAGTAGTGCCAAAGAGAACAAAAACCCGAACGCTTCCTTATTCCGCTATGCATGCCCCTTTCAATGATCCCAATCTTTCCTTCTCACGTAAAATCTCCCTTCCCAAGTATCCCTAGAAGCCGATTATCTCCCTTCTACCGTTCCATCCATGTTTGATCCTCCACGCTTTACTTCCTCCGCTCTCGCTTCCCAGACCCCCCACTTACAGCTCTTTATTGTCTGTATCCTTCATCATCAGCTGTTCATGCCTTTGCCAAAAGCACTCCCAACCCCCAATCCTGAAACGGAAATCTTGCCCTTGCTCCACCAGTCTCTGATCGCCCTTTAGCCACCACCCTCGAAAGCCCTCAACCTCGCGCCCAGAACTCAATTCTAGTAAGCCCTGTACGTCTGGCTAGCAATCAGAAACCTCTTCCCATACTTCGACTGCTTGGCCAGCGAATCCCAGTTCGGCACCAGAATAAACACATCGTTGAAATGCTGCTTGACCGAGTACTCCTCGTTGCTCCTCTTGCTGACTCCGAAGTAGACCGTACCAGAGACATTGACCATGATCATCATCCTCACGCCGTCGTTAGGCCCGTGAATATCGATCAGGTTCTGAGTGGCGCCAAAGCGGTAATCGGCGTTGATGACGTGCGCATCAAAAGTGTCGACGACGTAGCTGACGTGTTTCTTGTCGTTGGTGGCTTTGGGGGCTTCGCGCTGCTGGGCAAGAATCTTCTCCCAGTCTTCTGGGGTGGGGCAGACTAGGCCGTTGACGCAGATGTCGGCAGGGGGGTGGCCGGCGTTCTTGTAGGTGTCATTGTTGGTCACGTAGGACTGGCTGACGCCCTTTCCCTCATTGATTTGGCTGTAGTACCAGTTGACGAACTTTGAAGCAGCTGAAAAATCATGTTAGAAAGGTGGTTCGGCCCTTAGGTTTGACGGGGATTAGTCACGGACCATCAGCGGCTTGCCGAGTGTTGGTATCGTCGACGTTAGTCATTGTGCGTGCTTGATTGATGGGGGAGGTAATTTGAGCGATGCTTGAATGATCCTTGAGGGGTGAACCGCAGATGCGTGCTTGACCGTTGCGAGTTGCGAGTTGCGACTTGTGCTGGCGAGGTTCTCGATGAGGTTTGCGCGCGAGATAAGATGGTTCAAGTTGCTTGAGACGGATTGTCGCGCGAAGAGGCTGCAAGACAGAGACAAGAAGTATTGGACTGTCGTGATGCGCTGTTCAGAAATATCTTTGCGAACGAGGAGGTTGCGAAAAGTGGTCGCTTTGGTCGCCAAGCGAACGGTTGATGTTGGGGATGAAGGTCGCGAAAGTGAGCAGACAGTTGATGGAGAAGTGATGGAGGGGGTCAAAAGGGCAAGCGAGTGAAACTGGCAGAGTTGCGCCTCAAAAAGTAGGTTCCAATCAAGCCGTACTTGACCTTGTGACTTCGTGAATCAGGTGAAGGTTGAAGTTTTCTGCCTGGTTTTGCTCCGGTGGAAGAATATCAAGGTTGAGCAGAACAATTGTGAGCGAGGCTGTGGTGCTCCAGGGGAAAAGTGTACATATTCTTGGCGACGGCAGCCTTGTTCCAACGTCAGCTGTCCCACAGCCCCACTCCAGCTTCTGAGCCGCAAAGCTTTACGCACCAGCTGCCACAGCCGTTTACCATCTGCCAGGCGGTCCGAAGCCAAGCTTGCTTGCCGAACCTCCCAAAACTTTCGGCCGGACATATCCCGGCAGGTCATCACCACGCGCGACACCCCGACGACGGCGGCACGATTGAGTTCGGTCAATTCGGCTGCCCCAGCCTCCAACCCCATTTCTCAGCCCCTCTGTAACCGTCAAAATGGTCAGAATAACCGTATCATCCCTCCTCAGGACGGCGCTCCGGCCAACCGCCTCTGTTCCTAGGTGCACCGCCAGGTATATCCTCCCCCCCCTCTATAACTCCCCCACCAAATACTAACCCTCTCTTAGATCCTTCTCCTCCCTCCCAACCCTCCGCCCAACCCTTGCACCCACCCCCTCCGCTTTTCGCGCCCCATCTCAGACCCTTCTGTCCCGGGGACCTATCCTCCAGCAACAATCACCTAGCAGTGGGGCCGAAGGAGTCCTCGATTTGATCTCTTCCACCTCCATCTCCTCCAACCCGGCGATGCAGTCGATGCAAGTCCGTTGCGGACCCCGCCCAACAATGGCCAACGCCAGTCGCCTGATCCAGAAAAGGAGACACGGGTTCTTGAGCAGGATCAAGACCAAGAACGGGAGGAAGACAATTGCGAGGAGAAGGGCAGCAGGCAGAAGGAGGTTGAGTGCTTAAGCTGGGGTGTCGGCAGAATGGGGGAGAAGGAGGCATGGCAAAAGGGGAAGATACCCACATGGAGGGTACACGAGAGATGTGTATGAGTACGGCATGGAAAGTGAAGAGCGGGGAGGATTGTATCATATGAGGCAATGGAAGAGATAAATTAAAGGAATCTCTATGAAGATGCCGCTGTGTCTGGTGTAGTGATATGCTTTCGTGGCTTGCTTATTTTGGCAGAGTCTCACGAGCAAGTCATCGAGGAAGCGGAGGAAACTGGTTCCTACCAGCGATGGAAAGTCAGGAATAAAAGCCGCCCGCCCGATTTTTGCGGAAAAGACTGTCCAGAACCTCACAGACCACCGGCTACCCCTCGCTTCGTAACATCGACGCTTTGGCATCTCGACCATCAAAAAACTTCAAAGTCAGGCACTCTACATGGGCTCCGAGTGTGACACGTCAATAATGAAGACGCCCTGTTACGTCTAAACTTGCGTCGCCATCTAGTTTACTCAGGGCTTGATGATGAGCAAGCTTGCTCATGGAGCCAGACCCTTTCCATACTCACCCATCAGGAGGTTTAGCATATCTCAATTCAATTCGATTGCTTCGTCCAATGACCTTCAGCTGCCTTGCGATCAACCAACAGAACAGCATGTCTCACACCTGGGTTAGGGTTCCCTACCTTTCAACACCATCAATCTCCAGCAACTTCTCTTCCACACAGTCACATGCCTCATCAAACCTCCCTCATCAACCTCCCCTTCCACTATCAATCCCCACTTACCCAAACCATCACCGACAAAACCCCGTCAGGTCAGGTCAGGTCCGTCGTTAGCACCATCACGACACAACCATCCATGATATGGCCCAAGCTCCCGTTCCCTCGTACCTCTCTCCTACCCACCCCAGATCTTAACTCCGATCCATTAAGCCCGTGCTATAACTTAACCAACCAACTTTCAACTCAACGGTTTATGTCAGCGGCCAATCCCCCACAACGTTGCATTAAAACCGCTTTTTTTCCCAGTCTCTCCATTGACAAGTTTGACTCAACTCCCCGTGAATTTGACAAGGAAACACAAAAGGAGAAGGTCTGTGTGTAAACAATGTTTCTCTTTTCCTGCAGATAGTGTACATAGGGGGCGTGTAACTAAGACGGGCGGGAGGTCAATGCCCAAGCAAACAAGCAAGCAAAGCCGTTCATCCGAACTTTTTTGTCTTTGTTTCTGTCTCTGCACGAATTGATCGATCTGTTTTTGAGCAGGTGATGTAAAGAAAAACAAAAAGCATAGCCCGAGATCGGACATGACTATCGAAACATACCTACCTAACATGCCTTCCCAACCCAACCCCAAGCTGCGGCCTCTTTTTTTTTTCCCCTACCGTACCAAGTCACCCGGCCGAAAAAAACGGACCATGCTCGATGCCTGGCTGACATCCATGTTCGGAGGACCGCAGTCCGAAATCCGCACACGGGATAGGGGTATACCTTACCTGACCAACCTGGAAACACCGTGCATTTGGGAGTCAACAAATCTCAAACGGAAAACCCATCTTCTTTCAGTCATCTCGTCCGTCACTGCCCAACTACCGTAAATCTTTTTGTTTCCTCGGAATTATGCCGTGTTGCTATTTTTTGTCTCCCCATGTTTCCCAATGTTTGGTCTTAATTGGGCAACTATGCGGCTCCAGTACGGAGTATTTCCTGTTTCAAAGTCGCTCATTCATGCAACAACATCAAGCACCTCCCCATAATAAAAAAAACAATTGATCCAAAATTTTGGTAATATATTTCTCTGCGAATTCGCGCACGCGGCGGCCGGCTTGTTGTTGTCGTCCTCGAGTAGTACATATTTTCTTCTCGGACTTGCCTGATCCATATATATATGTTTATGTACAAGTGAGTTTTGAGCAAGCCCGACAGCTTCCTCGGAAGCTGAGAGTGTCTTCCCCCCTTCCACCTCCCAACTGTCATCGCCCTTCTTTTGGGAAGCGTATAAGATAATAAACCGTGAGGAGGGCGGACAGAACAGCGGACCAGAATAACGAGATAGACATTTGTGCGTCTGATATGTAGTGGTGATTTGTCCTCGTTAGAAACATCCGCCTTCGCAACGAACGAAATAGACGGGGTTGTGTAGTAAAAGATAGATAATATAGTAAAATGATGATAGAAGTTAAAAAAAGGGGTGTGGTATCGATCCTTACATAAGAAAAACACAATGACAAAAATATATGAGAGGGTAAAATGCGGTCCAAAAAAATGATGTGTGTGCGATTGCAAACCAAGTCCAAAACAAAACAACAAGAACAACAGAGGGGATATCCGGTCAAGAAAAGAGCAAAGCAAATCCAGAAAGAAAACAGCAAAATAAATAACAATACACCCCCCACCCACCAAAGGCCGGTGTTCTTTGTGAAATGCGAACCAAATTTTGTCAAACCAGAACCCCAAACCATTGCCAAAAATACGAAATGCTCCCCCCTTCCCCTATTTGATGAGCCGGACAGCATTATTCGTGAATAATTGCAAAGGTATCACGATGCAGTCCGGGTGAGTTGTTGAGATCTCATTTCTCGCGGACGCTGTTGTTCCCATGTGCTCTGTCCTCCTCAATCAAGAGATTTTCCTGAAATGGTGATTGGATACGTCCTGAGTAACTCGAAGTGGGTGGTGAAAGGAGCGTATGTGTGGTGTGGCGTCTAATGTACATGTCTAGCGCCTCGAGCCCCGTCGATAGTTAATTATGGTTCCTTGAACCGTAGTTATCTTCAAGTGGCATTCCAGGCATAATGCCCAACCCCGCCGTAAACGCCTCCGGGGGCCCCGGAGGAATGAGAGCCTGGGGGTGGAGGGGGGTGAGGGTGTTGCTGTTGCTGGTGGCCGTGCTGATGCGACTCGGGCTTCACGCTCGGAAACGCGTAGGGCCTGTCGGAACTACCATTGTTGTATGAGACGCTTGATGCTGAAGGTTCGCCCGCCGTGGTGGTCCAGCTCTGCGAAGAGGGGAAATAGTCTCTGGGCGGCGGTGCGTTGGGAGCTGTGGCCGACGAAGGCGCTGAAGTGTTGTTCTCTTGCGATGGCGCTCCGTATTGAGAAGGTCCACCCTGAGCACTTGATGGGTGCTGTGACTGTGGGCTCATGTCGTTCGCCGCGTAGGCTGATTGAGGGGGGCCGTAACGGTACTCTCCTGGGGCTGTGTCGTTTGAAATGGAAGAGGCTACCGACTGGTGGCTCGCATGACGCGGCGACTTTGATGGCCGGGGGTTGCTGTCGACATATCGGGGCACGTTGAGCGAGTTATCGGCGGTCGTCGACAGGGACAAGTGTGGTGGCGCGGAGGTTGCTTGCACGTAGGTAGCGAACTGAGTTCGGATCGGTGGTGGCTGTTGATCTTGCGAGACAAGGGAGAGCTGAACGGATGGCATCGATGTCTGCTGGATGGGTATCTCCTGAGGCTCAGCTGTGTAGCTAGGCGCGCCAGAAAGCGGCAGCTTCGGGTAGGGCTCGGATGGCATTGTCGCGGTAGGGTATGTCGCTGAACCTGGGTTGTGTGGCATCGACACCTGGCTCGAAGGATTCCATGTGGTGGGATAAGAGCTAGTTTGACTTGTCAGCAAGTTTCATTTGTAAACAGATATGGAGAAGGGACCGGGACGTACTTTGACCGCATCTGCATCGGGCTCTGCGGCATTTGCTTCGGAGCAGTGAAGGTAAAGGCTCCCCTGGGGACGTGTCCGTCCAAGCTCGAGATGCGAGGTCTGGCATCGTGTGGCGGCTTGTTGAGAACAACCGCCTGGGCGACGATTCCCTGGCCAGTCTCAACAAGAGTCTGGCCCCGCGAGCCGGCACTAGATCCCAACAAAGGAATCTCCTTTCTGGCCTGGAAGTTGCGCGGACTTCTGCCTCTCACCACAATGGGTGCCGTTGTCAGCTCCGAGAGGACGAGCTTTTGCCCGTTTGCCAAAGTTCCGTGAAGCTTGAGGTGCAACACGAAATGCTGTTGCAGCTCCTTCCGTCGGCCGTTGTTCGCCGTGGCTCTGGCAACCTGGTTAGTGACTCATTCCCATGTTTACAACAGTGTTGCTGCTCCCCAACTCACATTCTGAACTGGAGACGGCGCCATCCGATCGGGTAGATAGCGTAGTGTTCGCCACTTGTGTCATCCTCGTCCTCCGCCCATGGAATCAAGGGAAGATTGGGCGGCTCCTGGTCTGGGGCCTGGTTTACCTCAGGCGAGTTTGGTGGCGGTGTCTTCCATGGGATCACGATCAACCGGACTGGGTGTCCATCGACAGACTCGATGGCGGAAATGCTGACTTCCATATTCTTGATCTGGCTGGTCTCGCCAGACTCCAAAAGCACCGACAATGGGACCTGTGGGAAGCAAAGGCTGCCGCTGATCTGGAACAAGTTGCGCCGATAGCACGTCAACTCGGCGTTCAACACGTTGCCGTCACCCGCAGCCGAGGGAAACTCGGACAGGAAGAACATGCCGTGAAGCTGGGCGTCAATCTCCATTTCGTGCATCCGTCCCTTGGCGTCGACGATGGTGTGCTTGTCCCCCACTTTCTTGAACGACAAAAGTTTCTGGTCGTGGTTGGAGGGCTTGTAGTCCTCCCGCAGGTCCTGGACCATCTCGGTATAGGGCGCCTGGTCAACCTGGGAGTATGGCCTTTTGAGGCTGTTGATGCTGGGGATGTTCATCAGAGATGGGTGCGGGTACCGGTCGTATCCGTCGCCCTCTTCCTGGCCGGGCCGGGGGTGGTGATATTGCGGGTAGTCCATGGTGTGCTGGCGACTTCTAGGACGCACGAGATGCGATGGTGCTGGTGGCGGTACGGATGGATCTTGAGGATTGAATCTGCCCGTCATCTGAACGGGATTTCCATAGTTGGACCAGAGGCTACCGTGTTGAGTCTCAGCCCTCAGCTCTGCCATCGTGTATGTCGCCGTGGCTGACATGGGAACCTGCTTGTTCCCCTAGAGCAGCCCAGAGTTCTCCGCAGCAGCTCCCACCCAGATTACCAAACAGACAAAGAGAGGAGCAACACCTGCCTCGTAGAGTCAAGTCCCGCTTCACAGGTCCTTCTTGCAATGATGCCGATGGGGATGTCGGTGGATGATCAACAACAAAGTGGTGGTAAAGGATGGGATGACAGCCCACAGCAAGGTTGCAGGGCAGCGTGTATGTATATGTATGTACGAGCCAATACGGCCAGGAGGTGGAGGGGAACCGTTTTATGAGAACAAGAGGCTTCGGCAATGCCCCGGGGGCGACAAGGGACAGAGGCGAGGCCAAGCATACCCTGGCGCCTTCAAGGATGGGATGGTAGGGAGAACTGTTTAACAACGCTTGCAGGGCCCGTCGCGCGAAAAGGTGCTCCAACCATACAAGGAAGGAGGGTGAGGAACGGGGCGATCTGGCAGGCAAGCCCGAATTCCCCTGCTAGTCGAGATGGGGCAAGATACCGTCCCAGAAGCTCAAGGACAGGCTCTGCTATTTTACCACGCCCTCCTTGAAGCCTCTGATATGCCTTCTAGCTGCTTGAGGTGTAGCTTGCTATACATGCGATGGAATAGCAGAGAAAACAGAGCATACATCCGATTCCCTTAATCTTGCCCACCTGCCCAAACAGGGGGCCGTCAACAGGTCCGCACAAGCAACTTCACGCGGTCTTTGCTGTGTCCACCAGCGGTCCCACTTGGGTTTGAAGGAGGGGTGGAGGTACGGGGCCGGTAGGAGGAGGAGGGCAAGTGAGTGATCAGAGAGGTATGAGGACCTTGAGGTGCATCATTCTGCTTAGGTATGCCCCCCCCCCTGTCCTGCACCACCTGTCTGCCGAGCGGGAAGAGAAATACACATATCAACAGCCCCCTACCACCCATTGACGCACAACGTTTTTCTCGGAATAACTGTGGGCTATCTCTTTCGGGGGATGACCCGCGGGCACAGAACTTGTGGGTGGGTGTTTGGACGGACGGCGCATGGGGTCTGAATGGATACACGGGGGGGCACATCTGGCCAAGCCAAACGATCAGAGGGGATGGAGGAGCGGACAAGACGGCAAGCACCCCCTCGGCCCCTCCTCCGTCCAATCCAAGGCCAGGGTAGGAGAGGGCCCCCGGTTGTCGACCTTGTCGGCCGAGCGAACAGGGGCATCTGATTAGGCCAGGAATCCTCCGAGGACTCTGGGCGAACAGCTAGCGACCCGCAATTTTCTAGAAGACCGTTGGGTAATAAACGCGCCGGCGAAGGGCCTTTCTGCTGCTGCTTTTCCAGAAGGGAATGGTCTCTTGTCGAGGAGGGGGGTAAAAAAATCGGTTCACGAGATTGCTCTCGACCGGGGTGGAGAGGGCGAACCAGAGCGCCCCCCGGTGGACCCCAGTCAGCTCGGCTCGAGATGGAAAACACAATTACACACCCCTGCCCTGTCCTGCCCACCCCCTCCTCCATCCCCTCCTCCCCAGTTCCCCTCCAGTGCTGGGTGTTGCTGCTGCTGCTCCTTGCTTGCATTCTCGCGCGCTGCCCGTCCGCCGAAAAGAGGGACGACAGATGCAATATCAGGCCTTTTATACCTCTTGGCCACCGTTGTGGACGCCCTTTGACACCTCACAATTGGCAGAGGATTTTAAACGAAATCAGCAGCAACATAAAGAAACCGCCTCGGACGCTTGCTGTGGATATCGCATCGCTTTGTCATTTGATCACGACCGCGACGGCCGCGAGGTCCTGAGCAGACGATGGGTGATGGGCAACAATGGGCAGCGGGAGAGCAAAGTGCCTGGGCCCGCAGTGGACCGAGGCACGTCGAATCTTTTGCAACCGCCTGCATTGCAGTGTCTCTGGCTGGCTGCTGCTGCTCGGGCAGGAAGGACGCACAAGAGTGATCAGCGGACGAGGCATGTAGTCGGCAAAGGACTCGACAGCAAGATGGTATATCAGAAAGGAGGTGTCACTTCGGGGACTTGTGTGTGGCGGCGAGATGCAGGTTACGGGTCTTGGGTTTCTTCTCGTCCGCCATCCGGTAGGTGGTTCGGCGACCATGATCAGTGATATAATTTCTTCGTGATGGCCTCTCTCTTCTTGTCAGGAGGTGCACTCGAGTCTAGGAGCAGACGACTGGGTAACCCCGGCCATGCCGCATGGCCCGATCTGGTTGTAGTGCAGCACAGGGACCATCCGGAAAGCCGCCATAGCAGTAGCAGCAAAATGCGGAGGTGGGAAAACGGCGCCGCTTGACGACATTCCCGAAAGGGAACTTGGTGCCTGGCGCCCGGCTTGGGCGCAAAGGCCATGGCGATAAGTTATGGGAGAGGAGCGGTCATGCCATTTCAAATGCGAGCCGTGGCTAGAACCGCATGGCCGACAGGAGGCTGGCTGTGATTGGAGCAGGTGGGCGGGATTGGCAACAGCTCAGCAACCTCTCAGTGATGCTCAGAGGCCAGCTCCTTAGTCCTTGCTGTATCGTGCATATGTGTCGTGACAGGGAGGGCGGCAGACGAGCTCGTCCGCGCTATCTCGATCTCCGTGCGGTGGAACTCAACCACCACCTACTGCTGCAATATCCAGCCAGATGGTCGAATGGGGGAGAGTCACTGCTTCCAAGCCACCTGCTGTCCTCGAGCTGGCAGAGAGGCAGCAGCAGAATCTGATCTTGATGGAGGTCGTCGTAAGGAGGTCGTAAGCTGGTATCCCGAAGCCACATGTGCATCTCCCAGGTGTGGTATTTAATGTATTTTAAATTGCATCGCACGCAGGCTGGGGAATAGGATGTCGAAAAGTGAGTGAGAAGCCCAGTGGTGTTTCTAAAAAAGAAATAGTGGAGGGGTGACAGGTCAAAAAGGTGTGGGTGTGTGGGTGATGCCTTCCAATGGGTGAGTCGGTGGTTGAACGGGTGCGCCTTCCTCGCTACAATGTTGTCTCACACAGAACAATCTGTATTCAGGCAGTGTCATAATTACACCTACCTACCTTGACTACAGCTTCTCAGTTTCCTCTCCTGTCACCGGTGAGTATGTCTACTATGTAGGTATCGACGCGTAGCTGCTTCTCACTTTTTTGACATGTCACTCGCTCACAAACAACAAACAACCCCGATCCCGATCAGTCAAAAGTCTTGTCAACGGTCTTCGGTCCAACGATAGATGCAAGGTGGGGGGGTTGGAGTTGCTGTTGGACGGCGCTGGCTTGTCCATCGGGATTTTAACTTTTTTCTCTCTTTTCTCCTCTTGGTCGAGCGGAAGCGGAAGCACCCTGAGGGGCAGAAGGGACGCCAAAAGGTCGCAGAGCGCACCGAGCGCACCCGGTCATTGCCGTGGCGGTGGCTGTCGGTTGCAACACTGTCGTCGACTCCATGCATTGGCGAACGTTACAATCACGATTGCATCGGGGTAAGCCAGGAACCAGCGGCCATTTTCTGAACACGATCTGACCTGCCGAGCTACCAAGTGCGACAGTCTTTTTCACGGTTGCGATACAGATATCTGTCAGTTGCCTTGCTTGAGCTTCAGCTTCGGCTTCGGCTTCAGCTTTCACCTCATTCGCATGGTTCATCAACAAGGGCTCTTCGCGCGTGCTGCAGGGGCAATGCCACTCTGATCACATTCTGACCGCTCCACGGGCTAAAACGGCTCGCTTGGTCTTTGTCGGCTGTCTAGCAGCTGTGCTGATGCTGAGCTAGGAACCGTTGGAAATGTCACGATTCTCGATGACGAGGCCCCTGGTCCTTGACAACAAGCAACAGCAAAACTTGGCTTGTTTTCCTCAAAGGCTAGGCTGAGTTTGGAGTCGTGCATTTGGCGAGTGCGAGGGGCGTTTTCTATTGTTTCACGCTCCAACAGCCGCTTACATGTTGACATCGGCGTACAACCAACAACAACTACGGATACAATCCCCAGAAACCACGGTAATATCCCGATCTTCAAAAGTTCTCGGCCCGCAACCACGGAAGATTCGAGGCTGCCGTCTCCAAAGTTCTTACAAGCTACCAGATAAGTCCTGTCAACCCTCGGTTGCACATGCTGCTCGGGACTTCGACGCCCCCGAAAGCTGGCTGCTCTGGTCTGGTATGCGTGTCAATAATAGCTTTCGTACTGCACACTGACCGAGATTGACCCCTACAGTCTCCATCTTACACGGTCGGTTTAAGCCTATATGTGCTGGCTAATATAGGGCTTGTCAACCACACCAAAAATCCCTGTTCAACTTGGTACGAGCCCACTGTCGCCCAGCAAGAAACACAAAAATCCAGCGCTCTTATTTCTCCGTGGACGTACATCACACAGACAATATCTATGCAAGTACGCGAGGTTGTCACGGTTGTACGCCCATTATCACCCTTGTGATGGCTGCTTTGGGGCATTTTGGCAGGACCGGTGTCTGAACACGGCGCAGCCCCAGGCGGATATCGAGGTGGTGCAACCACGAAACCATCATGTCAATGTCCAGCACTCGGGACTTGGGCAAGCAATGACACCTGGGGTCGGCACTGCCCTGCAACCATGGCCCGATGTCATCTCTCGGCCTGCCAGTGGCAGCCACCCCGCGTGTGCACACACACACACACCACCGACCTCGAGTTGCAACAAGATCGACCAGCCCCTCAACCAATGGTGAGCATGCCGAGCGGGTTCTGGTGAACAAGCAAGATTTCAAGATATCCACGATAGGTAGGCCGTTTGTCGGGAACTTTGGTGTATGTTTTATCTATTGTGCTTGGTCTTGCTCAGCAAATATCGGTCCCGCCATTGCCGAACCGCCCAAGTTTGGCTCTGAGTGCTGCGCATCATCCATCACCATCCCGCCAGCGGCCGGCAACGGAGATGATGACAAGCACGCCGGGAGTCGAACACTGCTTCCAGGAATGGAGACAAGCCCAGGGTGAAAAGAGGGGTGGTTTGTCATGCTCCAGGCAGGCACTGAGCAGTTGGTGCTCAGGAATCTGAGCGGCTGGCAAAGGTCC